CCGACCCTTCTATTGTTCCAAGGTACCTCCGGAGGGCCCTTCTATTACAGAGGCTCTTCAATTAGAGGGGCCCTCCAATTTTTCCGGCCAGTTTTTTCCGAAAAATTCGACGAAGCTTCGTTCAAAATTCATGAAAATCTGCCAATTTCACCAAATATTAACAAGATTTTCATCGAAAAATAGAGTTTCAACAAATTTCTATCAAATTGTGGAGTTCCCGGAACATTTTCCACTGAAAAAGTTTGGAACTTTTCTGATTTCAAAACACATTTTGAAGGGGGACCTTCTTTACAAAAAGCCTTCCTACTACGGGGGTCCTTCTATTAAAAGGGCCCTTCTAGTACAGGTTTAACGGTATTTTTTACTTGCTAAACACATAAAAAAAACCCAGAAATACTAATTTTTTTGTTAATGGAATGTATTTGTCCCGAAAGATATAAACGAGAAACAAGTGAATGAGAAACCGGGAGGGCAACAGTGATGGCAAACCAAAATGATTGGTTCAGACAGACACGAAGATAACTATTACGTAAGAAAGAAAACGTAGTAATGGACAGCGACAATCAAAATCCCCTTATCACCCGACGAAATTTGGTAGCAAGAAAATAATGTGAAAATTCTTGCACAATCAAAAAGGACCAGCACTACCGTATTTCCTTTACTGACAGCCTCATCAAACTGTCAACTTTGCGCTCAATTATCTCGATTTCTGTGAAAAATATCAAAAAGTGGCTAACTAACAAAATATTCTCGGATTTACTATGAATTCTTTCGTAGTTGATCAACTTGCAATTTTTTTAAGAGTTAACTGTTAGGATGGGCTTCTATTACAGGAGTTACAGTATCTTATCTACACAATTGCTGGGTGAACTAGGCCTAAAAAGTAACAGATGTTTCAAACAGCTGCAGGTTTGCCCAAAATTGAGACAGTATACTTCAACAAGAACATGAGTTCGAAAAGGTCGTGGTAGAGACAGCTGCGCCACAGATACGAAGTTTTTTCTGTAAACAGAAGAGTACCAACAGATTTTGTCTTCGCGCAAACAGCTGTCACTGTACTAAATAATTCTCCAGCAAATTATTCGAAGTGCACAAACTTTTTGAGGGGTCATTGGGGCACAAACCGATATAGAGGTACAAGACCTTCAATTCAAAGATAAAAATACTTAAAGATTTGAATGTTTCCTTGGAGAAAGTGAGTTTTGTACTCCTACATTGCTTAGTACCCCGACTTCTTGAGTCCTCTGAATTGTTTGCGTTTGCCCGTCAACTTTGAGCTCAATTATTTCATCTAACTCAGCCGAAAATTGTTTGATTTCTCTCACAGAAATTGAGATAATTGAGCTCAAAATCCACGGTTTGAGTGAGCTGCTATTACAGGAAATACGGTAATTCAAATTCGTAGAAAATTTTTATCTCAGTTCTCACTGTCAATTGATTACTAATTTTTCATTAACCATGCAAACTGAAACAAAGAGTAGAAATCTCCGAAAATTGGAAAAATGACATATTAATATACAGTTTTTTGTTAGATTTTTGAGCAGAGCCCTTTGAACAGCCCATTGAGCTAATTTTATTGTTCTTTATTTATAATTTTGCTTTGCTCCAATTTGAAAGTCACTAATTCTAAAGTTTCCAAATTTATGCGACAAAAATCCAGTAATAGAAACCAGTGAAGGGAGGAAACGCATTTTTCCAAAATACGGAAACGGAAAAGGAAATTTTTCCCGTGGAAAACGGAAACGGAAAAATATCTCTAAAACCGAGCGGAAAACGGAAAATAGAAACGGAAACGGAAATTCCTCCCATCACTGGTAGAAACGTGATTTAGAATGATATTTTTCGTCCTCCCTTCTCTTTTTCTTCCCTACTATCGGTATTGCCGATTACCAATAGAATAGTTCGGTCGGTTCGAGTTTCACTGAGAGATAGGAAGAATTGTTCAAAAGAAACTGAGAAGATGGTTGAAGAAAAAACACAATAAATACAGATTTTTGGTTATGGTCACAGAATTTTTGGTCTCACGAGACAGTGGATACCAAAAACACCGAACTAACCTGATAATGCCCTGAATCGTGTTGGCACCCGTCTTTTCATGGGACTATCTTCTCCGTCAGGCGAAAATTACAAAAATGGTGGTCCACGTCCATCTACGGTTCTTTTCAAAATTTCAGCTGGTGACGGGATTGAAGAATTTCGAATCCACTGAAAAAACTTCTAGTTACGGTCACTGGTCCAATACTCGTGACTTACTCTTCTTGCCCTCCGAATTCTCTTCCAAACAGCACGCAAATCGTTTCAAACACATTTTGAATTTTTAAGTTTTCTGAAAATCATATCATCAGACAAGCTCAGAAACCGTAAATGTATACACGAAACAGGAGGGGACTTATGAAAGGTACTGTAGATATTTCGTAACAACTGAAAAAGTGTGTATGCAAATGAGAGAATGCCGAACAACTCGAGAGTGTATTTTATCTTGTCCTCGTGTACTTTTTTGCGCCAAGAAAATTGAGAAAGGAAACAAGGCAGATGGTGACTGACACGCGCACACGCAATTGCCATTTGAAAAATGGAAAGTGAGAGGAGAAGATGATATAGAGGTTCGTACACTTAATGGAATGGTCAAAAAAGGGCAGTTCCTTCTTTTCTCAAGATTACACTAAGTGGGGTTGAACTGACGTTGTTATCAGGTGAACTCTTGAACAGTTTCGATCAAAGTTCCGAAGTTAAAAAAGAGGAGATTTTTCGGAATTTTTTTGGAGTAACGGTATGCATTTCGACATGACAGACATTGGTATTAAGACAGCGCTAAGCTATCGGGCCGTTTTTATTTGTGAAATTGGTGGACAGCACAGCTTGCGCCGTCCAACGGATTTTTGGACTGAAAAGAAAAATCCAAGCTGATAGATATTAGTTGGATATCTTTGACGTTGCATGTGTAACTTATGCTATCCAGTTATTATTGAAAATGAGAATTTCAAAAATGTTTTATGTGAAAAACCCCGAGCCAATCGGACAGGGCCCTGAAAATCTCTGACACGGCCAGGTCCTGTGAGATGTCCCCAGATTCTTTGAGTATGCAAAAATTTCTTTAGAACGAACTTTGTCCTAGTTTTCATCTTTTCTCGAACCGCGAAACATTAGAAGAAATTCTTATGAACACAGAGAGATACAGAAGAAGTAATGAGAAAAACACATGAAAGGACATGTGACATCGTTTTGTAAACTTTCTTCTTATGTTCTCTTTTCTTCTTCCAAGTACTTATTAAGTCCCTAATCTCGAACAAGTGCAAACACTCAGAAAATTTAATTTTGAACAAAAAACTTACAGAAAGTACTGTCAGTTGGGAAAAGAAATCAAAAATTCAAAAATACGAAAAAACAGTGAACTACTAAACATAAAATTGATGAACAAATATCTTCCTTATATATAAAACACTACACGCGTCTGTCTGTCCCGGTGTATGGCTGTTGACTTTTGAAAAGCTTGAAAAATAAATATAGATTTACGTGACCCTTTAAGAATAATTGAGGAGGAGCGGAGCCACAAACCAGTAAGAAAGCAAGATTAAATCGCGTCGAAGGCGCACCAGCTTGCTGGTATTTCAAACAAGTTGCGTAATCTGACTTCGAGACAAACAAGAATAAAGTGAAAATGAGAGATTTGTTTTTTTTTTGAAAACCAGTTTTTGGCGCGTAGTGGACCACGAGAAAGGGACCAAGGTCCAAACTTGGCGCGCGTGTTGACCCCTGAATGACATAAACAGCTCATTTCAAATCAATTTGGAGCAGAAAATTGACCTAAATCCCAGAAATAAACCTGAAAATAGAAATTAAAAGAATCAAAAAATGAACCGAGAACCTAAGAGGCATTAGAGCGAAAAACAAAAGTGAAGACTCATGGCAAAAGGTATTTAAAAAATCCTCCAAAAGAAAAATAGGAATGCCGCTCCAAGAAAAAAAGGAAAGTGAACGCTCCAAAAAAGAGCGCTTCGAAGTCGGCTTGTTCTCCTCGTACTCGATTTCCGCAACGGAGCGCATGGCAGAACAAAAGAGCAGATGACAGGCAAAATAATGGCGTCGTAAAGACGTGAAAGGTAGGTTGGAGGAGTAAATTGGTTTTCCGGGAAAGCAAAGCAGACACACATAGGTGAAGACAAAGTGGAGTTGTGAGGAATTGGAGTATTATAACTCATGGGGGAATACTTCAGCTTGTGAGAATATGGTCCTATCTTGATTGAAATGTTTGTTCATTAATTTCCACATCTAGGCGACGTTTGGGCAGCCCGTGTAATGTTCAGGGAACGTTTTCTTGTATGGCAAAAGAGTAAAATACGCAGGATGCGTAATTATACTAACCCAACCAGATCGGATTTTTTGGAGCCAACTTTCGAATTCGCTTTCGAGCAAGTTTCAAAAAAACTCACAAAACACTCTCGTCACTCTGGGAAACAATTCATTACCGTATTTGCTCTAATCAAATCTTACTCATATCGTGCACTTTGAGACCAATTATCTCGCTTCTCATGAAAATTATCTAAAATCTGTGAACTGATAAAACATTAATGATAATACGATAAATGATGTATCAGTTGGGCAATTTCTGATATGTTTTGAAGGAATCAAGAAAATTGAGCTCATAATGCCGTTATAGGGTGGTCTCCTATTAAAGCAAATACGGTATGTCATTTTGAACGATTTTTGTCATAGAATTTTTTTAGAAATGTTTTTTATTCTAATTCGAGAGCTAGTATGATCTTGTTCAGAAAGTTTTATTTGTCATTTTTCCAATTTTTAGGTATATACACGGTCACAAATAAATAGCATGCAACCTTATTTTCTCGATACGAGAAAAAATCATTAATAAAAATTAGAGTGATGGGGCGGAAATAATTTAAGACATGACTGGGATTTGAAACTTTTCCAAAAAAAAATGCTTTTCGAAAAATAAAAGCGCTAAATTGGTTTCAAACCGAGAATCCATTTATTTTTTCTTCTTAATTACGATCTCTTTCTTCTTCTGCAGCCACCTCCTCATCTGATTCTCCGATGCCAGAGTCATCCTCAAATTCGGAGAATTCATCATCCCTCTCCTGTGGTATCGGAAGCTGTTCCACTGGCATGGGAATATATTCAAACCTCAACAGGCCATCGCGCCATCGATCTATGGGAAGATTCATGCATCTGTCTGAAATGCTTCGAATTCACGTTTATAGTTCAAAATATCATGATTAAATTGTTTGATTGGATTATCTTAAACCTGTAATAGAAGGCTCCTAGTTCTTAAATTTGAGCCGATTTATCTCGGTTTAAGTTAGATGTATAAGTAGTCAGCTGATGAATTGTTTATTAAAAATCGGCAGCGTTCTGTCTGTTGACCACATCTACAGTACCGGACAAAAAGAAATCAACTTTTAGTTTTTCGAGAGTATCTCAAAAACTATGAGAGCTAGGACTCTGAAATTTTGTATGTATGTTTTTGAAAGGCTCGGAAATACTCCAAAAAAAATATCAAGTCCGCAGACACCATATCAGACGCGCAATTGCTAAAAAAATCATATTTTCGAATTTTTCAGTTTTTCAGAGTTTTCACTTTTTTTGTTTTTTTTTCAATTTTTTTCGGTTTGTTTGTAATGAGTTTTGTTCCTATAGATGGGTAGAAAACATAACAACAAAACGTCTACTTTGGTGGTCCAAGAAGCGGTCGTTCAGGGCATCCAGATGGGTCTGAAGCGCAACGATCTGGCTCTTCAATTCAACCTTGCAAAATCATCCATTACTAGGATTTATAAGAGATATCAGGTTAGGGAATCATGTTTATTTATTGTAAAATTCTTGTTTCAGCTGCGACAAGGCGTTGTCATTCGAAAATCTCCGGGAAGACCACGGAAAACCAATCATCTCACCGATCGGAATATAGTGATGACCTCGAGAACAAATCCAAGATTGAGCGCTGGGGAAATTTCAGCGATCGTGGATGGTCCAATGACTCCCGTACCTCACGTCAGAACTGTCAGACGTCGACTGGCTCAATCTGGACTGAATGGAAGAAGACCAGCCACGAAGCCATTCATCAATGCCAAAAACAGAAAAATCCGTGTTGACTGGACAAAGGCTCATGTTGGTTGGGGACGCGCTGAGTGGAAATCCGTACTCTGGTCTGACGAATCCAAGTACAATTTATTCGGAAGTGATGGTGTCAAGTGGATCAGACGTCCGGTAGGCACCAGGTACTCGCCCCAGTACCAAACGCCAACCATGAAACATGGTGGAGGATCGATCTGTGTTTGGGGATGTTTTTCGGCGTACGGTATGGAACCTCTAGTCCGCATTTCGGGTCTAATGGATAGATTCCAATATGAATCGATCTTGGAGAATCATATGAGACCATTTGCTCGTCAGTCCATCGGTCGGTCGTTCACTTATCAGCAGGACAACGACCCAAAACATACGTCCTTGCATGTTCGGAATTGGTTCAATCGGCGTCATGTGAACGTTCTGCCTTGGCCAAGCCAAAGTCCCGACTTGAATATTATCGAACCACTCTGGGAGGAGCTGGAGAGACGCCTCAAAGGAAAATTTGCCTCCAACGCGGACCAGAAATTCGTTCAACTTCAAGATGCTTGGTTGCAGATCCCACAGTCGACAATTGATGCTCTGATTGATAGCATGCCTCGACGCTGCCAGGCCGTGATTGACAACAAAGGATACCCAACCAAGTATTAAACTATTTTCATTTTCTTCCCGCTTTATTTTTAAGTGATTTTTGTTTTTTTGTAATGTTTAATGAAACTGTTGCCTGTTAAGCGAAATTCCATTTTTCTCAATTTTTGCAATTGCGCGTCTGATATTGTGTCTGCGGACTTGATATTTTTTTTGGAGTATTTCTGAGCTTTTCAAAAACATACGTACAAAATTTCAGAGTCCTAGCTCTCATAGTTTTCGAGATACCCTCGTAAAACTAAAAGTTGATTTTTTTTTGTCCGGTACTGTAGATACCTTTTGCCAAAAAAAGAGCTACATGGTATCAGAGTTGATAGTATGGGGAGGGGGCTTCTATTATAGGTTTTATCCAAAAAAAAAATAATATACCGTAAAACCTCTAATAGAACGACACCCGGATCGTCCACTTTGAGCCTATATATCTCATTTTCTGTGAAAGATATCAAAAAGTGGTTAACTAGTAAAATGTTGCTGATATCCTGATAAACATTTTACTAGTNANCCACTTTTTGATATCTTTCAAAAGAAAGTGTATTTCAAAAGAAGTGTTTTACGGTATTTTATCCAAAAAAAAATGAATAGTCACTCACTGATCTCCTCATAGTCATAATCCTCCCAACGATTCACATGACCTCCATATTTGTAGATAATGCAACATCCCTCTGAGATATCTGTCAGTCTGATGAGTGCCGTTCCTTCTCCTGATAACCAAGATAATTGGAAGAAACTCTTTTTTTATAAGTTACCTGGACCAGGAAACAAAATTCTGCATCTTTCGTAATAAATATTATCGACATGTTGTTGTAGGCGAACAAGCTCCACATCCGTGAAAACATGGTCCGGTTCCTTGAATACGACTAAATCCAAGTCGTGGGCGTAGAATATGGCACACGGGTAGAGCCACTCCGGTGGGCGATTTGAGAGGATACTTTTGAAACGGACCATCGCCGGAATTCGTACTCCTTGGAAGTATGGGTAGTGTGTGAGAAACGCCATGTAATAGAATGGGAGTTGTTGTAAGTTAAGTGGAATAGAAGTTAACTCTCTTTGGATGACTCCTTTTGCATCAGCTGCATTCAGATGATCATGAGCTTCCAGCTCCTCTTCATTTTCATTAAAGTCTAGAGCTACATTAGTTGGAGAATCTGGTCGTTGAGATTCTAATTCGAAGTTTTCTGTAGCGTCGTTTACTCCATGAGCTGATAAATTTGATTCCTGCAATGTTTCTGTGGGACCTGTCGATTCATTTTGAATGTTGGTGCTTTTTGGTGAAGAGTTTTCTGTTCTATATCTTTTCGTGATACTTTTGAAGATTGGAAGTCTTCTGCTATCACAAGGAATTGTTAGTTCTTCAGAGTCGGAAATAGAAAGTCGGTTTGTTTGGTCAGGTTCGTCCGACTCAGCACCTGAAAAAGTAGAACTTCATATGTATTCAAAGCTTACTTATTGGGAATAAAAAATAACGGTTTTTTTGGAAATACGAAAGTCTAGCTTCTCAAAGTTCAACTTTTTACTTTGACTTAATACAGGATATTTGCTTGAAACATAAAAATCACCTGTTTTCAAATTGACTCCTGGTGATTCCTTTTTTCTTTTCATGAGGTTTTTGAATGCTGGAAGCCTTTGACAATCTTCCTGCTCAAATTCTTGAGGAAGCTCTGGGAGACCAAGAACGTGTGGCTGCTTTGATTTTTCTGATTTGAAAAAACGCAATGGCAAGAGGAAAGCACACAGTGGATTTTCCTCATCAAATTGGTCACTTGTTTCCAAAATGATTGTGGGGTCCGTGATGATAGAAAGCTTGTCTGAAAAAAAGGAGACTGCCTTGGAAATTTTTCTCCTGTTCAAAAAAAAGTGTAACTTTTGATATAATAATTTTGAATAAAATAATTTTCAGATGAAATTTTTTTTCGAAAATTGAATGATTCGCCATCATGTTGACGTGCTCTAAATTGAACTGGTCTTCACAATAGATACAAAAAATTCAAATTTAAAACATGACTTCTTAAAAGCCCCCTTATCATAAAGTGCCCGAAAAATCTGTCAACTGATGAAATTTTTGTTATAATCTGAATAACATTTTTTCAGTTGGCAAATTTCCAATATCTTTCAAAAGAACCAAGATAAATAAGCTCAAATTGCACGTAGAGAGCGGGCTTTTGTTACAGCAAACACGATTTTTTTTAATTCGATCAGTTTCCATTTTCTATCCACCTCTAATAGTTGCCCACCCTCTAATAGAAGTCCACGGGCTTCTATTAAAGAAAGTAGAGTAATTCACAGTTTCCGGATTTTCGAAACTGTGATTTTAAAACTTGACAATTTCTCAATTACAAGATTTTCTAATATCTAAATTTCGGAAATCCTCCCTTTTTGATTTAAATCACGATTTTAAACATTCTGAAAATGCTCTGACCTGAAAGATTAATGGTTCTCCTTGAGACATCTTTGGCAATACTGTAGTTGCAAACATGTCTTCTGGAGGCATGCTCTGAAAACAACATATTGTAAGAATACCTGGGGAGCACCATTAAACACAGAAAAGAGAACAACCCAAAGTATAGAATACCGATGAAAAATATGCATGGGAAGAAGCATACACGCTTAAAAAGAAGAAAGGGGGCGAAACGGAGATATTGAACGCCACTGACTGGGCTCAAAAAAAGAGGAAAAACGGACGCGCTTCTTTTTGTCTATGTGTCCTTTCGATGTGGTAAAAATTGGAAACCAAATGGGGAAATGAGACGAGAAGAAGAGAGAACGACGAAAGAACAGGAGCAAAAAGCAAGAAAAGAGATGAGATGTGAATTTAGGTTTATGAGCTGAGAAGCTCATTTCTCAAACGTCTTATAGGGCTATGTATACTTTTTGAATAGGCGCGTTGCACGGATTATATGGAGAACTCTTTTTCGTGAGATTAAGTCGGAGAGGATTCACAGAACTAATGTAACACCGAGAGTACCTGGGCTATGTTATCATCTTGCTCTAGATAAATAGAAGCCTAGATTAAACCGACTTAGAAAGTATCTGAATCGAGACGGGATAATGATTGAGAAGAAAAAACAAGTACCAAACTATATCCCAAATCAGACCGAATTTCAAAAAACGGAATATGGGCGGAGCCTAAAGTCAGCGGACCAACTAACATATACACCAACGCGCCCTTTCTTGACTAAGTGGAAACACACACGCAACAAATCGAAACTAAGCCCAAACCTACAAAAACTAGACTTGCTTTTTTCTGACACTAATCCTGTCAGCTAGGAATGTCAGATTTAAACAAAAAGCTCAAATAATCCAAATATGACCATTCATGTAAATTGCAGTGCACTTGGTTATACGGTACGAGGATGTGCCAGCCTGACTAGTTCGAGCAGGAATAACCATCAATAAAGGAATTGAAGAACACAAGGCGACATTTCTTCCGGGAGGCTACCCTCCTTGCTCTAATTTGCGACCAGAAAATTTAGCGAAAAATGATGTACAAGCACGAGAAGAACTTTTTTAGAATGAAAAAGAAGAACAAAGATTTCCAGAAACCAAATCAATTTGCCACGCCTCCAGAAGGTCGTAAATTTTCTCGGCTTCTCGAGAGAGAGAGAGAGAGAGCATGAAAAATGGGGAGTGCATTTAATCACACTTTTTTTGAACTTTGTTATAAAAAATAAAGGGTGGAATACACGAAAACGTAGCGAGTAATTGATTCATTTCCAAAAAAAAAATGAATTGGAAATTTTTTTCCAGAAAAAAGAGATTTGATTGAGTACTACATCTTTTGCAAAAAAGAGCAGACAACAATTTTTCGAAATTGTAGAGAAACGTAAGGGAAAGTTGGGAAAAAAATGTTTTAAAAGTGAATTCAAAAACGATAGCTGATTTGCATATCTTTTCAGTTTTACGAAGCGCTTTTTTATTCAAACATTCACCCAAATACCAAAACAAGGCTTATTCTTTCAGAGTTCTCCAGGAAACATATTTTTCCCAAGCTCATAATGAAAACTTGTGAATGGCTAATCAACTCTTTGTACTACATTTTCATTCAGAAATCTGTGGAAATTTCGAACTTTTGCGATTTGAAACAAGGAACCACAAATGGGGTTGGTTTGTACTTTCTTCTTAAAGTCTCCATGACTGCACACTTCAGAATTTAGAACTATCAAAATCTCAGAATTTTCACAATTCGATGTACATATAATAGCTGACAATGGACACCCAGTTCCACCTAACTTGGTTCATTTTGAAGATACCGCTACAGGATTTAACTTTTAAAATTTATTTTTAATTTTTTGACTCTTTTTGATTTGTTTGGAAAGTGGAATGTTCCATCTCGGCAAATGGAAAAACACTTGTCTAGAGATTATGACAGTTATGAGCCTTCCCAACCAAGGTCATCATGACGTACTGTTAGATGGGAAGGTGAGAGAGGTGAGCGTATGGTGCGGTGAACAACCACACACCCATCCACATCATGAATTGCCAGATGGCGAATTGTAGGGAGTGTGAACCACAGAGAGACACAGAGAAAGGAAAAATCGCTATGTGCCGTCCGTACGCATTCGACAGACCTTGCTTCATTTTCCCCCCACAGACGACTTTCTGCATAGACGTCTTTCGGAAGCTCTCCGAAAATCCAAAAAATGAATGGATTTTGGAGAGTTTCTTTTTATTTTTCTGATTATTGTTTATCTCCTATATTATTCTAATTTTTTCCCAGAAATTTTGTGGAACATTCATTTTAAAAAGTGAGTTTTTTTTATTGTAGATTTCGAAATTCTTAGCAACATTATTAGGATTTTAATGCACAGTGCGTGACATAAGTATAATACCACGGATGTTTGGAATGGTCTTTTCGGAACATTTCGAAAAGCCGAAAATTCCATTTTGAGAAATTCGGATCTGGGATATTCTGAATAATCCAATCTCAAAATTTTTGGACTATTTTAAAATTCATATTTCATAGTGGAAATTCTATTCTCATCACAAAAACGCCAAAAAAGGTAAACTTTGACAGAAAAACTTCGACAGCGGAAAAAAATAATAGAAATTCTAGAATTATTTGAGACCCGCAAGCAAATTTTTCGCGGACGCTTTTGACATAACGTAGTCCAAAAATTTCTAATTACGGAAAAAAATCTTTGGAAATATTCCGGTCCAAATAAAGTTCCGAAAAAAGCTTTCGGGATTATTCCGTTTGAAATTTCCCTCCGCAAATTTTCATCGAAAATTATTCTGGTTGGAATTTCATTCTGAAAATGTTAGGAATTTTTGAATTTTAAGAACTTCCAAATCCCGTTCCGAACATCCCTGTTATAATAACGCCCCAAAAACTAGTCAATCAAAGTCTGTTCAAAATCACAAACTTTTAAAAGTCTAGAAAAAATATCGCGATCATCATCCAAAAATACTCTCCATACGAAGTAGTCAAAGTCAAAAGTATGAAGAATTGAAGAAACGAATGGAATCGAGAGGATTCGCTTCTCCAGCTCAAATCAGGAAAGGAGAAGCTCTTGGAGATACAGTGACCGAATCAATCAATAGGAGGAGGAAGTAGCCGGTCTCGAGGAGTCTCATATAACCCAAGGACAGCTTGAAAGTGCTGAAGCAGAACATCATCGAAAGGAATCTGGTAGAAGGGTCCAAAAAGGGAGAATGACACAAGTTTTAGCAAATCGTCGTCGTTATCGAGATGTCGTCGCGGTGAGTTTTCAAACCTTTTTTTCAAAACATCGAAGTTGATAAACCAATTGTCGAGTACAACTCAAAAATTTTTTCAGAGAGACTGTGATGCAGAAGAGAAAGAAAATGAAGAGCAAGGAAGAAGTTGACAACGAGAAGAGGAAGAACCAGAAGCGGTCGAGGATGATGAGGATTTCGAAGGAGATGCAGAGGAAGCTATCCAAAAAGTGAGAAGATCTCAAGTAAGTCATTTCGAAAATTTGGCTTATCATTAATTTTTGAAATTTCAGGGAGAAAGAAGAGGAAATGCCCGATAAGCTTCAATATTTTGTTGATTGTTTTTGAATAAACATCTTAAATCAGATATGAAGCTTATTTTGTTCTTTTTATGTTTCCATCCGCTAGCAATCAAGAAAATCAACATTTTGAATCATTCACATAGAAACTTTTTTTCTCAAAAATTGCTAATTTTTAAAATTTCGGCCCAACGTTAAGTATGCACCTAGAAATTTCATAAAAGATGAGATAATTGAGCTCAAAGTGGGAGTATAGGGTGCCTTAGTTGCAAAAATCTCACTATTTTACATGTTTCAGTTCTCAAATGTTCCAAATTTAGGAAGGATACTTTTTTGCAGTTTCAAAGTCGCATTTTTCTGAAATTTTGAACTTAGCTAATGAATCTAAAAGTTTTATGATAATCCAATTTGCTTCAACCTTTTCCCCCTGTCGAGGTTTCTTTTTTTGTTGTTAGTGTATTCGTAGCAGTTTAAAAATGTCTGTAATGTGTAGTGTGATTGACGGGACAAAACATTTTTATTTATCTTTTGGGTCTTTTTTCTTGGTCTCTGCTGTTGGTATGATTATGGAAAATCCACGGATCTTATAGCACCTGACAAATCAGTTAACTAAACAATCTGTAAAAAGTTAGTTCCAACTTTGAAATTAAAAATATTTTAAAGCGTTTTCAAGTCAACTAATCATGAGCTAATTTGAAATCCCCAGAGAGGTCACACAAACTCAAAAAAAATAAGTTGAGCCCCGTAATTGAATGCTTAGAAAGACATTCTAATACTTCGAATTCGAAAATTATACACTTACTCATTTGCCCCGTACCTGGCACGAGGCATTGAGCACGCCGTCGCGTCGCGGGACTTGGGGCGTTTGGAGCTGGGAGCTGATTGAGAAGCTTTGCGACTTCTGAAGTGTTTTTCTTGACTGCATCTTCGTTTCAGTGTTCCATTTTTTTCGGTTTTCTAGGCTCCTTTAAGGAATATGTACAAAGCTACTTGAAAAATCAATTATTGATTTTTTAACCTTCAAACATCTTCTTAGTTGATTCACTATTTTTGAAAAATTATACTTGTCGAATACAGTTAGTCTGAATAATTCGCGAATTGTGATCTCTCTTCTGATAGAAACTTTTTAAATCTCATCTCGATATTAAATCAATCTGGATCTCATTTTCTCTCATTTTTTGCCTAGATATTTTTGCAGTTTTAACAAAAGCAATAGCCAAATTCGAAAAACATCTTTGTTCCTGATACACTAGTTTCTTAAAAACGGCGTGTAACCTATAATTATGTGGCTGATTAGGTGGAAGAGTGAGAGAGATAGAGAGTAGAGCACAGCGGGAAAGAGGGAAGGGGAGGAGCTTCTCATTTTGACTCTGAAACTCTCCATTAACCTTATTTTCAGAAGTAGCACAAAGCAGCGTGCCCGGCTGCGCTCCGACATGAGATATTTCTGAAAACGAGTATCTGAAGAAGAAGATGGATTCTATAGCGTTTAGTATCAAATCAGATGATCACAATACGCAACAATTCGTGTTAGATCCACCGGTGAGTTCACTAATTTTAGTTTCCTGGTTTAGTAACGTTAGTAACAATAAGGAAAAGCTCGAGTTAGTATCTAGATTAGCTTCGAAACAAAATGAAAATCACAGTAACCTGAGAAAAAATTTAGGTTACAGTAGTTTTTATTCCGAAACCTCTTTCAAGCAGGAAAATTGAGCTGTGAATCGCAAAACATCCTCGAAAAGTCACTTATTGAGCTTACGGTAATTTTTCGAAGTGGATCTTATTTCTAAGAACCCTCTCATACGCTTATACTGTGTTACTTCCACCAGGTGAACTTTTTAATTTTTCGTAATTATTTGGCCTTCTCTACCTTCAAATTATTTTATGTATATCTGTTTTTTGAAATTCTCTAATTCAAATTTTGCCTCTCGTCATTCTCCATCTCAAGTGACATTTCTCCATCTACTATAGAACTTTCTAGTGAAGCAATTTTGCCCCATAATTATGTCACTGATCTGTTAAAAAAGTACTTTATATCTTTTTGACTTTGTTTATCAAGTTACTTGTTTACGATGTCTGCTTGTAGCGTAGGAGGCAATTAGGGATACCGTAAACACTCTAATAGAAGGTCACCTCATACTTGAACTTTGAGCTTAATTACCTCCGTTTCCAAAAGAGATATAACAAATGTTTCAACTGATAAAATGTCTTTTATATTACGAGAAACATTATATCACTTGACAGATTTTTGTTATCTCTTCTAGAAATTGAGATAATAGAGCTTGAAGTGCACGTGAAGGGCGGCCTTCTATTACAGCGTTTACGAAAATGGATGAGGAAATCAAATGGATGAGCACCTTGTAGTAGCTCAAACATCCCATTGCTCATTAGATCTTTTTCGTTTTATTTTGTGCACCTAGGAGCAAAATAGATCAACAACGTAAAATCCTCCAGAGGTCCCTCTATTGACGTCTTTTCTAACGAAAATTCTTAAATTAACTATTCCAACCAGTAATTTCATGATTATTAGTCAACATTTTTGAAATTTGCCATTTTCTCTACCTGCGTAAGCAATTTTTCTTTCTTAAAAAGTGTTTTTCAAGTTCTGAATACCACGAGCATGTGATCTGGATTTGATTTCTTTCGGGACATAATTAGTAACATTTTCTTCCGAAATAGAAATTTCAAACTTGTATTTTCACACATTATGATTTCGTAATATTCATATACCCTTTGGTTTCAGATGATAGATTTGCTGGATTCGCCGACGATGGATTCTCCGAACGGGTCGACGCCAACATCGACGATGCAGTACCCTCTCGTCTTGGATGCTTTCTTTCCCGCTCACTTGACAGCAATTCAGAATGGAATGGCACTACTGGTCAGCAGACAACCAAAACAACTTTCTTTCAATTTTGAATATTCAGATGGTCCCGGTTCGGCTGCAGCTGTGCTACGTACTCTTTCGAGAAGCAAGTCTATTGCAAGGTTATGTGTTTTCCGATTTTCTCAAAGCGAAAAGTTTGGTGAATGCTGTCGATGGATTTCTGCAATTCGTTTTCGTCTCGCTCTGGATGGTGTAAGTTGGCGGGGATCTTCGGAACGGAAATGGGAATTGTGAAAATTTAGACAAGAATATTTTCAATTTTTTTTCGGAATTTCAAAATCTGTTTGTCAATTTTTCATCAATTTTTTGTTGCGCTTCTTGGATGAGGAATATGGATTTTGAAATTCTGAATTCGTCAAGAACGGAATTTTTGACATTACGAAAAATTCCGAAAAGGCCATTCCAAACATCCCTGAAATTTAAAACTTCTACCTGTTGTTCCTACTGAGTTGTTTCCAGTTACCCGCCGTTGTTCTGGATCTGTGCACCGTACTTCGAAGCTGCAGTTATGTATCTATGCCTTGTCAGCTCATTTCTGAGATTCGTCCTGTTTTGCAACCGAGTCTATACTGTATATCACACATACGTCACGCTTATAACGTTCAGCAGGTATCAATAAGCTCTTTTTGAGAATCCAGATAATTTTAAACTTTGAGAATTCAGATAATTTTAAACTTTGAGAATCCAGATAATTTTTGTTTAGATATTTCTTTGGCCTCTTCATCCCATTCGTCGTGCTTCCTAGTTTCTTGTACGGAATTTCCTTTTTGCGTAAGAGAGCAATTTCATTTTAAAGGAATTTAAAAAATGTTTTTCAGCGCTTTGCCAACTCCTGGGAATCGTGTCAACCTCCAACTTGGAAATTCTGGAGTTCGCTGGACAAACTTGTTTTGAACAACTGTTTGTTAACTGGATGCCATTCATCGAAACCGCAATCAACTCGGTTCTTTGCAGTATCATCGTTGTGCAATATATCCGATTCAAGGTAAGAAAGGCGGGTGAGTTTTAATGAAATCGTGTAATCTTCAGTCCACGGATCCGGATGATTACTTTGAACCTCTTACCAAGGCGGCGCAAGTTTGGTGGTCAGTGAGATGTCTGTGGATTTTCTTGATTCATATAATTAATGCCATATTGTTCTTCGTTATCCGGTACTTTAAGAACCAATGGATCATTTATGCCATCAGCTACCACATCACCGTCATCTCTCCAATGCTAGACTTGTGCGTTCTGAATTTCATAAAAATTTGATAAAAATTTTTATTTCTTTTCAGGCTAGTTTATGACCTCCTTCTGTATCTAGGACAGACTATGAAGGAAGATATTTGGGTTGTGAAGAAAATTATTGCCGATCTCATAGAAGCAGCAGAAACACTGAAGGAAAAAGCGATGTCAAAGCATCGAGCATCAGTCACTCCAATTGTTGAGATTGAAATGGAAAATCGTGCCCCGGACACTGAAAATGCTCGAACCACTGAGCCTGTCCCGGCCACAGCATAATTTATCACGCCCATCACCTTTTAATTATTATTATCCCTGTTTCATATCCAAAAAAATCTAATTTGCTCCTAATGTTTCACCCATCCTCACTTGAATTTGAACATTACTCATCTAATCTACTACTTCAAAATATATATTGTCACCTTGTGTACTAATCAAAATGGCATGCACTTTTTTTCGAAAATAGCTGAAACTAAATGTAAATGTAAAATGGCATCAGTGCTGGAAAATTAGCTTTTCACATCACCTTCTAATTATTATCCACTTATTCTATCAGTTCAAATCTAATTTTTTCCGTATTATCACCCATCGTACTAATCCAAAGGTCACGCACGTTTTTTCGAAAATTTCTAATTTAAAAGCTCTCGCTGAGGCAGAGTGACTCTCTAATTAACCTCAAATTTCACTTGAGTGATTTTGAATTTTCTCCACTAAACAAAATCAAAACTTTTAATTAGTTGACTACACCCCAACAGCTTCGTTCATTGAAGTTTGTTTTTTTCTACCAAAATCTTGATTTTATTTTAAATTGTACTTTATACCTACAGTGCCAGTCGATCTCCAGTCACAGCGTAATTTCATTTCATTATTATCCACCGTTTCTGTCACTACAAATCCAAAGTACTTTCTAATATTGAACCCCTCCGATCTAACAATTTCCCATCACTCATTTAAATCTATCACCTAATAACATTTATTGTCACTTAGTGCACTAATCAAAAGGTACCAGTCAGGCGATCCTCAGTCACTGCGTAAGTTCCTATTATCATTATCCACCATATCTTTCAGTTCAAATCGTATATTTCTCTCATATCAAACCCCTCCCCTTTAATAATATCCTATCACTCATCTAATCTACTACTTCAAAAGAAATATTGTCATCCAGTGTACTAATCAAAAGGGCATGCACTTTTCTCAAAAATGGCTGACAATAATGCTCTGAATAATCTTCGGTTTCAAGATTTAACATGCTAATTGGGGGTTTTAACGTAGTGTACTATTTTTTTTTCGAATTCTCCAGATGAGATATTTTGCTGAGTCATGTCAATTTAATATTTCAATCGAATGAATTGAAATGTAGTCCACTAAACGAAATTAAAACTTCTGATTGGATGACTAAACAACAGAAATCTCCTTAAGAATGGTGTTCTTACATTCCTCGAGTTTAATTCTTTTGGACGAAATCTTGATTTTTAAAAAAATTGTGCTCTATATCTACTCTCTTGGGATCAGTTTTCTGATTTTATCAACCGGAACATGTTTAAATAAAATGTATCTTTCAAAAATTATTCTCTAAACAGTTAAGATATAACTTGTCTTTACATATTTAAACCAAATTCTGATGTTACAAAAATTCCCGCTAGACTCTATTCAAATTCCAGACTCTCTCTCTCTCTCTGTTCCGATGCGGTGTGGTGCAAAAATGTTACAATTGGTCACACAATTTGTTGGACAAACAACTTCTTTGTCTGTTTCGAATAGTACTCCTGCTGCCGCCGCTCAATATAGCAAAAGTGACCCCCGCGGAGGAGGAATACTTCCATCGTTTAGCGCTCCCAGCAGATTACTGTGGTGCTTTTTGTTGAACCCTGAACGTGCGATAATTTGCGTTTCGCTTTTATCCTTGCATCATTAAACCTCCCGTCACTAAACAACTGCTCAAATATGAATTGGAACACAAAGCACATACAAATACCTTGTAAACGAAACTTCTCAAAAATCAATCCGCTCAAAGTTAAAAGCTCAACGTTCCAATGATCAAGATCAAGAATGGTGGGTGGGCCGTAAGAAAGTCGGCTCTCGGTTGGGAATTTGCATAAACCAAACTACTCGGGTCAATAAACAAACAAAACCAATAAACAGTACAAGGTGTTTACAGGTTTCTTTCATATGTGTTACATATATAACACGTTTTTGGAAACTGTCGAATTTTTTAGACGTTTTTTATATTTTTTAGAAAAGTTCTATACTCAAAATGTTGATTATTGAATTTTCACATTTTTTCCAAAAAAAAAGTTGTCGATAAGCATTATTCAAAATAAACGCCATGAAGATGTATTATTGTGGTTTTGCAAAAAAAATAACTTCTCGAAAATCGACGTTCATATTTAAAATTTTCCACTTTCATAATTACCGTATTTTCTCTGATACAAGCCCACCCAAAACGTCGACGTTGAGCTCAATTATCTCGATTTCTGGAAGAGATATCAAAAAAAATGTCAACTGATAAATTATTTATCATAATATCACCAACATTTTATTATTTGACCAGTTTTTATTATCTTTCACAGAAATCGAAATAATTGAATTCAAAGTTGACGTTTTGGGTGGGTCTTCTGCTTGAGGAAATACGGTTTACAAATTTATTTACAGTACCGACCAATCATATATCATTTTTTGAATTTTTCAGTATAAAAATGTTAATTCTAGGTTCTACCAATTGTGTTTCAAAATTATCCCACTGATCTGAAGGCGTTCAGTACACTAAGCAAGAATGAAACTTCGGGTATTTGTAAAATAGGCGTCAATTGCAAATCATAATTTCTACTTTCGTTTAATATCCTCCCAAAAATTAAAACAAATCGAAAAAGTTTGGACGACTTTTTAGGACACCAAAATTGTTATTTTTTCATTAAAAACCCAAATACTGATATACTGTGAACTCTCTAACAGAAGGCCAACGATAACGTCAACTTTGAGCCCACAGATCAGATTTCCAGTGAAATTTACATGAGAAAGTAGTCAACTAACAAAATTCTAACTATTCCATTAAAAATATTTTGTCAGTTGAGCTTTTTTATATCTTTCCTAGGAGCTCAGATATATGGGCTTAAACTTAGTCGGTTATTGCGTTGTGTCAATAGGCACATATTAATTACGACCCTCTAGTCACCCTTCTTTTCATGTACTTATCTCTCTTGAGAATCTGTTCCACTGCTCTTCTAAGTTGTCATCTATATCACTATCATCCCTAGCCTGTCAAAAATAGACAGTTTGCATCTCGCCTCATCTCCCTTTTTTAGGAGAACGAAACCAATGAGAAAAAAGCGAGCGGTCATTAGGTCAAATTAACCTGCGCGGCCGAGCGGGCGGCTTATCAGAAACGAATCTTAAACAAATATTATCGTTTGCTCCAAACTTCTTTCAATCGTGGCGCAAGGCTTTTTTTGACCCCCTCCTCCTCCCGTTCTCTTTATTGTTTCGTTTTGATCAAATATCGCCCGCCTGCTCTGCTTCAAACTATTTTTTATTTTGCCTTCTTCAATTCTGCTTTTCTCTCAATTTCATTTTGAAAAGCACAACATTTCCAAACTTTGTTTATCGTCTCACTTCAAATTTTCGAGCCAGATTTTGAACTTTTTGCACTCCGGACTTCTTTTCATAAGAACATATTCAACATTCATGAATCTGTGTTCTGGCTTTTTGATCGTTCTGTGTCCGTTCTGTCGGTGCTCAAAACCATTTGCAACAACATGAATAGAAATGGCGGGGTAGGTGGGAGCAAGACAGAAGTAGAAGTGGAATTGTTTGTGACGACTTGTCAAGTTTTTGCGCTCGCACCTCTACTTTGGACCGATTTTCGTGTTGTTTCACAGTAGGAGAGCCACTGTAAAGGGTGTATTTGGTTTCACGCCAACGTGATAGCAGGGACACGGAGCAAACATTGTTCGCCCTCCCGATTGCGTGCACGCTTGTTCTCGGGAGTAGGGGAAGAGAAAAAGCTCATCTCTCTGATTTTGAACCTTCAAGTGCTGGTCATTTAGGAAAGTTGTTCGTTTTTTTTTCAAGAGCAGCTGATAACCTTTTTCGGATGAAATTTGTTAAAATGGTTCTTTTTCGATTCCTGGTGTTTTTGTGATAACGATATATACCTTATTTCGTCTCATAGGAGTTCACCCAAACTGTCTCCTTTAAGCTTATTTATCTTGATTCCTGTGAATGATATCAAAAATTTGTCAAATGATAAAATATTGGTGATATCATGATAAATAATTTACAAATTTATCAAATGTTAGTATCCTTTACAGAAAATGAGATATTAAGCTTAAAGTTGACGGTCTGAGAGGCTTCATATTAGAGGAAATACGGTATATGGTTTTGCCAAAACAACGAAAAATCGGAAAATGATTTGTTTTGACAATTTTCAATTTGAAAAAGTGTTCGGGATTTGACAAGTATCATATTTATAATATTATTATTGTTTTTTTCAAAACATTTACCGCCAGTTTTTGTTTTTCTTCTTTTTGAAATTCTGAACTTTAGTTTCTGATAGTGCGAAAAACTTACAAAGATCGTTTTACATTACATGAGCCAAAAAAAAAGATTAAAAAAAACAGTTTGTCACAGTTTTCATAGAAACCAAAATCACACCTGAATTTTTTTCACTTTCTGAATTGAAATATTAAAAAAAAATCATTTTTTTAAATTGAAACCCCCTCTAAATATTGACTAGCTATTTTTTAAATTCCTTTTATGTTCCAAAATATTTCTTTCACTAATTATAGCCATGTTTTTTTCACATATTTAATTTTCCCATCTCAAATTTCTCATCTCCCTAAATACCATATACAAATAAACAGGTCTAAAACAAGCCCAGACAATTTATTGGAGATCTTTGGAATTCTCCCATCCCTAGATTCTGTTTCTGCCCTTCTCTTATCCCATTTTTTCACCTTCCCACTCGTGTCGGCGCCTGTATAAAAACAATCACAAACATATCATGTTTCTCTTGCCCCCAGACTCCTGAACCGTTCCAACCGGCTCAGCTCAGTTTTTTGTGATTTTTCTCGAGAACATATCAAATCCGTCGTCTCAGCTGGTATGTGCTCAATTTTTTTTCTGCTCCGGGGCTACTCCTGCGCGCGAATCTCGTCTTCCAATTTATTTAACCTCGTGAGCCTCATCGTATCGTTCGTTTTGTTTGCAACTTGACCCCCTCATCCCATCGAAAAAATTGTTGGGTTCGTTCTTCACTCTTAGCCTCTGTTTTGGACAATCAACTTTAGAAAAACATAACTTTAGGTGCGTGAAGTGTGTGTTTATTTTTTTTACAAGCTACAGGACAAGAAAATGCTCTTCAAACTTGCTAGTATATTTTGTATAGTACAGGTAAACAGGTTTTTGGCACCAAAAACCATATGAAAACAGAAAGTGAGTTTTTCAGCTAACCGGAAGTTTATTACTACGAGTGAACGAATTTGGTCTACACGAAGCAGCGAATTTTACACGACAATGGCTCTCTATGGCTGGACCACATATGAAAATGCCCGAGATTCGAGTAAGAAAAAAAATTCAGACTACTGTTCCTGATCCTAAAAATTTAGCAATCCTTTTACAACTCGTTCGCCGGAGGAGAAATGACAGTAACTAACATTACAATTAAACGATTTGTGCCTCCCCTTATTCGATTCCGACCATCCGATCACTCATTTTTGTACATGTCCACACTGAGTGGATATGCTCAGGTTTCTGCAGAATGGTCTGTGGAATCTCAGTTTTTGCATATGCTCAAAATCCCACTCCAAGGCCAGATTCACGCTCAAATGACAGGCTTGATTAGTGAAATTGCAATGCAGGTGAGGCATCTACTTACAGCACCAGACTGATATACAAAAATGTATTTTTCACTTGATTTTTGGATATTTTGGGTGTTTTCAGGAGTCTAGAGCTCATCTGTCAAGTTTCCGATTACTTTGAAAGTTTGGTAGGGTGTGAAACAGATCTAAATTGAAAAATTTGCATTCGCAGAATTCTTCAAAAAATCCTAGTTTTTCAGCTTTTTGCTGATTTCTGAAAGGACTTTTTACATTTTCCCAAATTTTCAAAGCGATTAGAAGCTTGACAGTCGAGCTCCAGACTCCTCAAAAAAGTCGGAATGGACAAAAATCAACCAAAAAAAATTCGTTTTCGTAAATCTGATTGAGTGTGTATATGGTGGCATGTTCTATAAACAAATCGTTCCAGATAACCCAAGACAACGAAGTGGAAGTTCATCACTGTGTTGCGCAAATTCGAGACTTGCGAGTTGCCTTTGAGGTATTACTGTTTCTCAAAAAAAAACTATTATTCTCATTTTCTCGTATTTTAGGGCAGTGTAGCCGCTGATGTGATTCACTGGTTCCGACAAAGTGTCACACGTGCCATCAGAAGAACATTGGAAGAGGTAATATTTCGAAATATTAGGTTTTCTGAAAATTTATTTTAAAAAACCATTCACTTTCAGGAGTACTGTGACATGATGAGAAACCACTGGCTGCCATGGGTGGAGGCTCAGCTTTATCAGTTCCCCACCAATCTCACAATCAGTCATTCTCCAGATGTGAGTTTTGAATATTTTCGCTTCAGCTTCCGCCACAGTAGATCAACTGGTAGCTTCACAGAACTTCTAGAATTAGGTCTTCAATTTCGTAGAGATAATAATTTTTGTAGAGATAATACTTTTTTGTCATGCCCCCCCCCCCACCTTAAAACTTCGGCTCTAGTATGAAATTCTGGTCCTTAAAAAAATTCTGGTCCTTAGAAAAAATTCTGGTCCTTAGAAAAAATTCTGGTCCTTAAAAAAATCCTGGTCCTTAAAAATATTCTGGTTCTTAAAAAATTCTGGTCCTTAAATAAAAACTCTGGTCCTTAGGAAAAAAATTCAGGTCCTTAAAAGGTGTTCATGTAAATATATATTTTTCATCGGAAAATTTCGTAAAATCCATGAATTTTGTTATTTTAGTTTGTTTTCAAAAGATATTCATGGTAGACGTTGAAATTTTGTTTTCCGAAAGGAAATATATGTTGCAAGTATCAACGTCAATTGCACCCATAGTTCATCTTCTAAAGGAACATCAGGAAAATTGAAATTATACAAATTTTGAGTTTACAGATATAAAAATTTTTTTATTGGATGTAATTTGTTAACCATAGTTTCAAGACATCTTTTTTCAAGAAGGCTGTCTTGACGGCTTCATTCAAAAGAAGAAAGAATATCCGTATAGTTTGGATTGAATATTTCGATTTTCTTATTCAAAAACATGTAAACGCCTGAAGCTTCTTAAATTAGTGTACAATCTCAAATTCATCTTTAAGTTATTCTAAACGGTTCCGACAACATGTGAACAGAAGTAGCCCATTCTACACCATACATCTCGTAAGACTCATTACTTTTAAAATTTTGTTATAACGGATATGACTATTGCACAACAAGTTTGTACGTAGGTTATAAGAAATAAGTACGGTCTTTTTTCCGTAAAGGCCGCTCGGGAAAAAGTAAAAATAAGGAAAAACCTATTAAAGTCTCACAATATCTTGCAAATCACACGAAGTGTCTATTTTTAAAATCCTCGTTCATTACAAAAAAAAACAATGTTTATTCTTGAAACCACCGTTAAATCAAGAAAAGCCAAATATTTTTTTTAATTGACATAAGTCTCGTAATTCAAATGTTCGACCTATATTTGGAACGTTACTTGCCCTGTGGCATCTGATAGACATGGTACTTTTAGTTCTTATTTCTTATCAACTAGATTTTTTTAAATTTGATGGAACTCAAAATTTGTATAATTTCAATTTTCCTGATGTTCCTTTAGAATATGGACTATGGGTGCAATTGACGTTGATACTTGCAACATTGATTTCTTTTCGGATAACAAAATTTCAACGTCTACCATGAATATTTTTTGAAAACAAACTAAAATAACAAAATTCATGGATGTTACGAAATTTTCCGATGAAAAATATATATTTTCATGGACACCTTTTAAGGACCAGAATATTTTTCAAGGACCAGAATTTTTTTCAAGGACCAGAATTTTTTTTAAGGACCAGAATTTTATCTAAGGACCAGAATTTTTTCTGAGGACCAGAATTTCATACTAGAGCCAAAACTCCTAATTCCCATTTTTCAGGTCACACTAATTCAAACTATGCAATCTATTGCAATGACCCAGCACCACGTCGACGTTCGAATGAGAAGTGATTTAATTTGGGATGACGAGTTTGTGGAAAGCGGTATGGTCGAGAATTCCACACTGGCTAGTGTTGGTGAGTGATTTCTCCACCTGGATATCTGAATTTAAACCTAATTTTGTTCAGAAGCCCTCCCAAGATCCACCAGAATGATTGACATGTTCATTGATGAGCACACCGTACAGAGCATTATTGCTGCAGCTCATTTTGCTGGGCACTTGAAGTACGCCGTCTTTTTTAGCTAGTATTCGAAAGTTTCTTTTTAGAACAAAGATCGAGTCGCCGTTCTTGAAAACTAGCTGTGACGTGTTGTGTATTGGAACAGTACTACCAGAGCTCGCCGAGCAGGTCCCAAATCGGACGTTGTCGGTTGAAGCATCTACTCTATCACCTCCAGTCATTGATCTGCAGCAAGGAAGAGCGCTGGTTTATTTGAATGCATCGTTAAATGTAAAGACATAGCTTTCAAATTTGGAAAACGTAAATTTTGGATTTTCAGGTTTTCGCAGAGCCGCCATTGAAAACTGTAGAAGGCTCTATGCTTACGATCAATGTGGAGACTGAGTTCACGTTAACAATGGAGATGAGAAATAAAAGGGTCAAGGGATACATCAACATGATAAATGCTCAAGCGAACTTGGTGGATAGCAAAGTTGGGCTCATGTCGCAAAAGGTAATTTGAGTCTTTTTTGACAGTTTTCAACAACCAGACAGTTTTGATCGTGATAATACAGGCCAATAGATAGGTTTCAGTCTACAAAAATAATAGTAGGGATTTCAAATATGATTTTCCTGAAAGAACACATTTTGAGAATAGAGTAGTTCCAAATTTTGAAATTTCGAAATTTTTACAAAAGTTTTTTTTTTAATTTTTCAATTTTAGGTTATGTTTCATTGAAAACACATAACTGAAAATTCCAAATTTTGGGTAGTCTGAGCCCTACAGTACCGGTCAAAAAGATATACAAAAATGTATTTTTCATTTGATTTACGGCCATTTTGACCATTTTCAGATGTCTTGAGCTCAGCGGTTTCAGATCATTTTGAAAATTTTAGAGGGTGTTAAACAGACCTAGATGGAAACTTTGCATTCACATAATTTTTCGAAAGTTCCGTTTTTGTATTAAAAACTTGAAAAACAAGTTTTTTAAAGAAATCGGCAGATAACTGAAAAACTAGGAATTTCAAAATAAATACGTGGATGATGCAAAGTTTTTGATCTATGTCCGTTTTACATCCTCCGTAATTTTCAAAGTGATCGGAAACTTGAAAGTCGAGCTCCAGACGTTTGACAATGGCAACAATAGCAGAAAATAAACTGAAAAATACGTATTTAAAGACATTCTGAATGTCACGAAACTCGAATTCTCAATTTTTTTTATGATAGTGAAATAATATTTAAAAAGCTCATATAAGAAACGCTATTCCGCTCTTGCGCCTTTAATAAAATTTGAAGAGATAGCCACTCTCAGCCTTTATTTGTCAGACAACGATAATATCTCCCCACTTCAAAAATAATTTTCAGACTGTCGATTTCCTTGTAAACATGTCCACACCTTTCCTTGAAGACGCTGTGGATGTGCTAATCGGCCGAGGTCTAATTGTAGCGGACCCCTTCCAGTTTCCCTCAACAAATGAGCACTTGAGCATTCATGACAAATGTCTCCGGTGGGAAGCTGACATTGTTATGCCGACAGTGGTGGCTCACACCAATGTGTTCTAAATTCTCTTTCATTGGTCACTCCACAAAAAAATTTGGTCAGTCCACAAAAATGGGTCCATTACAAACAATCGAAAAAACATTTCTCACATTTCTCGAAAGTTTCTCAGTCTTTCAACATTTTTTCTTTCATTTCCCATTTCTTTCATTATTGTAGTTCAAAACTGAAGCGAACGAGGTTTTCAATTACTACGTATTTTTTTCTGTATTCCTATTCCTTCCATTCTTTTCCAGAATCCACAGATTCCAACTTGGTAACATCTATGATGTATAATATTTATTAAATTATATGTGAAATATCAATATTAACAAGAAGAAAAAATCCATGAAATAAACATATTGTTTTCCTGTGCTAAAAATGTGGCAAAAATAAAAAAGAAAAATAGTAAAATGAGATGAGAGCCCGTGAAGAGAAGAAGAGAATATAAGTCGAATGTCTGTGTAGCTGGATGTTCCTTGAATTTTATACTTTTACTTTAATATCTGATCGTAATTGCGGAGTTCAAATTTTGACACGCGTACGAACTCTCTTCCAAGCGATCCGCATGATTGAGAATGTAGTTTTGTCTGAAATAATTTTAAAATAATTTTATTCTATCTGAAAATCTTTCACCGTCCATAGGAATCTGAATTGAGGCCGTCTTCGTGCCCCAAAACGTAGTAGTCCCGCTTCAAAGTCTTTTTTGCTGGGTTACAACCAACATTACAAGAACGAAGCCACACTCTAACTTTCTCTGAAAAAATCTTTTTTAAATTTCAAATTTCAAGTATAACTCACTGGAAAGTTCAAATGCGCTTGCTCCAAGACCATTACTATCCTTAACAGTACCATTATAAATAGTATAGTTAGCTCCATTCATAACAGAGCTGCTGATCGAGTTAAGCTCGAATCGGATGCCAAAGTAGCCTGGACTGGATAGCACATCTCTCAAAACTTTTGGACTATCAAAATCACACTTGTTGCATTGCACACTGCAAGTTGTTTCGGCACATGAACATTCTCCTGGAAGCAGAAATTGTTTTTTTCTTACGTACCGTAAACACTTTACTAAAATAAAGTCAACATATACTTGTGCTTTGAGATTAATTACCTCATAGAATCACCAATATTTTATCAGTCGACAAATTTTTGATATCTTATAGGAACCGAGATATTGAGCTCAAAGTGCAAGTCTATGGCGGCATTCTATTACAGTATTCGCGGAAATTTAATTATACCTCCATCATAGCATACTGTATCCACTGCGGACTCGTCTATAATCCTCCGCACAAATCTCGTTCTTGTATAATGATGACGTCTGTGTCGAACCACCACATCGGACTTTGGCACATCGGGATGAGCAATGAGTAGCATTCCAACTAATCCTTGCACAGGATGAGTGGCACGGATTGGGACCGGCGCAGACTTGTAAGGAATATTCCGTCCACCTCTCGATTCGCTAAGTGCCACCTTGTAACAAATTGTTTGGTTGGTTTTGATATTGGTGATGATGAAATGGAGACCGAGGGCGGATGATGAGGGGTTGATAGGTGCGTACGTGTCATTCTGAAATGGAATTTGAGGGGAAAAAAAATATATTTCTGAGAGATACCAAGAAATATAACTGATCCGGGGTCGCAGTGAACAACGTGTAGGTTCCGTGGAATATGTCTAATGTTTTGATAGTTGGATTGGTGACGCTGAAATTTGGATGGTTTAAGACTTGCATATGTTTATTATAACGTTTCATTAAAACTTTTTCTCTGCGTTACTCCCTACGTACGAAACATATCGTATTTACTCTATTAGAAACCCACCCAAACCGTCAACTTTGAGCTCGATTACCTCGACTCCTGTGAAAGGTACACAAATTTGGTCAACTAGTAAATTATTCAACATACTGCGACAAGCATTATGTCAGTTGACGCATTTCTGATTTCTTCCACAAGAATGAACATATGTGAGCTCAACATTGACGGTTTGGATGATCTTCTATTAGCGCAAGTGTGGTATAACTGTATTGAACAGGGTGGCATTATATATTATACTAAAAGTAGACGTGTAACTATGAAAATTTTTTTTTAAATTTTTCATAAATTCCGTATGCTCCGGGTTGCCTCGAAAAGAGAGTTTTTAAAAAAGTTAAAAATTTTTATGCCAGTGAAAAAGCGATCATAGAAAACAAGATCCTAATTTGTGACATGCTTTTCTCCATTTGACAATTCATCTTAAACGATCTCTAAGATCATGTACCGTAAATTTTCTGTAAGACCACCCTATACGTCGACTTTTGCTAAATTATCTCAATTCCTGCAAAAAATATCAAAAATTGGCCAACTGATAAAAATTTATCATTATAACAGCACTATTTCATAAGTTGACAAATATTTAATCTCATTTAAAGGAACCAAGATAATTGAGCTCAAGGTGCATCCTATCACAGAATTTACTGCACTTTCTACGCCTCAATCCTTTTACACTCCTTACTTGAAACAAACTGTTTGATGCACAAAATTGTCCTGCACTGTCTGATCAATCGATAAATGCACTGGATAGTAATCGTCTTGCGTCAGTCCTCTCTTTGGTCTTGGCCGCTTCGTGGCCACAATCCTCGCAGCCACCACAGCTTTTCCGTGTCCTTTTGTTATTAAAGTTACATAGTGAATGTTGTTGGGAATCTGAAACATGATATGTCAACTGAAAAAACAATAAGCAAGCTTACATGAATTTCAATCGGGCTTTCTGTGACATTCACTCGTTTTTCAGCACACCCTTTACATCTTACGGTGACCTGCAGTTTTAAGATTGTTTTAGAAAGGGGAGGATTTTCTTCATTCCTCGGTTCTTACCTCCAAATGATCATTAAACCCAATCTCGACTGTCCTCCTTTGTTTCTCATACAACGATCTTGTTGCCACTAGAGTCGTCAGCGGACTTCCATATGATCCATCACTTCCTTGTTGCTCGGAAATCCAATCCGCTAGTCGGTCCCAGTCAATTTCAGTTCCCTCCGCATAAGCAGACACTATTGCGGATAGTGCAAAGCTGTTGACCATGACTTGACAACTCTGCAAAAAAACAAGAAAAGCCATGAAAGTGCTACTAATTGTTTTTTCATTGGTGGATAGGCGTGTTAAAGACCTTCTACTCTCATTTTCAGGGAATAGCCCTTAATCTATTTTTCTATTGTTTTCTAGTTTGACTCGTTTTCCAGAAACGACCATTCTCACCTCTCGTCTCCGCCTGAACGACTCGTTGTTTCTTTTCAATTTGTCGACTCGATTCGGCTCGTATCCACTACACTTCCAGTATGGAGGATGTTCTTCTGGGAAAATTCGCTTTTCAAGGATTAAATTAGTTGCGGAAAAAGAGGAGAGGAAGAAAAAACATTCTAGACACGAGGTCATTTTGCTGGTCTCACCCCATAATTATCTTCCGAAAATTGTCTAGTGTTCAAAATTTCAAAAGTTCAGAATTTCAAAGTTGAGATCAGAGCCGCATCATTCATTTTTCTTGTTGTTTCAGATTGACAAATTTCAATAAGTTTAGTAATAATAAGACTTGTTTTAGCTTTCATTACATCATTTTCTTCCAAATCTCCCATTTACTCACTATTTATTCTTGACAATAAGTCACTTCTCATCAATTCTGCGGTCGCATTTGTTGCCATAAACGCAATCGCTGCCGCTGCTCTTCCATCCTTCACATTAGATTCATCCAGTGTATAAAAATATTTATGTAACTGCCCGAAAGATTTTGTCTGAAATAAGATACTGTCAAGCCGATGTTCCGTGTTTTCCCCTACCATATTCCTCAGACTACTGCGATAGCTTGAGCAATCGCGTGAAACCTGATACATAAATGAGACTAGTAGGTATTTTTTGTCCTCGGTGTTTTCGACGTCTATGATGTCACTCAGGTCCTCGTTGAAATCCTTTCGTCCTAGTTTTGGAATGTAGTCGGTGATTGTTTTCAGTGAGCCGAGCACTCGGTTCTCTTCAACGTCAGCTTCGCAAAGAAGGCTGGTAGCAATGCTAGTCAATCTGAAATTGTTTAAAGTTTTTGATAAGTGAGATGTGATTTCTTTTACAATATGGAAATATCCTTGGATGATTGTGGACGTCCAAACTCGCTATAGGCGCATGGTTCTTTCCGTGAAGTGCAATTAGAGAACTGCATCATTTCGTTGATCACTGTAATATTAATTCTCCATAATAAATGTATTTTTTTATATTTTCGCTTGAAGCTCACTAATCTTGTTTCCCATGAAAGATTTTCACAAATTGCTAACTGAGAAAATGCTTGCGATTGTCTCACCAACGTTTTTATAGTTCGCATCATTCAAAAATCTTATAATTGCAACGGGTCGGGCCGGCCCGGGTGGCCCGGAAGGCCTGGACAGTTAGCGTCAGTTTCGAATTTTGAAAGAATAGCTTTTTTTTTTGAAAAAATTTGTGTATAGCATCTAATTTTAAGCTAAATTGTAAGTATCTAATTTTTAACGCTTAAACAAAAATTTTTAAAACTATTTTCTTTCTGACATATTTTCGAAGTTGGGATCAGCTTGAAAACTAAAATTTTGAAGCAAAAAAACAGTTTTTTTCTCATTAACGAATTTTTTTGTGAAAAAATTCTCAAAAATTTATCAAAAAAATTTTTTTTGCTGGGAAAGAAATCGAAATGTTGTTAACCAAAAGAATTGGTGACAATATAATAAAAATTTTATCAGTGAACAAAAGTCTGTTATCATTCACAGGAACTTAGATAATTTAGTTCAAAGTTAGCGGCTTGTTGAGCTACGGTAGAAATTATGTCAATAAGTTTTAGAGTCGAATTACTGTAGAACTAAAATATTCGTTCTAATAGCAATTATTTCGGTTCCTATAACTTTGTTCCAGAGCAGATATAGCTTCTTTTTTACGACTTTCATAATTATTTGGACTACGGTAACAATTATGTTGTGAAATATTTATGACGGATTACTGTAGAACTATGAATACTCTTTTGATTGTAGTTATTTTATCTCTATTTTATGATTTTTCTGGCAATTACAGCTATTCAAAAAGCTGTCAAAGACAAATCAAAGCTCTATCAGAGCGTTAACATTTCCTCTTTCACTCACAATCATTAATCTCTGCTTCCATTTGGAAAGATGTGTATCCCGAGAGCTTGAGTTTCTTGAACTTGTACAGTACCACTGACAGCTCCTTGATAACTGAAGTTAGCATTCTTTGCCCATTTCTCTTGAATCTAGTCTGCGAGGACATTGTGGCAACTCGATCGTACAGTGGGAGGAATTCTAAAGCTTTGGAATTTCATTATTAACCTTTGTCGCCATGTCCCACTTGATAACGTTATACTGAACAAGAAAACAGTTTCAGTATCTGGAACATTTGACGTGATAAGAGTGTTAATAGTCTCTGGATCATCCGTCGACGCGTGTTGGTCGGAAAATGCTGAAAATTGAGTATAACTTCTCAAATATCTATGTTTCCAAGCCTTACTAATCATTTTAGTATCCTTGCTACTTGTGGACACCGGATCATCGTTCATTGCTGTTACCAGTGGTTTGCTCGGGTTTAAAATATGACGTTCATAGTATTCCTCGGTGTCTGCCCGTTTCTGAAAAAAAAAACTCAAATGTATTTATTTCGTCTTGTGATTTTAAAACACCTGTATTTCTATTTGTTTCCGCACTGCATCTAGTATTTTTCCCGTCTCGCAGTTTTCTCTGAATTTTTATAACTTTTCATAGCTTTTCATAGAAACAAATTTTCTCACGTTTTAAGAGTCACAGTCATATTGACAAGTCCTGGAGATAGAAACTTCATCATCAGATACTTGCTTTGTATGGGTGAGTTTCTAGACAGTTCCACTTTCATGTAATATGTGTCTCCTTTGTTTCCATTCGCTCCTTGATCAGCACAAACTTTTCTTGGAAGCTCTGATAAGCATATCACAAATGTTTCTCGAGATTTGGCGAGGTCTATTCCAGTAACAGTGAGAAGAGGGCTGATAGTTTCATTGACGTAGACGTTTTTGGGCATATCAACCTGAAAGTCAGTAGATACAGTGCCGTTCAAGGTACACAAAAACATAATCTCAAGTCAATTTTTGACCATTTTCCAAAGTCTGGAGCTCGGCTTTTAGGTTTCCGATCACTTTGAAAACTTTGTAGGGTGTAAAATAGACCTAGATTAAAATTTTTCGTGAATTCCTAGTTTTTCAGTTATTAGCCGATTTTCGAAGGTTACCCTTTTTTCCGTGCTTCTTTAGAAAACGTGAAAAAAAGCATTTGGCCCGTTTTAGTACTAAAAAAGTGAATTAAAACAGGTTTTATTTAGAAATCGGTAAACATCTGAATAACTAAGAATTTTCGAAAAACTTTATAACCTCAAATTTATATTAGGTTGGCAGGAAAGTAACTGCCCCTTGTTTCATCTGTGAATAATACAAAAACCGGGCTAAGCCAAGATTAGCAATTTGCACCGTCGTGGTCCACAACATGTTGCCAACATTCAGGTAACTTGTGAATACCATACCTCCAAAAGCTAGCTAGCCGCGAATCAGAATATCTATTTTTTTCAGTTTTTTCTCATAAATGGTGCAAAATTCGTCACCCTCCAGATGGCGTTGTACATCTCCGAATAACCAATAATCTGATAGAACTGAATCGGGACTATAAGAAAATGAGGGAGAACAGCCCCGCTGAAGCTGCTCAAGTCTGACTTGCCTTTCGTTGAAAAATGCAAAATCTCATGTTGCACGGAAAGTCACGCCGTACCTGAGCCGCTTTGGCTAGACGGTTTTCCTTTACCCCCGTGAAAGTTCTGATTTTGTTGTATCAGATTATTAATTATTCGGAGATAAACAACGTCATCTGGAGCCTAAGGACTTTGACAAAATCGGCGAGAAAAAATGTACCAAAGTAATAGTTTCATTCGCAGCCAGCTGGTGGTTGGAGGGATGATATCCACAAGTTGCCTAAAAGTTGACGACATGTTGTGGACCACAACGGTACATACTGACAATCTTGGAATAATCTTGTTTTCGTTTTATTTACTAATTAAAAAATGGACAGTTACTTTCCTTCCAACCAAATAATCCTGGTCGGTTTTGCACTCTTCAAATTTTTAATACAGAACTGGAACCTGCCAACCAAACTCAATGACGAAAAATGGTCGAAATCATTTTTTGAAAAATTTCCGAAAGTTTGAAAACTCCAATTTTTCTGTGGACTTTTGTGAATAAATCAACACTATCTTATTAAGACTGTCCAGGTCATGCTTTTTTTATCGCTCTCGGATCGAAAGAAAACCATATGACATTTGAAACTTTGATGCATGACGAATTTCAATTTTTCTAAAAGCCGTTTCCCTTCTATATTTTTTAGCGAATTTACAGTCTTGTTCTCAATCTTTTTCATTCAAATTACACATTTCCAAAAAGTCAATATCTGGAAATTTTTTGAATTTAAGAACTTTTAAAATACTCCTCAAAACAAGAACATTTTTAATGATCCTTCAAATGGAAAGTTTTCAATCTAAGACTGGAAAATGGGCAGCCAAGGTCCAGGCTTCTGAAAATGATAAGAAAGCCAAAATTAAACAGGAAATTATATTTTTGCACATCTTTTTGACCGGTACTGTACCTCCAAAAAAATCGGTTTCGTAGTCTGTATGTATTTTGTTTCTCCCGGAAACAAGGAAACCCTTCCATGCCACCAAAACGCGCTGTTAAGTGCCCATTGTCCAACGTTATCAGGTGTAGTAGCCACAACATTTTTTGTTCCATTACGTCTGAAAATCCCCTTTGTCCTCTTTTTTCTAGACACTTTTTCTCACTCTAGTACGATTGCATCGAAAAGCCAGGTTTCAGGGAAATGCTGTCGAACTTTCGTTTTCGGTGGAGTCAGTCCTGTATCATGGAATTCGCTGAAAAATTGAGATTATTGAGTTTAATATATCAGAAGGTTCCAGGTAAATCTAATGTATTATAAAAACTAGTTGTTTTTTTCCAAAAGTTAACTCAATTCCAAAACAAGGTTAAGTAACTTAAATATACTAGTAAATCAACATGCAGGAAAACACACGGTCTGATGGTGAGGGCATGAGGAGCATTCTGGAGTTTGGAACGAGAAAGAGCTTTGCCTAACCAGTTCGTTGAGCTCGCCGTCAGAATAGCTGATTTCTCAGTAGGGAATGGGTTCAGGATAGGGAGCGCGGTAACTGAAAATATAAATTTTTTTAAAAATAATAATTTTAATTCTAATTCTAACCCGATGAGTTCTTATAGCAGCTTTTCAAAACATATTTTAAGCATTTTTCGGACACTAGGGATGATGACCGTTGCCCTTGTTCACATCTAAAACGAATTTGATTTCCCGCTGCAGAACACACGTCCTCTGAAGAAAAACAAAGCGTCTGGAAGTGAAAAAAAGTACGGAAAAACATACTCATCGCCTCTTCAACCCTATCCTCGTCGACGAGATTCAGAATTTTAGCACCCGAAGATTGTTTTCCAAAAATCAAATAGTCCTGATATTCGTGGGTCATGTAGTCGTTTCTCTGGAAATTGTGCTTTGGGAACACCGGACAAAAAATTATTATATTTCGGTGTTTTTAGTGGAAAACAAGTAACTTTAGTTCAGTTTTTTTTTTCGATTTAACTGAAAATTTCAGAGAATACTGAACGAAATTGAATATTTAATTTTCTAAATTTTTTGTACAATTCAACAAAACCATGTAAATTCGAAGTGGCACAAATTTCTTTTCAGTGCTTTTCGGCACTAATTGGTAAAAAATGGCATATCTCATAAGATTAGAATTTAGCATAATAGTTGTCAATTACTAAAAACGATATGTTTTTTTTTGCTGATTTCAATCCAAGCTTTTGAGATCAATGGAAAAATTCTGGAATATATTCTTCAGGAATCCGAGTGTGCCTGTTTTTGCACTGAAAATCACAATATACGTGATCTTTGAGCTCAATTATCTTGGTTTCTGTGAAAGATAATAAAATTTGCATCATAATATCTTCAATATTTTATCAGTTGACAAATTTTTGATTTTTGATTTTTTTACTTTCTTCCACTGAAATGGTTTCTAAAAACATGATAACCAGTTTTTTTTCCGATAAAAAAATTCATACGTTAAGCTCAATTATCTCGATTCCTGATGTAGATATCAAAAACTTGTCAACAAATGAATTATTTATTATAATATCTCCAATATTTTGTCAGTTGACAAATTTTTGATATCTCTCACAGGTAACGAAGTAATTCAGCTCAAAATTGACTGTTCGGGCGGGCTTTTATTAGAGCAAATACGACATTTTTTCCGGTACTGTAGTTTCAAATTTATATATTTTCTTACCAATGCAATGTAACTCAATCGTTCATCCATTGCTCTATAAAAAACAACAGCTTCTGAATGGCCTGTAAACTCCAATTCCATCTGATCCCCAGGTTGAATCGCGTCATTTTTCCCTAGCTCTCTTCTCATTCCATTCGAGATTTTGGACACTTTCACCTTGCAATCCTGAAAAAAGCCTTGATTTGTTTTTTAGCTATTCTACGTTTTTTTCTACCACCAATTCTGACTTATTCATTTTCCGTTTCTATTATCCGCCATGTTTGCTATCACCAAAAATATACAACTTGTGAAAAATTGAAGAACCTCGCGCTCCACGAGAGACAAAACAAAACGAACCTCACAAAAGTTGTGTACCCGGAACAACATGAAATCGGAGGTGGAATCCGCGGAAAACGCCGTCAGAATACAGGTTCCCTCCATTTTGTCGGTAATTTTCACACGGAGCACATTGTTTTTGACGTCGTTCGGAACGCGATGTATGGTGTGTGAGTTGCAGATTATCTGGAAATAGATTGAATGCACTTTTTCACGCTTATAGGTAGTAAACAATATTTCCTTTGAATCCCTCTTAGAATAGCGAAAAAAAAAGAAAAAAATCCACTAAATTTCCCAATTCATTCTTTGATTTCTCATCCCCATTTTCCTTTTCTCGCCATTTTCAACAAATCTTTTCTTCAGAATAGCAAGAATTATTCTCTTTCACATTTCTTGTGAAAAGCAACTAATGTAATATTTTCCCTTCTTTCGATTTACACACTTAGATCGAAATTTAGATCGAAATTTCGAGTGGTATCTAATTCGATTTTTAATAGAATAATACTTTGGGTTATTATTATTCTTTTTTTATTTTTTTCCCTTTGTTACGATTTCAGCCAAAATTAATTTTTGAGAAAAGGCGTGGGACCCGATTCAGTTATTTCAGGAATTATTAATTATGTTTTGATAGATTGGTAGGATATGAACCAAGTTCAAGTCCTTTCACTCCCTCAAAAAAAGAATTCCTGATCTTATTATGTAAAATGTATTCAAGTATGATATTTAGATGGAACGCTGGAACACAAAAACCAAATTTCTACGCTCGTGTCTTTTTAGCATGACCTTTCAAGAAATATATTTCCACTTGAAGTGCTCGCTCTTCTTCCATTCCTTTCATTACTTCTAACTTTTTATGTCATTCGTTTTCATGTTTTATTACTTTTACTTTTTCTTTTGGAACGTTGTACTTTTCCCCTCTACTTTTGCCCAAATAATGTGGCTATTTTTAGCAAACTAGTCGGGAATTCAAAAAAGATTATGACAACCGAAATACCTGCGAATAAAAAAATTATTATAGTTCTACAGTAATCCACCATAAATATTTAACAACATAATTGTTACCCTAGTCCATACAAATATGAAAGTCGTAAAAAAGTAACTGTAATTGTCTTGGAGCAAAGCTATAAAAGAAACCTAAATAACTGCAATTGAAAGGATAATTATTGTTCTACCGTAATCCTTCGAATTTTACAGCCTAATGGCTACCGTAGTCCATATGTGTCGTAAAAAATTAGAAAGTCGTAAAAAATAACATTCTCTGCTCTACCGTATTTTGCTCTAATAAAAGACCACGCAGACCGCTAACTTTGAGCTCAATTATCTCGGTTTTTTTTGAAAGATATCAATATGCAGTAAACTTATAAATTATTTACCATGATATCACCAATATTTTATCAGTTAGCAAAATTTTGATATCTCTGATAGGGAGCGAGATAATTGAGCTCGATGTCCAAAGTAAGAGAGCCTTTCTGTTACAGGTTCTACGGCGATTAAATCACTCCTTTTGCCAAAACAGTAACAAAAGCTTTTACCCGATTCTGAAAATTCTCAATTTTCGAACCGAGGGTCGTTTCAGAAAACCACCAAAATTGATGAATAGAACCTATAATTTGAAATTCTAGGCACGCGCGTACGTCAGCGCATTGACACAATTGTATTAATTTTGAATTCCTAAGAAAAGACGATTCATTTAAATTTCTAAATTTTTGGGTTTTTTACAGAAGTCATTATTACAGATCCAGTTAAAAAATAACTTTCAATGTGTCTCAAATCAAACCGTACTTGCTCTAATAGACAATCTTCCTTACAGTACCGTTTCAGCTTTATTATCTAGGATCCTATAAGAGATATCAAAAATCTGTCAACTTATATACTATACACTTATATACTATCAATGATATAATGTTAAATAATTTATTAGTTGACACATTTTTTATATCTTACAGAAAAATTGAGATATTTGAACTCAAATCTGACGATTCAGTTTTATTAGAGAAAATGCGTTAATCTAATTTTAATCAATGATTTTGAACAGCCATTTTGACAAAATGTGACATTCATTTGATAATGCGAAAATCTAAAGAAAATCCTTCAAATTCGAGAACGATAAACAATATTTGGGCGCTAGACCGTTGTTGTGCACCGGGGTGGGAGATGATCCGCCGGATTGGAATCATCGATGAGCTATCATGTACAGAACGCAAATTCAGAGATCCTTAATATTCCGCTATTTCAAAAATTCGGTTTCCCAAGAATCCTAGTATTTCCACAAAAAAGTTGTTATGACGTTCTTTTTTCACATTTTCATTTTGGACCACCTACGTCTGGGACAAGACAAGACTTAATTCATTTTGCTCATCTAGATTCATCCTATTATTCCGGATAATTTTCCGAGAATAGAGCTAAATTTATTGAGAGAACTAAGGTCGAGTAAATATCATGTGTGTTCCGAAAAATGGGTGTTTGTAAGAATGTTTTTGAGCTCATTCTCATTTTGAGTTTTTCTTCCAAGTATAGTGAAATTATCGTTTTTCCTCTTGAAAGCTTACCAAATATCGGTAACCAATAGTTCATCAGTTGACGGATTTTTAATATCTTCCACGGGAGTTGACATAATTAAGCTCAAAGTAAATCAGCTGAGCTTTTATCAGAAATGTGGTAACCCATTTCAAATCCTAAACTCAAGAATTTATTATTTTCCTTCAACCCTTTCTAACATTAATAGATAAATAAATAATACATATCATGTGTGTTTGAAACAAATGGATTTCTTGAGAAAAGTTCTTTTTTGAGCTCGTTCTTAGAGCTTATTTATTTTTTCGAATTTTTTCCAAGTAAAGTATTAACCCATTTGAATCCTAAACTCAAGGTTTTATCCTCCTTCAACCCGTCTCTAACACTAATGTATAAGACTGTCTCACCCTTTCCTTAAACCCTTATAAGATTTTCTAGAATTTATTTTTCCTGGCTTTGCTCCAAATCCATGTACGCGGAAACGTTTAATACTTATATATCAGATTTTGACTCACCACAAAATTCATATCTTTCCCTGTCTCCGCCACTTGCACATTCATAATTTCATCGTCTGTGTAGAACGGTTTTGAATCTTCTGGTTGTATCAAATTGGACATCAAAGAAGTCCCACTGAGATTTGGGATGTATAACATTGTCTCGTTACTGTAGCCATTTTGAATTTGGCGTTTTGCCTGAAGTAAAAAGAATTTTTGTTTACCTTTTCCCATCCAGCGGATCTTTGTCTTACAATTACACGAATAACGCTGGCGTCGTCCCTCCACTCTTTCGGAATACCAATTTTCAGCGCCTCTCCGATTTTTGAGCTCATTTTAATTTCTTTTGTTCGCATCACACTATTCTTCTCGGAAATGGATTCGAGGAAGATGCTCACATTTCCATGAGCGATACCATCTCCATCAACCTGAAATAAGACACTAGAAATCTTCTTTGTGTATCGGGTGTATTTCTTTTTGTCGTCTATTATTTTTGAAAGACTAGAAATCCGCCTTCTTCTTCACACCTCATTTATGGTCCCATCACTTCCTACGCACTTTCGCTAAGTTATACCTCATTTGACACTTACCATCAAACCTAATGGGACACCCCTAAAAAGCATAGAGGAGGAAAAAGGAGCGTGGCCTAATTGAAATGACTTTTTAGCTATTTCAATCTTTTTCGATTTCACTTCTAGTTGTTTTCCTCCCCCTAACTTTTGGAAATTCCAAAATTCTGTTTGAACAGGGTTACTGTAATAAGGGCCGACACAAACCGTTAACTTTGAACTCAATTGTCATGATTCTCGTGAAAGATATCACAAACTTACCAACTGATAAATTGTTTATCACAATATCACTAATATTTTATCAATTGACTAATTTTTGATATCTATTACAGAAAATTAGTTATGTTTGCACAAAGATGATAGCTTGGGTAAGCTTCAAACAGAGGGAATACGGTATGTTCCCCGGCAAAACTTCTTATAAATCTGGCTTCTTGAATTTTCAAAGTTTTACATTCCCCGTAACATTTAAAATCCCAATTGAAAATTCGTCGTTTTTTTTTGCTAAAAAATTTGAAAACCTTGTTTTTTTTTCAAAGAGAGTACTGTAGAGGATAGAAAAGCGTAATTTTCAGTTGGCTAAACGTCAACTTTGAGTTCAATTATGTCAGTTCCTGTAAAAGATGTCAACATCTGTCAACTGATAAATTATTTATCATAATATCACCAATATTTTATCAATTAACAAATTTTTGATACCTTTTACAGAAAATGAGATATATGCGCTCAAACTGAACAGTTTGAGGAACGTTCAATTAGAGTGGTTACGGTAACAATACTTTTGACTTTTAACTCACCAGTAAAATCACATTCTCTGTATCTTTAGTAAAATAGGGTCGGGCAGCTGTGATAGTGAATTTTGGAGCCATAACATCCCAATTGAGCACCAAATCTTGCCGATAGCCAGTTCCATTTTCTCTGGACTCGACGAAAATCTGAAATTTATAAATTAATGGTTCTTTTGTGAATCAAAAAGTGATGTGTTCTGAATCACCAAAAACCTAAATTTGTATTGTTCTAAATCTCTAATGACTAACTTACCTATTTCAAGACCCTACTGTAGATTTAAGATCACCTATTTCCTTCTATTGTCACGAAAACGTGCGCTACGGATTAATATACGTATTAGCCGAGTCACGTTAAATCTATTGGATAATGACGAATAGGAGAAACTACATGAGATAAAGAGAGAAGGAGAAAAATGTGCTGGGACGCTTCATATCCTCCCTATAAGGCGTCCGGGCAAATTGATTGCACACTTGTTTCTGCTTTCGTTTTCACCCCACCCCAGTTCCTGCTCACTTCCTTTTTTTTTACCATCACAAACAACTTCCCTTTCTCATTAACGTCGACCTTACACAAATATATTTTTCTTCTCTTCGTAGGATTCTCTTAGAATCAATCTCAAAAAGGTTCTTTCTTCTATTTTGTGTTCCTTCTCCTTAATCCAATTTTGTTCAATCGTTCAATTTAATTTATTTCAAACCTATCCTTCAATGACATACCTCTTTTGGCAGGGGGTTCGTTGGGTCGCACTTGCCAAGATCGACTGTAGAAAACCAAATACCATTGTCAAACTGAAAAAAAACAACAAGATGATATTCATTTTTGTTTGATGCGCATTCATTTTTTGGTGATCATAGTGTTTTTGGGTGCTCTCATTAAGAAATAATGACTCATTTATATATGCGCATCTCCGTCCTCGCCGTCCCCCAGTTTCATTTTTTCCCACACTTGCAAGAAAGAAGCTGTCTACTCTTCTTTATCTTCGACGGCTCGGCTCAACCAATTTTTTGGTTTCAGCAGATTTTTTCTTAAAGTTCCGTGTGTGACAGAGCTCGACATTCATAGAATTGTTCTAGTTCCAAGTTCTGGATACTGTCATTATATCCAATCAACGTTTTCAGGGTATCCAAGTATCATGATCAAATATCTCTTTGACTTTCCATCTACCAATTATTTGGTTACAATACTAGGAACGGCCTAAATGCATAAGGCTTCTGTTTTTATAAACTAATTTTGCTAAATAAGTCGAATTTCTACTAAGCAGCCAGTTTTGTCAGAAAGCAGAATCCTGAGGTCGATTGCCCTTGTATTTTTTGAAATTTCAAAATGAAGACAAACTTTTGTGTGTCTGATCTTTATTTGAAAATAACTCTATTCTTTTTCATGATCTGAAAAGTCCTAGACATTACGAAAAGCGTCTATGAAAATCGTTATTTTCGCGCTGAAAATGCGATTTTTGCTACCGAAACTAATATACCGTAAACACTCTAACAGAAGGCCACGCAAACGGCCAACTTCCAGATTGTCTATCTCAGTTCCTGTAGCAGATATCAAAAAATGGACAACTGACAAAATTTTTTGGATATTATAATAAACATTTTGCAAGTTAACCATTTTTTGATATCCTCCACAGGAACCGAGATAGACGAGCTCAAAGTTGGCGGTTTGGGTTATCTTCCATCAAAGTATTTACGGTAACTGGGCTGAAACTGGCGGGCAGGCTCTAAAATTTCCAGAAATGTTCAAATATGGTAATTCCAATATATCTTGAAAATGTCATTAAAATCTTGCGCTCACAGTTCGTGTTCTCGTTTATTATCCAACTAACATCCTTTAGGAAAAATCGGATTCTTCCATTTCTCATTTAAGGGTACTTAGAGAAAAAGAAAGACAGTTAGGCGGAATAATTTTGCATATATCTCCCTTTGTTTTCGTAGGTTTTTTGAATTGGTAACATCATGCAAAATTTTTCCGAGAACATTTTTTTTTCTTTTTTTTAGAATTATTTCGACAGAACCATTACCTCCTGGATTACACTTGTGTTTTCGTCAACTCTTATAAAAACTTTGGCTGCAGCCACCCTTGCAGGGTTGTTGTGGAGAGCTATAAAAGTTATACCACCAAAGATCCTTATTCAAAATCTCCCGAGTATGCCCTCACATGGAACTCTCACTTGTAGAGATTCGCAAAAAACGCATAAATTAGTTTTGTTTATGCGATCCTCGCAGAAAGGAGTAAAAAGTAGGAAGAGATAGGAAAAGTTTGCTCGAGCAAAACCTATCGTCATATTTACACCAGTTCTTCTCATCTCATGCGTTCTCATCCATTTTGAAAGAAACAATAATGTTCAAGAGGCTCCCAGGCTTAGACAAAACACCTTAGATTCTTGATCTTTCTTTTTTCGACGCGTTTTATTTCCTTCTTCCTCTTCTTTTTTCATTATACCAATATATTAGACTGCTGAACGGATTTCTTGATGAGATGAAATAGGATGAGAGGGCGGAAAGCCAAAAGGAAGCTTAAAAACAGACCACCCTGGGAAGAATGGCCAAGTGACGAATCCTGAAAATCATACTTCCTTTAAATCCAGTTAGAAAAAAAATTAACTGATGCTCTTTAATCTGAAGCACTCTTTTGTTTTCCGGTGGCTTGTTGAACCATCCGGCTAACACCAGCACACAACCATTTCTGATGTTTTCTTTTTAGTCACTACGATAAATTGTGGTCATTGAGTCAAATAACCAAAATTTTTCATATCTATTTTTTATTATTTTTCAACAGATCTAAACAACATCATAAAAATATAAGGTGCCTTCTTCTTTCCTTTCTCTCTCGTTCTTTTCGAAAAAAAATGTATGTGTCTCTTGGTTCCTATCAAATTTGCCAATCAAATTAGCGCGGCTCGTTTCTCGACCATTGCACATCATTCCCGCCGTCCTTTTCTATGCTCTATTTTTCGCTGGAGCACTCTTTGAGGAAGAATACAAAATGCGCACTTCTCTTTACCCATTTCTCAGAAGTACAATTCAATATTCATTTAGATCTTAGGGACCCGCGTAGGCGCAATCAGAACTTTTTTTCCAAATAGCTACGTTCTGAATACAGTACCGATTGATATGATATCTAAAAACATAATTTTCAGTTTTTTTTCGGCCTTTTCCAGGGCTCGGTTGTCAAGTTTCCGATCACTTTGAAAATGCTAGAGGGTGTAAAATAGATCTGGATTGAAAACTTTGTATTTACAGAATTTTTTGAGAATTCCTAAATTTTTAGCTTTTTCCCGAATACTGAAAGACACCATTTCTTCCACGTTATTGGTACAAAACATTTTTTATCTAGGCTTGCTTTAGACTTTTGAAAAGTTTCATAGTCATTGTAAATCTGAGGATCGAGCTTCAGACAGACTCTTAAAAGTGGCTGAAAATTCACTGAAAAATGCGCCTTTCTATACCTTATTGAATGGTACTGTATGTGGACCATCATTTCTCAACTTTTCAAATTTCTAGTAAAGATAATTTCAGAGGACGCAATTTCCACTATTTTCAGCACTTGAAACTAATCTGGGAGGTTTTAGAAAATTCTTCTCTCCCAGTTTTGAGTAAAGACCGCCAATATTTACCCTGATTTCGAAATTCTGAAGTATGGGATAATCTCAGAAAGCTCTTTTTCCCTTTTTTTGAATTACTTTTGAAATTTAGCTCGCTTCTTCACTTTTTACAGTTTTTTTTGGCACAAGAATATGTTATGATTTTGTGCCATTTTAAAAGGCGCCGACCCAGTGAAGACCACCAATGTGCTCCTTTTGATTCTTTTGTCTGTATCTGTTTTTTGAGAAAAATATATTGCAATAAAAAATAATAGAATGTTACAGCGTTGAAATTCCTAGAAAATGGCACACAAAACGAGGAATAAAAGCTGTTTTTGCTTCCCAGGCTACCTTTTTTTTGAATTCTTAATTATGCTTTTGACCACGCCCATTGACTTCTATTCTACAAAATTAACCTCATAGTCAAAATAACAACTTTCTGCTTCCACCTGCCCCCCCCCCCTTCCCTCGACCCTTTTTTCAGGCAATTCGCTTGCACATAACTAACTTGAAATAATATTATTTTTCCTTACCTTCTCATAAATTCTAACCAGAAATCAGTATTCCTATAATATTCCAGAATCTTAATCAAATTTTGTTTTGTTTTGTTTTTTTCTTTTTCCCGGATTCCTTGGAATCTTTCATTCGCTGACAATTCTCGTATTCTTGGAATTCTTTTTCCTCTGTATCAATTTACAATGTTTGGCAGAGTTATGGAGGCCTCCGACAACTCGACGCTTATCAATCCGGTGGCTCCCACCTATCTCATCAGTGATTATATCGAAATCGCCTATTTGGGATTAGTTCTGTTGTTCGGTGTTCCAGCGAACGTAATCATTCTCAAAAAACTGATCGCAGAATGGAAAACGGCGAAACGGGATATGGTGAAAAGTGGATTCGTGTTGCTCAAAATCAACCTTAACATCACGGATCTGTTGATCTTGACCTACTCGCTTGGAAAACTGATCTGGCTTATCACCTACAGATGGGTCGGTGGCGACTATGCTTGCAGACTCTACCAAGTAAGACAGTTCTTTAAATGATGTGATCGGGGACTAAAACTTAGTATTCAGATGTTCTCCATGTTCTCTCTGTACAGCTCGTCCAACATCGTGATGTGTATCGCTTTGGATAGATTGAGAAATGTCATTTATGCTAATCAGATTCACACCAAGTCTAGCAAAGTGAGTTCTAATTTATTTTCACTTGTGGACCGTGTTTTTAGTTTGATTTTGTTGCTTGCGAACTTTTTGAAATTGAATACGAAATCAGGCACCGATTGTTTAGATTCTAGGAATATACAGTACTTTTGGGTCATAGCTCGGCTGTCAAATCTCCGATCACTTTGAAAATTTTGAAGGGTGTAACACAAACCTAGATTGAAAATATGGAATGAACAGAACTTTTGAAAATTCCCAGTTTTTAGATTTTTGGAGTTTTCTTTTAAAAAAATTTTTCGTGTTTTCAGTACCAACCAGCCAAAAAGGGATGTCTTTCATAAATCCGCAAATATCTGAAAAACTAGGGTCTTTCAAAAAGTTCTGTAAATGCAAATTTTTTAATCTTGGTATGTTTTGCACCTTGCATCACTTTCAAAGTGATAGGACGCTTAACAACCGAGCGCCAGACTCCTGTAAATGGTCAAAAATGCCGCAAATCCTGACGAATACGTTTTTGTACATCTTATTGACCAGTATTGTATATAGTACGGCAAAAACTGGAAAATCGAAATCACAATTGATTGACCGGTACTACAGTTCATTTTGAATCCTTTTTCGGTTTCCAAAAAAAAAACTTCAAGACATTGCAGGTGAGCCTTGTCCACTTCCTTGCCTGGACCTCATGGATAGCCGCGCTTCTGTGTAGTATTCCACAGTTCTTCTTTTTCCAAACAATTGAAGTCTCCCCCGACTTCATCCAGTGTACCGATGTCTGGCAGATCCGTCGCCATTTTGACATGGAGATTCGATATTTTTCAAACGACTCGTTTTTTCTCACCGAGACTTTTGAAAACCTCTACAACATTTTACACTTGGTAAGAGAATGGAATCACGAAAAGATAATTATAGGGAAAATTTCAGTTGATCGTGTTCTGGGGGCCATTCAGTGTTCTTGTCATTGCCTATTTCTACATCACCTCCAGACTAGTAAAATACTCGAAAAAGAAGCCAGGAGCACAAAATATCACCGGTCCACTGCCGACAGCAGCTGATGATTCTCCAAAAGGTGAGGAGAAAATAATGTAAACACGTCGATGCCTAATTTTACGTTTACATTTCAGATCTCATTGTTCATGTCAATGTGGAAGACGGGCTACTCAAAAAGGAAGGAAGCATTCTTAAGGTTGGGTTTTTTATATTAATTCAAAATATTCTCACCCTATTGTTGGCACTGGGTGGTGTGTTTTCTTTTCCATCTGCTTCTGAATAGCTAGCAAGAATAACAAAACTTGGGAGATACTGTAGTTGACTCAGAGATTTCGAATTTTTAATTGAAAATTCCAATTTTAGGTTGTCAAATGCTGTACCGAAAAGAAAAAGAAGTCACAGCGGAGAAATGATGGAAGTGAGTAGCTAATGACCTGATTTCACGAAAAAACAACTAAAAACTTTTGCAGAAGATTCAGCAACGTCCACCGCGTCGGCTCGTACGCCAATGTGGCGGAAACAAATGCGCAGCCGTGTGTTCCGAACCACAATGCTCGTCATCTTCACCCATTTCCTCTTCTGGTTCCCTTACAATGCACTTGGCGGAGTCAAATATATCAGCCAGGGATTGTTCGAGTGAGTTTCGGGAAGAAAGGATTACGCAAGGTTGTCAGAAGTCCTCCTGACAGGTTTACGAGTAGTCGTAAAACTCTCAAAAACACTCTTTTGTTCTGTCTCTTTTATTGGACTCGGTCAAAAAACCAACAGCTGAAAGTAGTCGAACCAACAAAAACAATTTTTCAGAGTCCTCAGCGCCAACGCCAACATCTTCAAAGATCTCCAAATTCTCATTACTCTCATCAACCCGTTCCTCTATGGATTTTCGTCCGGCAACTAATTAAATTATTTTTTCCTTTTTTTCTATATTCTTAGCGTTTATTTTTTCGAGTATCTGTTTTCGAGTATCTACTATGCAAGCCAGCGCTCTCACTACAACTCCAATTTTTTCGACATTTATTTGGACCTTCGATTATTTGGATTGAATTGCATTGTTTTAAAAACTTTCATATCTGTATGAATTTTTTTTGCGAGTCTAGGGAAATTAAGAAGATTATTATTCAGAACGTTCAGAATTTTTACCGTGAGGCATACCGTACTCCCTCTGTGAACCGTGAACCTTGAGCTCGATTATTTCGATTTCTGTGAAAGATATCAAAAATGTGTACCCTGATGAAATATTAGTGATATCACGATAAACAAATTATCAGTTGACAGCTTTCTGATATCTTTCACAAGAATCGAGATAATCGAGTTCAAAATTGACATTTGAAAGGCTCCTTTATTACAGGTTTTGCATTAAGCTAAAAGCAAATTCAATAAACACAAAGTTCTCATGTTTTAATGTAATACTAGAATTCGAAAAACTGGGAAATTACGCATTTTTTCCCGATACAGTACTATTGTTAAAATCAAGAATTCCAAATTCTTCAGCAAACAAAAATATCTTAATTGGGATTTTTAATGTTACACGAAATGTGAAACTTCCTTTTTTCTGAAGGAAATTTAAGAAATCAAAAATTACTCATTTCGATGTTTTCAAAAATCTGAAAACAGTAATGAAATTACACGCATAATGGGCCCATTACTCTTGTACCCATTACTTTTGTCTGGCCTAATTAAATGGACAAAACCAGTTTTGATGAGTCAACAGAACCGAGAGAATACTAAAATTCAAAATGACCGAATTCTCAGAGTCTTGAACTGAACGTTTTATGACTACAATTAAAGCGGTCTGCGGTACCGTATACCATAAGAACTCATAAAATGAGCGATAAATGCACTAGACAAGAAATTTATGAGTTTTATGAAATGAATCATCTCCAATGACATCATTTCGTTCGACCTTTTTTTTGAGAAAAAAAGGGAAAAAAGTTTTTTCGAAACAAAAGAAACAAGCCTAGAACGTCATTTGAGAGAGCAAGATGTGCACATTAACCCCAGCTATTATAGATGGATTATGAAAAACAAAAATCGCGGGAGGAGGATGAGCTCAAAATCCGAGGTGTTTGATCTACACAGCCGACGCCAGAATCCGTTTGGTTGAAATTTATATACGTAGTGGCGTCAACATGCAAATTAGTAAGCTGGGCAGGAAGGAGGGGTTGGTCTAAATCTGGACCTAGGAATCTAAACTCAATTCGCCGAAATTACTCCAAAAAACTTTTTTTCTGCTTTCCGCCGCCCGTCTACCCAATCTTTAGACAACCTCCAGGTTATTAAAACCGCCTACGAGACCCGGAAGCCTTTCGGCGGCATATTTCTTTTCCGTATTATGAGTTCTGAGTTCTGTACCTATTTTTTTTCTGCTGCATTTTTGCCGGTGGATGAGCAATAAACAGCCCGAGGTTATCTAATGACGAACAATGTAATTAGCACGATTAGATATCCAGCCGACGAAATTGTTCACCGCTTAAAGCTCCGCCCACTTTTCGAGTAGGAGGGGCCCACTTTTCGGATGCACTAGGGACAACGGAGAGTGTGTTCTCGTTGTCCATGACATTTTTTTCTCATTGTTTTATGTTTACATCTTGTGTTTTTATGTGTGCCTTCATGTGCCACGTATACACTTTGTGTTATTGTCCAACTATGCTTTCTGAACGTTTATTTTATGGGTCCCCATTTTTTTCTCTGGTTATGGTTCACTTGTTTTTTGGTGGGGTTCCAAGTCATTCTCTATTATTCCCTTTGTTTTGGAGTCTTTTGGTTTTTCACAATCAATTTAGAAGTCTGGTTTTTTAGCTTGAATCTGAATTTCTGAATCTCAGAGCGAATCATATTCTCACGGCGGTTCTAAGAATACCAGAAGATATAATCGAAGCACTTTTTCGAGTTTTTTGAAAATACTACTGTATTTTCTACCTAGCAGGTCGGCTCAGGGATGTTAGGAACAGCCTTCTGAATTACGAAGATTCCAAAAACCCATATCGTAATTTTTTTGAAAATCTATTTTTTCAGATTTGGAGATTTTTTGACTATGGCAAAAAATCCTAAATGTGGAAAATCAAATAATTCCTAAACTTCGGAAGTCTCAAAACACCAACTTTTCGAAATCAGAATATTTCGAAATTCCAAAATTTTTAAAACTGGAATGTTTTGACATTTCAAAATTCTGACTTTTCAAATTTGGAATATTCCGAAATTCGGATTTTTTTTTCAAAATCGGAATATTCCAAAATTCCGAAATTTTGAAATCGGACTATCTCGAATGTGCGAGATTCTAAATTTTTCAAAATCAGAACATCTAAAGATTCGGTATTCTGAATTTTTAAAGATTGAATATTCCGAAATTTCAAATTTTTGAACATTAGAATATCCCGAAAATCCGAAATTCTGTATTTTTTAAAATTGGAACAATCCGAGATTCCGAATTTTTCAAAATCAGAATATTTCGATGTTCCGAATCTTTGAAAATTTTGAAAATCGGAATATTCCGATATTCCAAGATTCTGAAATTTTGAAAATTGGAACATTTCCAATTTCCGGTTTTCTGCAAATTGGAATATCTCGAATGTGGAAAATTTAAATTTTTCAAGATCAGAATATCCGAAGATTTAGTATTCCGAATTCCTAAAAATCGGAATATTCCGAAATTCCGAAATTTCAAGTTTTTCAAAATAGGAATATTCCGAGTTTTTGAAGTTCTGAAATTTCAAAATTTTGAACATCAGAATATTCCGAAAATCCAAAATTCTGAATTTTCCAAAATTGGAAAATTCCGGAATTCCAAACTTTTCAATATAGGAATATTCCAAAACTTCGAAAATAGAATTTTCCGAAATCCCGAAAATTTCAAAATCGGGATATTCCATACTTCCAAAGTTCTAAAATTTTTCGGAATTTTCGACATCCCGAAAAATTTAAAAAGACCATTCCGAAAATCCCTGGGGTCGGCACCTCTAGGTAATAAGAAATTCCGTGCTCGTTTTTTTTTTGAAAATTCTCGTTTTCAAAAAAAATTTTTAAAACCAAGAAGCTTTGGAGGTAATATAAATGCACATGAGCAATCAGGGTTCTTCTCGAAACGCCCAGAAAAAAAATAATGGTGAACTTTAAAGCCATCGGGATGAAACTAAATGGCAATTATCGTGTTTTTCGCACCACTTATTGCCTTTCTGCTCTTATCACATTTGTTTTTATTCTAGAACCCCTTCTCGTTAATCCCATTACATTTAGCGGAAAATGGGAACGCAGAAGACAACATTTTTCAGGCTAATCCCCCTATCTCATTGTCTGTAGACATTTTTTCACCGTTTCTATATTGGATCTACGTTTCTAGACAGGATGACAAAGCGTACCACTGTTGTTAGAGATCATTTATTATGTGGTGTCTCTTTTTTACATCCTTCTCATTACTCTTCTTTTCATTTTTCATTTGCTCATGTGGTCCCTTATTGGTAGAAGCGCACAGGAAACCAGTTCATTTCCTTTTTCTTCTTTTGACCTTGAATAGTGAGTTTCTTTTCTGATTGAAAAGAATGGGCGGTTCCTTTTCTTTTCATTTTTCCTCGTTTCAGTCTTACTCGAGACGTTTTGCATTTTTCTAGCTCTATTATAAAGCTATGAGGATATATGTGTGGGGTGGAATTTAATTAGAAGGGCAAACAGAACCTTTCGCTTGGGAAAATTGCTGGAAGAGGAATTCAGTGAGGTGAATGATGTACAAAACAAAAAATATATAGAAAAAAATATCACGAGTAGTAAGAAACGGATTCCTGATTTTTTGGAATTTCAAAGAAAAATTTTGATAAGGAAATTTTCGTAAAGAAATTACTGTAGGCTAGATATTAAAAACTTTTGTTCCAAATTCAAAAAGTTGGGTGTGATCTGAAATTTCGATTTTTGAAAATTTAGAAAATTCAATATCGTATTTTTGGATAAATTCAAAGTTCCGATATTCAAAAGTTTAGAATATTCGGCTATATCAAAATACTGACTTTCACAACTTTGAATATTTGGAATATTGGAATATTCCGAAATTCGGATTTTTGGAAACTTATTGGTTTCGAATTCAAAAAGTTTTATTTTCGAATTTTGAGAATTGAAATATTTTGAAAACTCAAGTTTTGAGATTTTGGAATTCAAAATTCCTGAATTTTTGGTATTTTGAAAATCCGCTTTTTCTTGAGTTCCAAAACTTTTAGAATTTTCTGATATCTCATTTTCAAAAACTTATAATTACAGGAAATTCCGAATCTCAGATTTTTTTTTGAAATTGTTGAAAATTCTGGATTTCTTGGAAATTTTCGCATTTTTGAATTAGCAATTTCCCAAAAATTCATTTTCTAAAACTTTTAAGTTTGGAAATTCTGAAGTACTGAATCTCGAAAATTCGAAATATTTCATAACTCAAATAAAGCAATCGTTCAAACTCTATCCTAATGTCTTAACATTGTTAAAACCCTCTAGTTGTTTTTTCTGTAACAGCTCGGGTTTGGTATCTAACACCTAAATAAGCCTATCCATGTGATCCTTATCCCCCTCCCTTCCTATACCCCAAATTCTCAATTTATATGACTCAATTTTCAACACCACTAAACTACGTTTTGAATAGGAAAACATCATGATCCTAGATCCCGTGTGTCATGTTAAATGGTACAATTGTGCGGGGAAAAAAGCAATTTCCGGCACAATGAAACTATTTTCCCAACCTTTTATATATCCAACTTCCTTCTATCAAATTTTTCGAAAAGTAATTTCATAGACTTGACTAGCTGACGAAAAAAAACAGAATAACAAAACGAGCGGTCCTTCGGAGCCTAATGGAACAACATAGGTACGCCCAAAAATGCTTTTCGGTTATGATGAGTCACATGTTTATAGCCTCACACGCCGCATTTTGCAAAACTTTATTTTTTCAAGCTCGTCATGTTTTCCTTAGTCATAGAGACATAGACGGATTTACTCCTAAAGAGGCACACGAACGCCTAGTTGAATAAACGAGGATAAAAAAAATAAATTTTTTGCTTCCTAGTCCGTTTGAAAATTAAAAATTGCAAAAATATGGTCTCTAGATGAGTTCCCGTCATTTTTGCTCACTTTATTTCCAAGAACACTGGTCCTTCTTTCATTTTTTTTCTTTCTTTTTTCCTCCACAAAATGAGCAATGAACTTATTTTTAAGTGTGAGAGCTTCAAAAGTTCATTCCCATAATGCACGCAAATCAGATAAAGAAATTTTCGCTGAAAAATTTCCAGACTAGCCCGAGGAGCCCTTTTAGAATTCAACAATTTTTTAAGTAGATTTTCAATAGATTCCAATTAGCCGATAGGCGGTTTTCGACTTCTCCCATCTGAAAACAAACAACCGGTGACCTCTCTTTTTTCACGTCGTTTTTTTCAGCTTATTTTCTCTTCTCTCTTTCAGCCACTTGTATTACGTAGTCGGAATAAATGATGCCACTTAAGTTGTCATAAAGATTTAGCACATTCATAGTCAACGAATTAGAAATCACTTCCCCTCATCACATGATTTAGAGACAATTTAGAAGCAATTTTATAATTTTTTAAAAATATTTTTTTGGCTTCAGAGGATACTGGTGCTCCGTGGTCAATTTTTGTCAATCGAGTTACGCTGGCTTGCTCTCACGCTGTTTGCTTCTTGTAGTCGTTTTGGCTGTTATTCTCAGATTGCTTTTATTGACTGAAAATTTGAAGAGCTATTCATTAGATAAAGAATATCTCTTGATTTTTGAATATTTTCTAAAAATTGGGACGTATTTTCCTTATGAGACACGGTACCGGTCAATAAGATATACAAAACCGTATTTTTTAGTTAATTTCAAGCCATTTTGAATGTTTTCAAAAATCTGGAGCATGGATTCAAGGTTTTCCTGTGACTTTGACAATATTGAAGGTTATAAAACAGACCTAGAATGAAAACTTTGCATTTATTGAAATAATTTTTTCAAAAAATTGGATTTTTTTCAGAACGTGTTCTATCCGAAAACGCATTTCGAAACTCTGAAATTATGTTTTCAGTCTATTGACTTCATTGTACGTGAAGTTAGGATTTTTAGACTCTATTTTTTAAAAATTGCTTTATGAGCATCTTAGATTTTTCATATTCTTTTTACGCTGAAATAAAACATTCACTTCCTCATTTCTTCTTTTTTCATGAGAATCTTTTTTATTGGCTCTTTGAGCAGGAATTTTGAAACAAGAAGGGTGAAACCTTCTGTTTTTGTTTATTTTAAACTGATCCATAAGTATTCTAATGTTATTCCCAAGTACTAACTACTGTGTGTTCAACAAAACATCAAAAGTTCTGCCTCCCAGCTATGTTCGTAATGCTGAGAACGTATCAATTTCTAATTTTCCATTCCTTTCTTTTTTCCCTTTTTCATTTTCCTACAAGCCAGCCCTCTCCTACCATACATAAATTTACCTAGTTAGTGCATACAAACAAGTTTTCTCTGGACGTTGTTTGTGATTTTCGCCGTTCCAAGGGCGAAGGGAAAAATCAACACAAAGTGAGACAGGGGAATTGCAGCTGAATTTTGTTGAAAAGGAAATTGAGGGGGAGTTCGAGAATGACAAAGTCCGACGTCTTCCGAGTTGTTTTTCTTAAAGACAACAACAAAGAGGGGCACAGGAATCGTGGTTCGTTCTTGGAGCTAAGAATAACTACCCCTGAATCTTTGAATTCTCAATGCCCGGTGTTTTCTCAGTTTTCCGCCCATGATTTGACTTCGTAATTCTCTTTATTCCTATTCTTAGTTTTTTTCAGATGCTGGAGACATCCACTCGGATGTCTACAGTAATCCCGGACCGACTGTGGTCAGAGCTAACTGAGGCTTTAATTTTACTAATATTCGATGCAGCGTACATCCTAGTGGCAATTTTCATGATCTACAAGCTATGGAAACTGAATCGGTAAGTGAAGAAGTTGATATAGAATTTTGAAGAAAACATTTTCCAGAGTCAAGCAACCAATGACACCTAGTGGTCAATCGGGGACCAACAAATCATTTCTATTATTCAAGAAAAGTCTATTTGTCAGTGACTGCATGATTATGTGGGTGTACGCGTTTATCAAAGTGAGTTAGCCAACGTTTCAAAATTGAGTAAGTTGAGTTAATAATAAAAAATTATTGGTAAACCCCCTGATCTTATAAAGTGGGAAAACGAGAAAGGAACAGAGAAGCGAAAATTTGAGGATTCAAGAATGTCAAGAAACAGTAGCAAATTTCAGTTACATTGAAATCCAAGAAGATATCATATCAACCGTAAACTATGATCCTAATTATCTCGGTTTTTGTAAAAGATAAAAGAGGAATCAACTGATAAAGCATTTATCAGAATATCAAAAACACTTTGCCAGTTTAGAACTTTTTGAGTTGTACCTGTGGGCTCCCCGATGAAGGTGCCGCGCTTTTACCATCTGAGCTACAGTAGCGCAAGCTGAGACAGCCCAACGATAGGGTATAGGAAAACTGCACATTAGTCAGACGGTGCACTAGTCACTGTACACCGTCACAATACCGTACCTCGATTTTTTTGAAAATCTCAATTTTCAGGCTATCTGGCTGCTCCAATTTGAATGGAAATATGGTTCCGTGATGTGCAAACTCTATCGTTTTACATCTTCCGTTGCCTTCTTTTCCAACTCTAACATTGTTTGTGGAATCGCTCTGGATAGATATCTCTCTGTCTACAGTAACCACATTATTGGTAACGTCTCATGACCCCTCCCAACAAACAAAAAATCATCATTCAGGCGTTCGCCAACATGAACGAACCAAGAGATTATTGTATCTTGTCTGGATAATTGCCATAATCGCCGCGCTGCCTCAGCTGATCGTCTGGGAAACGTACCGTCCTAGTTCGGAAGATTGGGAGCAGTGTGTCACAGTGTTTGCAATTGAGATTCATGAGCTACCGGCAGAATCAGCGCGGCGGGATAAATTCAATTTCTATTCAATGTTATATGAGGCATATCATCAGTGTATGGCTTTCTGGCTCCCACTGAGCATCACATTCTGCTCGTACGCTCGTATGATGAGCCGGCTAATTCCATTTTGGCCATTCAGTGCGTTAAACTCATATGAAGATGAACGTCAGGAAACGTTAGTATTTTGAAAACCAGAATTTTTCGAAAACCAAACGATTTTCAGACTGTGCACAATATTCTGGGGCAAAATCACCGACCGGATTAGGACCTTCGTTTGTGTCACCATCTTCCGCCACAAAAGCCATGCTTCCCAGCAATCCGCAAGTGGTATGGAAACCTGATATCCATTTGTCAATAATTGTTCTCTTTTTTAGTCCCACTGGCTGGTACGACACGTCACCCGCCAACAACGGCGCTGCGGCGACAGCTAGGAACTACTGTATTCAAGAATGCGTGTGCCATTATTTTTGTTCACGTGGTTCTCTGGCTTCCATATAATATTCTGAGTTTGTCGAGGTATGTTGAACTGGAGCCAGAAAACTCATTTTTTATTATTATTCCAGATTCGTCAATGAAGGATTCTACGAATCGATATCTCAAAATGGGGGCAACCTGTTTGAACTTCTCATTCTTCTCAACTCATTCATAAACCCAATTCTGTACTCGGGTGGATCAAACACTGTACATCGTGTATAAACCCTTTAGCCCACAATATCTCAGACCCTCTAGATAAATTATGTATTATTATTTTGATGCATCCGTGATCTATGTCTTCCCCTATTTTTTCCGTCGGGACTTTTGGGTTTTGCTTCTCATTGTGACTTATTATGTTAATAATAAAATAGATGCTCACCTCTCCTGACTTGATGTGAGTCAGATGGCTGCGGTCTTGTGATGAGGAGCCAACTTCACGGCAGTACACGTGGACCGAACCATTCACGGGTTTTCCATGGAAATATCTAGGACAACAATGGAATATTGAAGCCGAAAAGGTCAAAAAATGGCACAAGAGAGCAAAAGGGGCTATAGGCTTAAAACTCACTTTGCTTCAATTGTAACTTTGGTGTCATCCAACTGACTATTATCCGTTATAAATCCGTATAACCTATAGTTGGGAAGATCTGAAATTGAGAAAAAAAACTGTTTTCTTTTCATTTTCGAAATTCCCTACCGTAATCCTGAACTTGAAAAATCTTCTCGAAAATCAATATATCATCCATCCGCTTTGTTCCAAGCTCCAATGGCTGTACCTTCACCATCCAATCGCCGAAAAACGTGTGAGATGGGATTTCCAACCTCTCAATTATCATAGAGCTAGTTTCATCGACTTTGGACGTTCTCATCGTTGAAGACTCTACGAATCCTTTTCCATTCTAAAAAATTTCGAAAATTTAAAGACTTGGAAATTTGTGGGAAACAAAACTCACAACTAAACAAATATTGAGATCACCGCGATAAATAGTTCCAGCATGAGTGAGTGGGAGGATTCTTACGTTCACTGGAAATTTCTTTTTTGATTGCTTACAATTTTGTAATAGAAATGCTCACCAATTTCCGACTTTCTGTAGATTGTTTTATCCATATGAATATGCACATTAAATAAGTCTGGACGAACCGGAACATCTTGATCCAATTCGACTTTCCCATCGACCTAAATGTCCGCGAATCATAAATAATAAATTTTGGAAAAAAAATCATTTACTTTTATTTTGATATGAGCCATTGGCTGGCGGGAGCTGGTGTGGAAAGATATTGTTTGAACATCTCCTGAAAATTGAAAATTTTTCAGGTATTCTAAAAATTACAAATACATACCGGTCATTTCTTTATTGGTTTTCTCTCCACCATGCTCAATTTGAACCACTGATTTGACAGATCGTTCCTGGAAAATGGATTTTTTTATTTTTAAAATCCCAGCATTTTGAAACTTCGGAATGTCAGAATTTCAAAATCTCAGAATCCTAGAATCTCAGAATCTCGAGATTTGAATTTTTTTTGTGTTACAAAATCTTGGAGTATTGGAATCAAAAAACTTCGAAATTCGAGATTTTACAAAAATTTTACAATCTCGGAGTGTCAACTTTTAAGAATCTCAAAATTTCGAGAAAAATCAGAATCTCACAACTTATTAATTTCAGATTTTTAAAACGTCAGAACCTCGAATTTTGACCTTTTTCGATTTCGGAACTTCAGAATTTCAGATATTAACAATTCTCCCTTTCCACATCTCAAAAACAAAAAACTCACATTGACTATCGTAATAACATTTTGCTCATGTAGTTTCAAAAACGGTGGCAAGACAATAACCGGGCTGCAAACTTTTCAAATTAACAATAAATTCCAATTTTTTCAAACCCACTTTGTGTAAACCTGACTGATAATAAAAATGAGTAGAATAAATACGGACAATCTCATTGTTCCATTCTTTGTGTGCGTTTTTCGAGATCGTTCAATTTTCCAGCTGCAAAAATTGAAAAGACAGATGAAAAAAAATTTTGTAAAATCAAAAAAATTTCGAAATCAAAAGAGGAAATAAGGAAACGAGAGGGATAGGGTTTGTTCTAAAAAAATGCCGGCGGTGGAAAAGTAAATAATTGTGGACGTCGCAATTGACGAAAAATAGAAAAATAGAGACGACGCAAAGGAAGGAACTATAAGAGGGTATCATTTCGGACAATGCATCATTGTAAGGAAGTGGACGGAAAAATAATAGAGGAACATTTGCCTTTTTTAATCCTTTGGCGAAGGTCAGAAACAAATTGTCTTAATCGGTCTGAAAAGCAACCATGGTTAGTTTTGTACAATGTTTCAGAAATGAAGAGAAAGATAGATGAATAAGAGATACAGATACGCAGGCAGCGATACAAATGATGTAACGGATGGGATTATAGATACGAATCTGGGCAGAACATTGCGCCAATTCGGCGGCGCGTTATGGCTGACGATATAACGGGGAAAATATCTTCTGGAAGATTCGATTGTTGTTGATGGAGATGAAGAGAGTGTGTGTTGGAGGTGATGGGTGCCAAAAAAAGATGTTATCTTGGGATGACATTCTCTATATCTCTTTTCACTCGTGTTCCCGTCAGGCGGGTTAGAGATCTTCTTCTTTCAATTGGTTTGTGTGATTGGCGATCAGTTGTCTCGCCAGTTTTCTCTTACTCTGTTTTTCTCATCTTTCAATTCATCTCAATTATATCTTATTTTTTCAAGATTATTGGATTTTTATAACTTGCGATACTTTTCTATACCAGTGATTCCTGGAGCAAAAATAATTTTTCGAAAAAAATCCTTATTTCCTCTAATATGTAACAAACCGTCAACTTTCAGCTCGATTATTTCTATACCAGTGTAAGATATTAAAATTAGGTCAACTGATAAAATACTGGTGACTTTATGATAGATATATTATCAGTTAAAAAAAATGTTTGATATATTTAACAGGATTCGAGGTAATTAAGTGCAAGGTTGACGGTTGTGGTGGGCTTTTATTGAAGGAAATGCGGTATTAAATTTTGTGAAAAGTTCGAATCTTCTAAATATTTCAAAAAATGAAAAAAAAATCGAAATGAATCTGGAAATCATAAATCTTGGTGAGTCAAAAAATTAAAAAAAAACTTTTTTCAAAAAAATTCTAAACTTCTGAGTTTTTTAATTAGTGAAAAAAGTGAAAGGTCTAATTTCGGTTTTTAAATTCAAAAATCTAATTTTTGTGTTTTAAATGCTTCTTGGAAATTTTAACCTAGCTTGTTAAGTTCATTTCGCACTAAAATCAGAGGAAATAAACTACCGTAAAAGCTCGGAAAGCCCATTTAAGGTGTCTACTCGGAGCTCAATTATGTTGATTCCCGTTGAAAATATCTGAATTTCGTCCACTAATAAATTATTTATCATAACATTACCAATATTTTATTAATAATAATAATTTATTGATTCAGGACTAACAGTCACTTATAAAATCAATGTGTTACAAATTAAACAAATGAGTTAGAAATTATGTTCGTCTAGGAACAGGAAAGAAGATAAATTAACATGACTTTAATTAGTTTTAAAAGAGATGGATGAAATCAAGGGTAGGAACACGGTTTTCGGAAGCGAGTTCCAGCAGGATATAATACGGAGAGTAAGAAATTGAGCAGAAAGTTTTGAAGCATTTTTTAATGTACAGCGAATGTAATATGGGTGGCGTCTTAGATGATTATGATGAAACGGGACAATGAATAGATTATGGGCAATTGAAATTTCCCGGGAAACTAGAGTTTTATACATAAAAACTAGATTGGATAGAAGTGGACGGTACTCTAAGGATTCTAAATTGTGATCACGGAGACAATCAAAGTAGGATATATAGGGATAGTTGAACTTCTTGTAACATCGGAACAGGAAGACTTTTGGACGCCTTCAAGAAGCTTAAATTTTTAATTGACAAATTTTTGCTATCTTTTTCAGGAATCGAGATAATTGAACTCAAGTTTGCCTCAAATCGGACGGTCTTCTTCTAGAGGAAATACCTTAGTTTGTTGAAAAATTTTCAGCTTTTAAAATTTTCAAGAACATTGAAAATGTGAGGGTTAAATTAAATTAAATTTCGTTTTTTTAACTGAGTGCTTCTCAGAAACTTCAATATAGTTTCAAAATAAGTTTTGCATTAAATGGGAAGCTAATCAGTAATAAGTTATATGCAATTCATCGTTTTTAGCTTAAAATTCCAACAAAACTGGCTCACTTAGTACAGAAACCTGAGTACTATTGAAATTTCACTAGAACAAAAAACGGAAAAAAATACGTAGACTAAAAATCCAGACAGAAATCACAGCGAAATGTGTTTATGCAGAGAGCCTGATCTGCAAGCTGGTACAGTCTGGTTCTCCATTTGTTATGAGAAGCGAAGGCATGTGTATATTATCATAGTGCACTAAACTCTCCCACTCAATTTTATAAACAATATGACGTTGTGTGGGATGAGAAAAATGCATGAGAATGACTTTTTGCTGAGAAAAAAGAACATTTCTCAAACATTTTTCGAAAATAAAGAACAATGAGCGATCAATAGGAGGGCGCTCTACCTGTCCATTTGTTTTGTTGCTTAGTATTTGATGGGGAGTAAGAAGAAAATGAGGGAGGTAGTGAAATGACTCATCGATTGGCCAAACTTCACGGCAATTATCGAGAACGTTTTTTTTCTTTTCGGTAGGGTGGTGGTGAAGGAAAGATTTCTAATGGAAGGGTTAATTACTCTAGGAGAAAGTGCTAGAAAAAAAACTAGGAAAAGGGCATCTCTAGGTAATTTGAGATGAAGGAAAAAATCGGGGAAAACCAAGAAGATGAGAAATCGAAATTGAAGAAAGAAAGCGAAAACTGATATGCAATTTCTATTCCCGTCCTGAAAAAAAAAGAAGATCAAAAAACTGGAGGAGACCTCCCTTGTCTCTTTTCTCACTTTTCGATTCATATACAACAGCTGACTAGATGAATCAGGTTCATCTGGTGAACACATGTATATTAAGGTGTGATTATTACTATAGAATGAAATGTTTATTCAATTGATACACTGAATAAATAAATCCTTTTAAATTAGTACAAATTTGTTTGTGGTCAGAGAGAAAAAAATGATTGAGGGAAGGAAAATAGTAAAAAAAATTGAATTGGAACGAGAAAGAACGGGGGCAGACACTGAGCAAACAGAGCTGAGTAACGCTGGTTAAACCAAAGAATCAAGGGGTTGAAGAGAGAAGGTGATAATCTGATTATAATCATCCACAGAAAATTAGACGCAATGAGAGAAAATGGAGGAGAGATCCGTTAATAGAACTCAATTAAAACAATCTTCGAATTTTTTTGGTTTTTTAATGTCAGGAAGAAAAAAAAAATGAACAGAGGGGCTACCGGTATCGTGAAAGTTTTTGAAAAAAATTAGAAATTAGAATTTTACAATCGATGTCTTCTCTTGTACTCCTTGCAGCAAATCTCTGTACATCTTTGGAGCGAGTGGAAGTTATTCAGTGTTCCTTCACATCCACCATATTGGTACTCAACACAGGTATCGGTATTCGCGTCATAACCATATCGCTTTTCAAAGTTATTGCATGGTCCCGAGTCGCGAGCCGAAAGGCAGAAATCCATTGGATCCTAAAATTTATACACTTAATTTGTGTCAGATTTCGGCAATTATTCCATACCTGACAGCAAATGGAGACGTTGAATTCTGAGGACATATGACAGATGAATCCTTCTGGACATCCCTTATCAATTCCGCAGGAGGTTACTGTGGAGCCTTCGATCAGTGGAATTCCATGTGGACAATAGTTTCTATACTCTGGACACGCCTCCATACAAGTGTTTTGGCTAATGAAGTTGTTCTCGTTTCCTGCAACTCCTCCGTAGGTGAATGGAGCGCACCGGTTTTGTTTGCGGTCGAAGAACCATCTTGGCAAGTCTTCAGAACCAGTTCCCTCTTCGACTGCTTGGTCGCATGGGTCGATTTCTAAAAAAGCAATTTTTATAAAATATCTTCCGGGCTAATATGTTGGTAAATAAAATACACAAAAATAAATTCAGTTGAATTCCGGCGTTTTCAGGAGCCCGAAGCTAGGTTGTTATGTTCTCAATCATTTTGAAAACTTTGGAGCGTGTAAAATAAACCTAGATTGAGAAAATTGCATTTTCTCGGCTATTGTAAGAAATGTGATATAACACCACCTGTATTAGAACAACCTCTAATACAACGTAACCCTTGTGAGCTGATTGCAGAGAGCAAAGTGAAGTTTTTTTTATTTGATTACAGAGTAGCAGTGAAATATAAAAATTTCGCACCATTTTTTTACTTTGGTACTCTGTTGATCAAGTTGAAAACACACTTTTCCTACCTCGCATCTTCTCAAAACACCAATCAGAAAAATAGAAAGTCTACGGCGCTATATTGCAGATTTAACTGTGTTTGCCGGTTTCTGAAAAAACACCAAAACCTAGGATTTCTCGAAAGGTTATATGAATGCAGAATTTTCAAACTGGAATGTTTTACACCCAACAAAAAAATTCAAAATGTTTGAAAACTTGACAGCCGAGCTTCAGACCCTTAAAAATGTCCAAAGGCTCGAAAATCCTCTGAAAAATACATCTTGGTATATCTTATTGACTGGTATAGTATAGCTAACTTCCTCACTTCTCTTTGGACAGCACAAAGTGGTCAAAGCACTTGATCCAACGTGGCAGTAGCTGTTCTGTGGACAACTATCCACTCGTTGTCCTCCGGTACACAAGATGCGTTCTCCAGCGGTGTCGACCAACGGATCGCCATAACCGCACGGGTTCATTTCCTTACAAGCTTGTCGGCACGACTGTTTGGTTAGGAAGTTGTTCGAGTTTCCTTTCATTCCCTTGTAAACAAATGGACGACACATTTGAATTCCGCCGTCGAAGAACCAACGCTCGAGCTTTTCGATGCCTTGACCGACCTCAAGTGGTAGGTCACATGGACGACGAGCTGAAAGTATAAGAAACTTGATGAGGGTCAAGTTCAACATTACAAACTTCCAGGACAGCAGTTGGTCGTTTCTGGCGCTCCTCCGACATGACAATAGTATCCGTTTGGACAGGTGTCTTCTCCTCCACAAATCACCGGCTCTTTCTGCAGACTGAGCAGTGGCTCGCCCAAACTGCAAGGGTTTGGAAGTACTGGACACACGAGACCACAATCTTCTCCGGTCAAGAAATTATTGGCATTTCCCTTCTGTCCTTCGTAGGCAAATTCACGACATCTGCGGGTTTCCTTGTCGTAGTAGTATCTGGTGATTGAGAATCCTCCGGTTCCGATAGCAAGTGGCTGTTGGCAAGGGTCACCGTCTGAAATTAATAAAATTGCTTTAAAAAACTAAACTATTGATTTTTTAGTTCCAAAGTGTAGAGATCGAGTCGATCTAAACCTTTTGAAAATTTTGGATAGTGTCGAACAGAGCTAGATTTAAAACTTGGCTTTCACAGATTCATCTACCCACCAACTGCAGAAAGACACCTGCTTTTTCACGTTTTTTTCAGTACAAAATAAGGTGTTTTTCAGAAATGGGCAATTAGCAAAAAAAACTAAAAATTGATTTTTCGATCTCATGGAACGGTAATGTATCAATACTCACGTTTAGGACAACAGTAGTTTTCGGATCCTTCAACTCCAATATGACAGAAATGAGTGGATGGGCATCTCTCATCTGGTGAGCAGAGTTTTGGCTTGGCTCCAATCAATAGCGGCTTTCCACTACCGCATGGATTCTCGAAAACTGGACATACAGTAAGACAGTCTTCCTGGGTCAAGAACATATTTTGATTTCCACCCTCTCCACTGTAGATGAACTTGACGCATTTGTTAAGGTTTTTATCAAAGTGCCATCTGGTCAAATGTGAGTTACCGTATCCCTTGGTCATTGGAAGTTCACAAGTGTTCTGTACAGCTGAGCAACAGACTGTGGTATCTGGTGTGATGCCAACGTGACACCAATGGGAGCTGGGGCATGGGGAACTTGGACTACAGGTACGTGGCTCGTTGGTTGGGGTCATTAGCATTGTTCCAGATCCACATGGATTCTTGCATTCTCTTTTGCACTTCGACTCACATTGTTGTTTGGTGAGGAAGTTGTTTTGGTTTCCCTTGGCTCCGTTGTAAGTGAACGACTTGCACTGGCGGCTACACGACTTGTCAGCTGGGTCCGCATACCATCTGGTGAGATTGCCAGTTCCCTCTCCAGCGAACATCGGGAGAGAACATGGATCTGGAGATGCTCCTGGACAACAAACTGAAGATTCCTTAGTGGCTCCGATGTGGCACCATTGCCCAGCAGAGCAGTCAGTGCTATTGCCGTTGTCCATTCCACATTCCTTCTTTTGAGCATAATTGACAGCCACTGGACATGGATTATCCCATTCTGAAAAATGAGATTTTATGAAAATTTCTAGTCAAATTGATTTTCCTACTTTGACATTTCTCTTGACACTGTGTGTATGACAAAAAGTTGTTCTCGTTTCCCTTGGTTCCCTTGTACATGAACTCGGTGCATCTCTTCGAGAAAGTGTTGTAGTAGAATCGCTTGAGTAGGGCTTTACCTTGGCCAACATTGATGGAGAGTAAGCAAGGATCGGTCACTGTAAAATGAAAATAAACAAAAATTTTGAAAAGGTACTGGGGGAAAAGCGGAGTAGAAAACAAATAGAAATGGACAGCCAGGTACAATAAAGAAAAAAATGCTCACGTCCACTGTTCTCGCAGCAAGCCGTCAGTTCCGGGTTCTCGCCGATATGACAGTAATAGCCGTTCGGACACATGGAGTCATCGTTCGGACCGCAAATAATGCGACTACCGTTCTTATACTTGGCCGCGTTACTGATCTTGCATGGATTTGTCTCATCGGTCACGGTTTCTGAAATGGTTTTGGGTTAGCTGAGCTCTGGAACGGCATATAATTCGGAGGGTACAAGAATTCTGGTGGTCATTGGGGTAAAAACCGATTTAGACGTAAAAATTGTCTATTAGTGGGACAAAATATCTGAAAAATTCGTATTTTGTACTCCCAACTCACTTTCTACCTATTTAAACATCAAATCGTCGTACGCTCCAATACAGTACCAGCTATAATATATATGAAAACGTGTTTTTCACCTAATATTGGGTCATTTTTATCACTTTCAGGGGTCAGCAGCTTGACCGGTGAGTGTCTAAATCAGTTTGAAAGAAAATTTTCAGCTATTTCCCGATTTCTGAAGAAATTATGCTTTTTTCACGTTTTCAGTACAAAAACAAGCAACTAGCTGAAAAACCAGGAGATTTCAAAAAATACTGTGAATGCAAAGTTTTCAATCGAGGTCCGTTTTATGACCTCCAAAATTTTCAAAGTAATCGGAATCTTGACAGCCGAGCTCCAGATTCCGTAAAATGATAAGAATGGCAAATCAATTGAAATAAAATACGTTTTTGTATATCTTATTGATTCTGGAACTCGGAGGGTATGAAAACTTTGGGGTCACTGGAGTACATGCCGATTTGAGGTTACAAAACCCTTGTGTCGGGGGTGCAAATTACTTGAAAAATTCGAATTCTAAGCCCCGAGTTTGGCTTTTGTGTCACTATATCGTTTGTGACCCGTTGTACCTCCGAATCCTTGAACCCTCTTAATTATATGCCCTCTGAAACTGATATGATTAGAATTACTGCACCTGCTTCACATGCATCAACACATTGCGCTTTGGTGACAAAGTTATTAGCATTTCCTCGGATTCCCTTGTACAAAAACCGCCTGCATTCCTTGGCCTGACTATCAAAGTACCATCTAGCAACTAGCTCATCTCCTTCTCCCGTATCTCTACGTTGAGCACATCGGTCTTCAGAAGAAATCAACGGGCAACACGCGGTGGTTGAGAACGAGGCGCCCGTGTGACAGAAGTGATCTTCAGGGCATCCACCGTTCGGTTGGTTCAAGTAGTTACATGAGATTGGAGTGGAGAATTCGTTAAGAAGTGGCTGGCCGACAGCGCATGGGTTGAAGTATTCTGCAAACGTGGGTGGAGGGATGCATTCGGAAGGGAGGGTGGAACTATTATTATTATACTATATCTATTTGTTTGTTTTTATTGACATATAAATTATCTTTTGAGTGCTCTCTCTCTCTCTCTCTCTCTCTGGGTTTTCACGCCAGGTCAGAGAGAGAGCCAATTGAACTATTCAATCACGCCAGACAAATATTAATACATTTTTCGAGGTTGCAAAGGTGGTGGGAGTTACAAAAAACAACTCACTGGCTTTTGTTTGTTTGCGCTCCGGACGCAGGTACTTTGTTGTTGGGGCTACTGTGGTCTCGGGTGCTGGCGTTGGGTCAGTATGGGATGGAGCCATGGATGGAGTGGACTCAGGAGCTGGTGTCTCAAGTGTTGTTGTGGTAGATGGCTGAAAATTTTCAAGATTTCAGGCTAGCCTAGAGACAAATGGGATACCTGGGTGGTAGTCTCTTGTGTTGTTGGAGAAATTGTAATAGGGATTCCAGCAGTTGGTCTTGGATAAGTAATTGGTGGCAAAGTGCTTGGTGGTGGAGTTGGAAGAGTTGGGACTGGCCCTGGATTCACGATTGGGCGAATTGGTCCAGGTTGAGAAGGGATCGTGCGGATTTGTACTTGAAGATTTGGTCGGATGTCTAGAAATGGGAGATTTATGGCTTCCAATGAAAAAAGACTCACTGGTTGGTCTGACATTCCATCGGTATCTAGTCTGCTGATTGCACCTGTTTTGGCAGTTAGTCCTTACTGGATAATACATGGTTCTCTGTTGCTGAGGCTGCATCACCGGACGCATTTGGGGTTGCATATAGTACTAGAAATGTTTTATAAACTCCAATACAGCAAAAAATGATTACCTGTGATAACACAAATGGCACTAAGGTCGCTATGAGGAGCAGCAGTCTCATGGCTTCGCTGAAAAAGTAGGCTTAATATGAATGGGATATCTCGGAAAAAGCTCCCCTCAAAAAGTGCTAGATGAAGGTCAACTTCGTGAAATGAGTGACCGACGGGCCGGAAATGTAAACAGGGTGGTCGGAGCTCGCGGTAGGAGGAGCTCTCGCGGCGTGGGGCGGGTGCTTGATTTGAGGAAGGTCAAAAAATGGCTCGGGTAGAGGTACAAGGTACCGAGATGTAGCTGGACGAGAGGCGAGAGAGGCAGAAAAGGGAGAATTGTGTTGTTAACACATTGCAAGTCGGTTAGCGCGAGTTTGTTAATCTTCAACAAGCTATGCGTAGGAAAAAGATGTTGTGAACGGGTGTTCGGTAGGAAGAATGGATGCAGAATATGGGTATGGAAAGGAGAAGAAACAAATTGGACAAGGATAGGTCATTGTGAGCAAGGTAACAGAAATTTGAGTTTTGATTTGTAAACAACATACAGAAAGTGTACGATTTTTACAGTAATTAAAGTAAACTAGATACCGTGTCTTCAAGCCATCAACTTCGAGATTAATTATCATGGTTCTTTTCAGAGATAGTAAAAAGGGGTAAACTGATAAAATGTTTATCATGATATTACTAATATTTTATCAGTTGACCAATTTTTTATAACTTTCACATGAACCAAAATTATTGAGTTCCAAGTTGAGGTTCCTCTAATAGAAGCCCACACAAACCGTCAATTTTGAACTCGATTATCTCGATGCTTGTGAGAAAAAACATACTGTCGTCAGCTGATAAAATATTGATGATTTAATGATTAATAATTCATCAGTTTGCAAGTATTCGATATCTTGAACAGGAATCGAGAACATTAGCTTTTGTTAGATGCATTTTTAAAGGTGGGGGGACAGGAGATTTTTCGTAGTTTTTTTGTAGCTAGAGTATGCATTCTACCGTCACGGTGTACAACGCTTAATGTCACTCTGCGTACATCTGTCGTCCTCGCCTTTATGTATGCAAACGGGTATGCGTTTTCTCTTTGCACGCGTGGCTCAGTCGGTAGCGGCGCCGCACCCTCAATCATCGCCCTCACAAGTTCAACTCCTCGAGGGGCATCTTTGAACGGAATTTCGAAAACATTATTTTTTTCATGTCCCCCCACCTTTAACACGACATTTATTTTTCGAAAATCTTAATAACTTCATAAAAATGAATCAAACGGCATATAAAAAAAGCCAATTTTGAGCCGAATGAAGTTTCTACAGTAACCCCAAATTTTTATCGTCTTGAATCGGCGATATAAGCATTCAGGCGGGGAATTCCTAGTTTTTAAAAGTTTTGAGAGTTTGTGGGACATTTCGAATACAATTCCAGAGTTTTCGTCCGGAAAACTGTTAAAGATGCCTTATTGCTACCAGCTGAGCTACGAGGACTGTAACTGAGAGGCACCTGAAATTTTTACGATCTAACGACTGTCTTTCAAACTTTTTCCCTGTCTCTTTTTCAAGCAAAACTTTTATTTCCAATATTTTCACAGCTTTCCAATTTTAGAGCCGTTTCCATGATTGCTTTTTAAATTCAGAAATAATTGATCACAGTTTCCTTCGACTATTTCAAACATGCACTTTCCCAGTTTAACCTATGAGCCCAATCGGACGTTTTTCTATTTTCTCTACCACTTCCTCACTGTCCATCTACCGTTTTTGACATGTAGTGGACATTGTCGGGAAGCTCTTACCTCTCTACCATACTTTTTTCCAATCTTTACATTTCGCTTCTCTGCACACACACACACCCAACACAGGCAGCTTGGTTTTCAAGACGTGGACAGGACCGCGGGAGAAAAAAAAACCGAGTTGTGCTCTTTCTCTTTCTCTCGATAAACATTGACCTAAATGACAACTTTTTAGCCTCGGCGTGACACTTACACTAACTACGTTTTGTTTGGACTTCGTCATCCCTCAAGTATTATTTTTTTTTCTGTCTTGCTTTTTCCACCTTCTTCTTCCCGAAATGATAAGAATAGATCGTGATCGAGTATGTGTGTCTGTGTCGGACACCGGATGTGATTTGGGTGGTCTGGAAAAGTGACAAGCACTGGGAAACTTTATATGTTCAAACGATAAAAATAGCCTTTTAGGTTTTTGTGGATGCTGATTTCGAAGTTCTGCTGAAAATGTACCGTTAGTTTTATCAAAATGAAGAAATTCGAATGAAATCCCTAAATCCCGAAAAATGTGGTCAAATTCCCGCTAAAATTGGAACATAGGTATCTCATTTTAATAGATATGAAGAGATATACTTTTCAGAGCTAAAAAGGGGCTGAAAATTTCAGCCAAATTTCAGTTTTGCATGGGAACGTTACATTTTCCAAATTTAAGTCGTCATAATACATGTCTGAATTTTTATATTGAATTTAAAATTTCAGGAATTTATTTACGTACAGTAACAGTCAATAAAATATGAAAAAACATTAATTTTCAGTTATTTTTCGGTTATTTTGATCATTTTCAGGAGTCTGGGGCTCGGATGTCGAGGTTCCGATGACCATAAAATATTTTGAAGGGTGTGACGCAGACCTAGATTGAAAACTTTGCATTCACATAATTTTTTCAAAATTCCTAGTTTTCCAGCTGCCGTTTTATGGAAAACGCTTCTTTTCGGCCTGATTTTGTACTGATAACGTGAAAAATAGGTGTTTTTCAAGAACTGGCAGATAATCGAGAAACTAGGAATTTTCTCAAATTCCTATGAATGCAAAACTTACTATCTGGGTCTGTTTTAAACCTTTCAAAATTTTCAAAGCGATCGGAAAATTGACAACCGAGCTCGAGACACTTGAGAGTAATCAAAATGATCAAAGATTAACTGAAAAATACGTTTTTGTATTATTAATTGACTGGTATTGTACCTCTTCCTATATTTCGAGCATTAGTGTGAAAATAGCATATGCCACGTTTAATCTTGACTTTTAATTCCGGTTTCTTTGAACAAAAATTCAATTGTTCATGACACTATCCGTTTTTTTTTCAATTCACAAAAATTATGTATCTCTCTTTTTTTTTCCGTAAATTGAAAGTGAGTAATTGAAAGTTTTGTCCATTCTGAAAGCTATTATCACCGATCATCATCATCATCATCATCTCATAAAGTCGTTTCGCCTTCTTCTGTCTTCTATTTTTTCTGTTTTTTTATGGCATGACTTCTCCGTCTTCCTCTTCTTTTCTGTTCTCACTGCGAACCCAGAGTTCACATTCTCTTTTCTTCTCTGCTTTTTTGGCGCAACTTTACACTTTTACTTGCTATATCGTTCAGGATTACTGAGAAAAAAAAAATGAGAGAAGAAGAGAAAGTGGGAAAAAAGGAGAAACGAAGACGAAGGTTTGAGTGATGGCGACTGATTGTCGTTGACATCGCAACCGACTGTCCTATTACTGCTTTCTGATCGAAACAAGGAAAAAGAAATGAGAAGAAGGAGAAGGAGAACATAGAAGGTTCTAGAAGGAGAAGAAGAAGGTGAAACCGGTTGAAAACAACAACAGTTCAGACCTGAAACTGATTAAATACGGGTCGCGTAACGGGAAGAAACAAATTAGTGGGAAAAAAAGGAGATATTTTGGGACAACAAAAAGGAATTTCTGGAATTTCAGGTTTCAATTTTAGGTCATCTCAGATGTTACTTTATTTACTCAAGAAAAATTGTGAAGTCGGATGTCTAGAATGTCTGGAAATAAAAAAATCGTTTGGTTGTGTGAATGTTCAGCTACAATAAAACAGAGTTACCTTAGCCACCGCAGGAATAAAATGGAACAATTCCTATCCAAGATATCACAAACGTGTCAACTGATGAAATACTTCTGATAATATAATAAACAACTTATCAGTTGGCAACTTTCTTATATCTTCGACAGATATCAAGTTAATTGAGCTCAAAGTTAACGATTTTGATTGATTTTCATCAGAGGAAATTCAGAAACTGGAAAAATAAGACAATTCAAGTCAAAGTTCACTTTTGTATTGAATTTTTTTTCAGATTTAAAAACAATTTCTAAGCAATAACACTTTTCTGGCTCAAAGTGAAAAGTTTGAGTGCCCTTCTATTACATTTTTCACGGTAGCTATGCTTTTATACAAGTGATAATCCAGACCAATTCATTTTCAGGTTTCATTGGTGCTAATCCATTGTTTTGGTCTGGTTCTTTTTTTCCCTTTTTTAAACCTCGTACGAGATCATATGTGTCGTAAAACCGTCATTTGGAACTTCGAGACGACTTGATATGGTTCGATTGCCCATTTCACTTCCCTATTGCCAGTCGTCCACTCAATGTCTTCGTCGTCGTCACAGTAACTTAGTAAAGATTCCAAAAAATGATAAGAAAGTAATTGAGAGAAGTTGCCGTGGAAGCCAAAGTGTACGCGCGCCAAAGAGACGCATGTCAGTTACAGATAGAAAAACCGTTAGAAAAAAATCCACAAAGTTTAAGAAGGCGTGGCAAGCATCGTCTCTTCGGCTAGATGGCAAGTATAAATAGGTGTTTGGCCGGCAAGTAAAATCACATTTCGGTGCAATGGACGAGAAGGCAAAGTTTGCGCATGCAGATGAACTCAAGAAGTTCGCCTTCTTCGGTAATTATTTATTTTTGGTCATTTTTGATGATTAAATTGTTGTATTACAGGAGTGGCAGTTTCCACTGTTGCCACTTTGATTGCCATCATCGCTGTTCCACTTCTCTGCATGCACATGCAAACCGTTCACTCTGGACTCTCCGATGAGCTTCTTTTCTGCAAAGCCAAGAATCTCAACATGAAGGGAGAAATCCAAAAACTCGCTGTCATCCGCGAGACCTCCCGCCAAAAGCGTCAAACTCCACAAACCTGCTGCTCTTGCGGAATTGGAGAGACTGGACCAGCTGGAGTTCCAGGACAAGAGGGAGCCCCAGGAAACGACGGTAAGGCCGGACAACCAGGAGCACCAGGAGCCGATGCTGACGAGCAAGGATTCCATTACAAGGCACCAGAATTCTGCTTCGATTGCCCAGCTGGACCACCAGGACCAGTCGGAGGGCCAGGACCAAAGGGACCACCAGGACCACCAGGAGGACCAGGAGAGCAAGGAGGACAAGGACGTGGAGGAAACCGCGGACCACCAGGACCACGTGGAGGACCAGGAGAGGCTGGACCAGACGGAGAAGCCGGACGTCCAGGACAGAACGGACAAACTCGTTCCGCTCCATCTCCACCAGGACAACCAGGAGGCCCAGGAGAGCCAGGAGCACCAGGAGAGCCAGGACCAGACGGACGTGCTGGACATCCAGGACGCAACGGACCACCAGGACCACCAGGAGACAACGGAGGACAAGGAGAGCCAGGAAAGGATGGAGCCGACGGAGAGAACGGAGCCGCTGGAACACCAGGACCAAAGGGATCTTGCGATCACTGCCCACCACCACGCACTGCCCCAGGATATTAATTCACTTGTGCTCTTTAATTTTAGTGAATCTCATGCAAATAAAGATGTTTGCCCTCAATCTGTTTTTTATTATTATTTTGGAATATCAGATCCCGAAAAAATTCCAGTTAAACAAATGCAAAAATCAGATAATGTAAAAATACGAGATACAGATTACGGTATCTATGACCACAAAACTACGTGCGTAATCGAAATAGCCAATCACAGCAATTAAACTAAATGAGAAAGGAAAAAAAAACAGTTCAAGTTGCCTAGGAAAGTTCAAAAATCGCATTGTAATTTACACAAGTCTTTCCATACATTCAGAATTTTTTTCTCGAAAAGGAAGAGTTTTATAGAACCTCTTATTTGAATTCATTAGAATTTTTCAGGCAATTCAGCATGGTTTAAAGAGCATGAAAATGTAAATGGTCAAGTGTTTGCGGAGCCTGTCACTGTTATTGCTCAAAAGAAGCGTATCCTATCTTTGAGCTCAATTATTTCCGTTGTTTTGAAAGATATCAAACATTAGTTTACTGATAAAACATTGATGATATCATGATAAATCATTTATCAGTTTCATATTTTTGATATCTTTCGAAGTAACTGAGAAAATTGAGCTTAGAGTCGAAGTATAGTCATGGCTTCTAATAGAACATTAACGGTTATCATCATTCAGTTATTTTTACGACGGATGACTAGAATAGTAATCCGGTAAACAAGAACATGACCAAAATTTTGACATCTCGAGGAGCTTCTTGAATTTGTCCATTCAGAAGGACTTCGTGAAGTTCACGACGTGAACCGATTATTTATGTCAACGAACTGGCAAATCACCTTCTGAAAAGCTGAAACGGTTTTCAAATTTGTGTTTTTATGATCAGGCCCAACACGATTATTTTTTGAGGGCTGATTTTCAAAAAATTTTCGAACTGTACACCAACTTTTTGCCACTCACACATTGGGCATTACGATTTTTAAATTCTGACTACGCATCTTTAAAGCTTGAAGACGTGAAATCTGTGTCTAGCTGCACCGATTGAAATCAAATTCGAAATCAAAATATCATCACAAACGGACCATCCCATTGGTTTCACTTTCATCTTAATGATCGACGTTAAAAATATCAATTTCATTAAAAAAGAGAAAAGAAAAAAAAACAGATATTATCTTTTTCCTACTGTAGCAACTACCGAATTCCATGATACCCAACAGAAAAATGATACGCAGTAATTGTGAAAGGTCGTCAGAGAAACCTGTAGTCATAGATTGCATGTTGCAAAGAGACGAAGCGCGCGGAAGTGATTGCAAAGAAAAAAATCCACAAGTTTAAGAAGGCGTGGCAAAGTTCCTTGTTCCGTTAGGCAGTAAGTATAAAAGTAGTGGTTGGTGAGAAGAGAAACCACATCGAACAGTGCAATGGAAGCCAAGGCAAAGTTCGCAGAGGCGGCTGACCTGAAGAAGTTTGCCTTCTTCGGAGTGGCAGTTGCAACTGTCTCCACACTGATTGTTGTTGTTGCTGTACCCATCTTCTGCGTTCATATGCAATCGGTCACATCGGGTCTTTCTGAAGAACTTATGTTCTGCAAGGCCAAGAATGTTTACGTTAGGTAGGTCATGAAATGTGATAAGACATTCCTATAATGTTTTATTTCAGAGGAGAAATCCAACAACTATCTGTTATCCGTGAGACTTCCCGACAAAAGCGTCAAACTCCACAAACTTGTTGCTCTTGCGGAATTGGAGAGACTGGACCAGCCGGAGTTCCAGGACAAGAGGGAGCCCCAGGAAACGACGGAAAGGCCGGACAACCAGGAGCACCAGGAGCCGATGCTGACGAGCAAGGATTCCATTACAAGGCACCAGAATTCTGCTTCAATTGCCCAGCTGGACCACCAGGACCAGTCGGAGGACCAGGACCAAAGGGACCACCAGGACCACCAGGAGGACCAGGAGAGCAAGGTGGACAAGGACGTGGAGGAAACCGCGGACCACCAGGACCACGTGGAGGACCAGGAGAGGCTGGACCAGACGGAGAAGCCGGACGTCCAGGACAAAACGGACAAACTCGTTCCGCACCATCTCCACCAGGACAACCAGGAGGCCCAGGAGAGCCAGGAGCACCAGGAGAGCCAGGACCAGACGGACGTGCTGGACATCCAGGACGCAACGGACCACCAGGACCACCAGGAGACAACGGAGGACAAGGAGAGCCAGGAAAGGATGGAGCCGACGGAGAGAACGGAGCCGCTGGAACACCAGGACCAAAGGGATCTTGCGATCACTGCCCACCACCACGCACTGCCCCAGGATATTGATTTTTTGTATAGTTTTATTAGAATTTTTTAATTTTTCATAAATAAAACAATATCTTGCAATCCCCGTATCAACAAAAAGTTTCAAATTAAAAATCTTCGTCTCAGACATTCCGCGTTCGCAAAATCTGTCCTCCCGGTAGCCAGTACTTGTAGTAGACGAACAATTCGAAAACCGACAGACACACTGAAACAGAAGAGATATTACATTCCATCATTTTTTTTTCATCATTTCAATTAGTCTCTTACCAATTGTGTAAGAACAAATTGCCAACGCGATGTCGCCATTCGCATTCCAATATCCCCAATTCTTGCCGCCGCGAGACATTCGTTGTTCTTCGTACCAACTGTAAATTAGAAATGAATTGTGTATAAACTTGATGGATATGAAAGCTTACACAGGCACTTGTGTGGTTGCGAAGATTGCAGCGATAAGCATCAGTGGCGTCATCGTGGCAGTGAAGACCAGGTGAACAAATGCGGACCATCGGATATGGAGTGCCTTGACGGCAAAGAATCCAGTCCATGTGGCGATCTGAATAGTTTCTTATTTTGTCGAAGAATTTTTTAAACAAAAATTACAAACCAAATTGTTCAGTGGGATCCAAATGTTGAGTCCATTCTCACAATTAATTCTAGTGTAGAACGTTGAGTAGTACAACCCTAGCGTGAAACATAGAACACCGCCAATCTGCAAGTGACAGAAATGACATGTTGGAAACGAGCCAACTAGTACTTACAAATGCAAGGAGTGCACATATAAAGTTGAGATAGACGCTGTAGGAGAAGAAAAGCCAGACGGTTTCCGGAACGCTCAGCAAGTTTCGGTCTTGCACTATCTGAAAAACTAAGGATTGAAGAAAATTCAATAAAAAATGATATACAGTATGGGCCAATCAGATATACAAAAACACATTTTTCAGTTAATTTCTAATAATTTTTTTCAGGAGTCTGAAGCTCAGCTGTCAAGTTTCTGATCACTTTAAACGTTTTGGAGAATGTAGCTGAGACCTATGTAGATCGAAAACTTTGCATACACGGGGTTTATGAAAATTCTTAGTTTTCCAGTTATTTGCCAATTTCCGAATGACACCTTTTTTTGGCCGATTTTTTTACTGAGAACGTGAAAAAACAGGCGTCTTTTAAAAATCGGAAAGTAACTAAAAAACTAGATATTTTTAAAAAAGTATGTGAATGCAAAGCTTTCAATCAAGATCTGTTTTATACCTCTAACATTTTCGAAATGATCGGAAGCTTGACAACGGTCAAAATGGCCTAAAATCAATTGAACACTCCATATTTGTATACCGTAAAAGCTGTTTCAGAAAGGCCGGTCCTTCTGTTGTTTTGAGGTACTTCCGGAGGGCCCTTCTATTACAGTGGCTTTCCAATTCGAGGGGCCCTTCTGCCTTACCGGCTGTTTTTTATAGTAAAAAGTTCGATAGAAAAATTCTTATTCTCTATTTACGAAAATCTAAGAATCTAACTAAATTGAGCGGATTTTTGATTAAAAAAGAGTGTTACAACAAATTTCTGTAAAAATTTGGAAGTTTCTATTTTCAAACAACACATTTTGAAAGAAGACCTTATATTAGAGACGCCTTTCTAATACAGGTTTTACGATATTTTATTAACCGTTACTATTGGGATCAAACAAAAAATTGTTTTAGACAATTGAAAAAATTTTATTCTGGTTTTCTCGAAATCGTGTTTTTGGACTTTTTCGATTTTTCTTCAAAAAAAACTCACCTTATCCACCCAAACCGAGAAAATGGTAAACTTGTTGTCCAGATACCTCCATGCCGCTTTCAGTGGTGCTAGAATACAACAAAGACAGTGCCAGAAACACCTTAGAATGTTCATACACCAGCTCATGAGAGCAGGAGAAGAAAAATCGATTGATATGGGAAAACAAAAACGTTCTTATCAGTGTAAGTGTCGACATATGTGTACACTACACCCAATCATATTCTACCACGAGCCGTGATGAATCACTGGTTAGATTCTCCGGATTTCATCCAGTTTATAAAAATAGTACAAAAATAAACAAAAAAACACAACGAACCATATGGCATCAGAAGCGAATAGAAGAAGCAGTGAGAACAGATCGGTGGACCCGAGGAAGACAAAAAAAAATGAAGTAGAAGGCGAAAGTTGGGGAATAAGAGGCACACAGAAGTAGAAGGAGAAGATGATGAAGAAGCACAGCCACAACGCAATGGAATACTAAGCGAGGGGATGGCGAAAAAAAAAGCAGCACCAGTGCAGAGAAGGGTAGTTTTCAGTGAATAATTACATATGGAAATGAATATGGGAGGAAAGGAGCATAATTATTCGGAAAAAAGCTGATAGAAGTGCAAGATAATAGAGAAAATGCTAGCGATAAGAAATAATGGTGAAAATGAAAATGATTATGCTGGCTTGACTTTTTCAAAGTGATATTGTAGTGGCATTTTTGTGAGATCCACAGCTCGAGATGTTCCATTCGTTGCTTTTCTGAAAAATTAGTGATTTTATAAGAATAACTTATATTAGGTTGGAAGAAAAGTAACGGCCCATTTTTTAATTTGTGAATAACGCAAAAACAAGAATTACCCAAGATTGGCAGTATGCACCGTCGTGGTCGGACCACGGTGGTCCACGACATGCTGACAACATTCAGGTAACTTGTCAATAACATCTCTCCAAAAGCCAGCTGGCCGCGAATCAAAGTATTTTTCAAAAGCCATTTTTTTGTCATCGACAGTGTGAAACTATTTTCCTTCCAGATGACGTTGAATATCTCCGAATAACAAATTATGAAAGAGTCAAGTCTGGAGTTTAAGGAGCGTGGACAGCCGTCCATCCAAAGCAGCTTAGGACTGAATTGACTTTCTTTAAATAACTGAGATCGAGATCCTATGTTCCACAGGAAGTCAAGTAAGAACTGGGCCGTTTTTGCTGAATGGTTTTCCTATCAAACTCCTAAATTGACCCTTTCATTATTGCATATAAGGAAATATACAACGTCATCTGGAGAGAAATAGTTCAACACTGTAGATGAGCTAAAATCTTGACTGAAAAAATACTTTGATTAGCGGCCAGCTGGCTTTTGGAGGTATGGTATCCACAAGTTTCCTGAATGTTGTCAGCATGTCGTGGACCACGACGGTGCATACTGACAATCTTGGATAATTCTTGCTTTCGTGTTATTCCCAATATAAAAATGGACAGTTACTTTCTTTCCAACCTAATAATAGGAGGGTCCCCTTGCAGTCAAGTTTGAGTTGATTTTTCTTGGCTCCTATGAAAGATGTTTAAAATAAGTCAACTGCTGAAACTTTTGTCAGTTGACAAATTTTTCATTTTCTTGACAGGTACCGAAATAAATTGGCTCTATAATCCGAAGGTCCTGTTATCACAGGTATTACGGTATTCGGGATTTTGAATATTTATTTTAGTCTTTCTTCCCTTTTCCATTTCCAATTACTTTGAGCTATCCTCCTTCTCTAGTAATTCCCACAACTCATTTATTTCTCCTTATATACTCAAAGTTCAGTCGTCATTTCTAATTCTAAAACGTTTCTGCGAAAGAATTTCTAATGAACTCTCCCTCCCTTTTCGAGCTTTTTTTGATGAATTTGATTGAACCCTTTTCTTTTTTCAAGAAGAGAGGGAAAAATGAGCCTCCCTCTTCTGGTGGTTCTACTGAACTAGAATACTGAAATGTTCCGGAGTTTTAGCGGAAGTTAAAGAGAGCACTCGAGAAGCACTTTTTTAGGATTGGGTTCAAAACTCACTTGAAAACAGCATCGAACAAATCTCTCACAAAATCGTAAAACTCGCGTTCCATTTTGTAGACTTCATCACGCCGGATCATGGATAGTGTCTGCTCATTGGGTGGGATTTTCTTCTTTGTGTAGCGGAGATGGGCGCGATTTTCTGGAAACAGTAGGGAAGTTAGAGAGTTTTAGAATAATTAGAACAACTGTAACTCTAGAATTTACTCGGACGTCGCCGTCACCACTTGCTCGGAGCCGGATAGATTCCGGATGAAACCAACAATCTGACCAAATATTATACAGCTATTTTTGCGCGAGTCCCGAGCAAAACCAGGCGGCCAATATCTGCCTAAAAACTGAATATTTCTAAAATTCTAACCAGAAGTTACAAACCAACAGTCGAGTGCTTTTATTGTATTTTTCCCAACACATTTTCCCGATATTGGAACCATTTTTCTCGATTTCCCATCAAAAAACGTTAGACATCTCCACCTTCTTTTAAAGGTTCTCAACACCAAAGCAACGACACTCCGCTATCCCGCTCAGAGCGCACGCCAAATTTATATATTTTCTGAGTGGATTGCTAGCTTTTGATTTGGGTCATGTTCTGTAACATCGTTCAGTGCGTTTTCAAAGCATAGCTCAAGAATATCCGGTTTGCAACACCTTGGCCATTTGATATATGGCAAGCTTGAACAACCTGAGCCACGACTGACAATGTACAAACGCCAACAATATTTACAGACGCCGGTGGTCGACGATTCTATTCCACCCGCAACTCGTCTGTCGGATTGTAACTTATAAAGTTGAGGATGGTTTGGCTTCTGGGCGGATATTGGCATGATTCTGGTCGGAACTTTCTCAAAAATGGCTGTATAGTGGGCCATTGTTTGATATGAAGTTGGAAGTAGAATCATTAGTGGATCGGAACCTTATCAAAAGTTTGTCAGAGCTCCTTCGGCTTCAGTAGCAGTGTTATCCGGAATCTAACCAATCTTCGACTAGAAATTGCCATCGACGTCTGAGTACACGACAAGCAACTTCTGGGCTATGTTTGGTCAGATTCCGGGTTCGCCGCTACAGAAGCAGACCATATTTCTCCAAACTCATGACAAATTTCCAGCAGTGTTTCCACTTCCAACTTCTGACAAACTTCTCATCACAGTCCGCTATTCAACTTCTTTTAGTTTTTCTTTTGACTAAAACTTGACCGAGGGTCCTAAAATCCGAATAGCTCGACTTCCGACCAGAAATTACAAGACGACAGTCGATTTATACCAGCAACATCAAAAGCTCACCATCAAGTTGATCAAAATGTCCAAGTGCTCCTTTGAAGAAATGTGGAACGGTGACTTCAAGTAATGCAATCATATCTCGCATCCGATCCGTTGTTCCGACCAACAGATACTTCTCCAGGGCGTTCTGCTTTGCCATCTTCAACGCTTCAGCACTTCCAACTTCTCTGAAAATATATACATAAGATGGAGAAGAGTGATAATAACTCACGTGCAAAAGTGATAATGTCCACAAAAGTAGGGGATTTGCATCCACATCTGTTTCATATCGCAATCCTTGCCGCCTCGGGAGTAGCACTCGTCAAATGTCTGAAATGTTTTCTCGGGGTAAGCGAAATAAGGATTTTTTGACCTACTTCATTATTTCCAGCGCGGCTACGCTTCAGTCCAACTCGGAAGTTGTCCCCATACCGTAGAAAATAGTAGTGGGAGAGTAGTCGTTCCAGTGGCTCTCTGATGATGTTGATGTAGATTGGGTTAGCGACTCCGAATCTGAAAAAATTGAGAAATAATATTATTCTGGTCAGGAACTGTTTACGAGAAAGCCATTTGTTGTGACCGAAGGTCCTACAGCGACAACTACCGTAATTTCAGAATATCTTTCTTTTCAGGATTAATTTTCTTGTCTTAAACTGCTTTTTGCAGGTCATTTTTCTCCAAAAAAAAATCCACAAAATGAACTTTTTCAACAATGAAATAATTGACTAATTATAAAAATATTTTTAAGTTAGGGTACTCGTCGTTTTGCGAGATTTGGCTTTGATTTTTTGTAGCAGTATAATACCCGTTTTGAGAAAGTTTCCGAAACTCACCTTGTAAAATCTATATACGCAACATGACCATGGTAAAACGCTGGTAATCTCTCCCTCCACGTTGTGACGTTGTTAATGAAGACGTATTGATCGGGAAGACTCATGACCTGAACAAACAATGGTCCGTCTTTTTTTACGTTCAAAGAGGATAATACCTGTCGATTCTTGGTCATATTCACATGTAGAACATTGAAACCATTCTCCTTGTATAAATCATAAGCGATTGCATTTGTGAATGTTGTTGAGCCTGTTTTAGGAATCTGAATGTGAAATTTAAAATTTTTAAAAAGAACATAACAACTCACCCTGTTATAAATCACAATATTATTAGAAGTAGGCCAAGGTCGCACGGAATTAGGGATTTTTTTAGGTCTCAAAATGAACAAGAGTAAAATAATTACAGAGAATGCAACTAAATACGTTGTTTTTCGCTTTGGCCATAGCATTTTTTGTGAAATGAATAGAAAAAAGAACCAGTGAACGCGAAGAAGAACTGCGCAAGACGAAGGCAACTGGCGTGTTTGCGGTGTTCTCTGCGTCTCCGTCACCCGGTGCACTATCTCTTGTTGACGCATTTTTGGTGCGCGTATCCGTTTAATAGATTTTACCAAATATAAGATTTATTTACTGGAAATGAAAAAGGACAACACTTGGTTTGCGTCAGAGAATCACTAGAAAGGAAAGGAGAAAAAAGACAATGGTTTGGGAATTAAGTAGAACTCGGGAGAAAAGAATTACACAGAAAACTGTCAAAGAATGCCACGAAAATTGAATATCATGGTTTTGCAAGTAGCACTGCGATGTTCGGACGAGGTGTAGGATACTGCTGGTAGGTGCGGAGATACTGAAAAATGAGGGAATCACAGTATATGTCGATGAGATGTAGAAAAACTAATTTTTCGGTAATAATGACCATTTTCAGCAACCTGGAGCTCGGTTGTCAAGTTTCCGATCACTGAAACTTTTGAAATGTGTAAAACATGCCTAGATTGGAAGCTTTGCATTCACGGAATACCTTGGAAATGCCTAGTTTTTCAAGTTTTTGCCAAATTTTGAAAGACACTCATTTGGGCCCTTTTTTGGTGCTAAAAACAGGTCTTTTTCAGAAATCAGCACATAGCTAGAAAATTAGGAATTCTCAAAAAGTTCTGAAAATGCAAAATTTAAAGTCTAGGTTTGTTTTACAGCCTCCAAAATTTTCCAAGGGATCGAAAACTTGATAGCCGAGTTCCGTACCTGTGAAAATGGTCGAAATAGCTAAAAATCCACTGAAAAATTAGTTTTTTCATTGAGTGGTACTGTAACTCAAAAACGTTTCAGGATACTCACCTCAATGAACAGCCCTGCGTTGACTTTGAAAATGTCGAGTTCTCTATCAAAATCTGTGATACCAGGAGACATGTTGTTGTAAACTGAAAAATCAATTTTTCATAAATCTGATCTTTTTTTTCTCCAAAACTCACTTGGCACCCTACGCTCCCTGTCGAAAACCATGATTCCTTTTATCAACGCTGTAGCTCTTCGCATTTTGTTCAATCGCAATTGAGAATTGTCGAATTCGGTGACAAACTTGCAGAGGAGGCCTGCAATTTTTTTTTATTTTGACGAATTTTCAAATTTCTAGTTCAAACCTGCAAAGAAATCGATATGCTTCGACATCAGTCTCAACTCGTGCTTAATTCTAGGTGTCCCACATGATGGATACCCATCCTGTCCTGGTACATGGCCATCTCCATAGATTAGCAGAAGTTCTCGCCACTTCTTGTTGGCTTCTGCCTCCATGGCCTTGGCTTCTCCGTCGAAATTGTCAATGAGAGCTGGAAATTTAAAATTATATATTTTGATTTCAAAAAAAAAAAACTTACTCTCAATGGTGCAGAAGAAGAATCCAAGTCTCATCCATCTGTTGAACTTGTCCATCAAAAGCTGCGGTTGAACTGCTCGTCGTCTCATGTTCTGCATCAGATTCTCATCTTCTGGCTCCTCATCCTCATCGTCATCATCACTCGACAAGACAATTTCTTCTATTTCCCCTCTTCGTTGTTGCTGTTGTTGGTATTCAGCGATTCCTCCTCCTACTGGAACTATTGGAATCATCGGTCGAGGAGCTTCTGGATCTATCCACGGTAGAATAGGTGGTCCTAGAGCATTCGGGAAACGTGGTTGGTCTTCTGGAGCTAGCCATGGCAGCACAGGTGGTGGTAGTCCGTTTAAAGTTCCCGGGTTCCACAATGGCTGAGATGGTCCTGGTGCATTTGGGTTACGTGGCGGAGTTTCTGGTACTTGCCAGAGTAGCTGAGACGGTCCAGGTGCATTTGGATTACGTGGTGGAGCTTCCAGAGCTTGAATGATAGCACCATTCCGAGCTTGGCTTCTAGTCACCCTTCGATTCATTACATACATGTCTGAAATTGAGATTATAAAATGATTAATACTCAAAATTTACAAAAATTAACTCACGTGGCGGTTGGGGAGGTGCTAAACCATTTCTCCCAGCTCCATTTCCTCCCGCAGACCTTCTCATCGCTCCCTGAGCAGAAGACTTTGACGACGCCGTGGTCGCTGCCATGACGGCTTATATATCCGACTGGGTCTCCTATAAACTAAACCTATTTGGATGTGTATGTGCGAGAGAGCAGCAGCATGTGAGCATGCGCATTGAGAGTCAACTAGGAGCAACAGCACTAGACTGGATCGATACGTGGCGGTGTTGTGTTCGTTTATAAGGAGTGGAAATGAATGAAGAAGACAGTGTGTCTGTGTATGCTGATAAGGGTAGAGAAGGGGAATGACTTGAACGTGGGATTGGATAGTGGGGTGGTAGGGGTCAATTGACTGATAAAATTATCATATGCAATCAAAGAAATAATGTAGGAGAAGGAATGGGTGTTCTTGTATGCTAATCTACTTTTCATCAACAGTACCCAGCAAAATGGATTACCTCTATCTGATCAAACAATTTATCAGCAAGCTCTAATGGACCTAAACCCTATATCTGCACTTTGAGCTCGATTATCTCAATTCCTATAAGATGTATCAAAAATTTATCAACTGATAAAGTATTGGTAGTATTATGACAAATAGTTTATCAGTTGACAACATTTTGATATCTTGCACAGGAATTGAGATAGTTGAGCTCAGAGTGCACGTATAGTGTGGTCTTTCAGGTACATACAGTATTATCGATGTTTGTGAAAAATGTTGAGAGCGGACAACTCGTTAAATTTTTCTTAAATGCGATAACGCAAACTACCGTATTCTTTAAGACTATTTCAAATGTTATTTTTCAGTTTGCCCAATTTTCAACATTTTAAAAAATATTTTCAGTTATTATTACCATTTTAATCAATTTTTACCGATTTACCTAGAAAAAACGGTGAAAATCTTCAAAAAATGAAAAAAAAAATGAAAATACACATATTTTTTGTTTTAGCCTAACATCTCAAAATTTCAACCTGACACCTCAAGAAAATGCCAATAAATTTCAGCTGTATGCAATTCACAGAGCCCCATGAATGTTGAAAAATGTCTTCCCTTTACTTGTGTTACGATAAATATAAATATGGATAAATATGGAAGACAGAGAAAATTGCCTAAAATTTGGAAAATTTGGAAAATTGTTGTTTTCACAGTAAAACCAATAAAATGCTAAACGTCGAACACATGTTTTTCTCAAACTTAGAATTTTCGACAGCAGAAAATTAAACATTGTGAAAAAAATAGTTTTTAAACTAATTTTTTAAAACTTTATATTCCAAAAACCTAAGAATTTGACCGAATAACAAACTTTATCGAATCTAGTTCTAGGTACGTCACTCAATAAGTTTTGCGACTATTCGACTCTGTTTGCTTGTCGGAGGTCCATTGACCCCTCTTGTTTGTTCAATACACTGCGCACAGTCTATTATCCAAGGAGTATATTTTAGAGTTGCACCAATTTGTCTCACCAAGTTTATTATTGCAAAAGAGCTATGTTCAAAAATGCATTATTCAGAAAAAAGCCGGGTAAGACGCTAACACAAGAAAACCGTAGTTCAGAGAAACTGGGTTAAAGAAGTAAAGGGGGACAGTGAGAGGAGGATGAGTAAGAAAAAAAGAACTGGCACCATGCGCCAAAGAAACGGTTACTCATGTGGGGCGGCGAGGGTTCAGAGTAAAGATTCAGAGTAAAGAGAAAGAAAAAAGAATGTAAAGAATGACTGCTCGATCAGACTACTGCTCGGCGTCTCTCTTCCCCGATTACACTATTCTTTTTTTGTTTCCCAGCACATTAAAATGAATGTGGGTACATGAACTTTAGTTTTGAGTCTAGGATAATTAGATAGAAAAGGTTAAATTCGAAAAAAGTGTCCATTGGATGGAAAATGTCGGGAAAAAAAAGAAGGAAAAAAACTATTGGTGAGTTCGGAATGTCTGGGATACAGAGAGTGGTGAAAGAGAGGGGGGAGGGTGAAAGGAGATTCCTGACCCGGTCAAACACCCGGGAGAAGCGGAAAAACCAGCTGCTTGACCCACAACAATTGCGGGGCTCGGAGACGAACGCGTGGGGGTACGCGCGGCAGACATTTACCATCTGTACACCCGATGCCCAATGGCGTTCGTGAAACGAAGGGGTTTGGTGGAAAGCGGAGAAAAGACGCGGACAGCAGTTGGCGGAAATGTGCTTTCGGGATGATGGGACGTGTGGAGGAAGAGGAAGAAAAAAAAATCAAAGAATTCTACAAATATACATGCGAGATAGATAGATGGAAGGGGATGGGAGAAAAGTGTTGGCTGCAAAAAAGGCAATCATACATGAAAGACGGACAAAATAGGAAAATGTGAGAGGAGATTCTCAAAATATCATTTTAAGTCGACGCTTCCTCTTCCTCTGCAATGTAGTCAAAGTCGACAAAGTGCACGTCTCGAATGCAGAATGTCTTTCTGAAAAAGATTTGCGATTTTTAATAGAAATGGTGGAATGGAGGCAAATGTATTTTTGTAATATAAATGTTTTTGATGATGATGCGTCACAAGACAAAGGTTATGAACTTTCTAATACAAACTTCTGATTGTGTTAGAATCGACAGAAGCGATAGAGGAATTTTTGAAAGAGAGGCAAAAAGCTTTTTTCTGTTTTCAGGGGATCAAGAAATTCTAAAAGCCAAATAAATCCTTAATACTCATCTAATCCATGAAAATTTTATTTCTGCATGAAACAAACATGAAGCTAAAATTTTTGTCATCTGCCAGATGGCATCTGGTATCGATTTTCAAAGTTTACAACTTCATGAAAATACTTGTGCTGTCAAGTTATTTTTAACAAAGTGAAAAATTTGAAATTTTGATTTTCCACATGAATACTGTAACCGGTGGATATCTCTCTAATAGAAGCCCTCCCAAACCGTCAACTTCGACTTCATTTATCTCGATAGCTGGGAAAGATATCAATAATGTGTCAACTAATAGTTTAGTATCATGATATCAGCAATATTTGATCAATTGGCACATTTCTGATACTTTACACAAAAACCAAGATAATCGAGCTTAAAGTTTAAGGTTTGGGTAGGCTTTTTTTTAGAGGAAAGTAGATTTTGTCACTGCTGGAAAATTTTCATTTTTGTATGTCGATTTCAAATATTGGATTCTTCATCAACCCTTTTCGAACTTCTAAAAATGTTCTATGAAGTTTTTTTTTGAAATAATAACTTTAGCTGGAAATTATCACGACTTATCAGATCAATGAAGTCTTTCAAACATACTCTACATGCTTAATCCTAACCTTTACGTGCACTTTGAACTCATTATTTTGGTTCCAATAATAGATAACAAATATTTGTTAACTGATGAAATAATATTTTCATAATATCACCAATATTTTATAAGTTCACATATTTTTTATATCTCTCCTAGGAACCGAGATAATTGCGCTCAAAGGTCACGGTCTTCTATTAGAGCATATACAGTATCTCCATTTCATTTTTGTCGAATTCCGTCCTAGGCACATTTCAATCAATTCTTACCTGCACGTCGGACACTTTCCACTCCCTCGATGATACTCGTATCGATTCACATTATCAATTTTCTGCCGTGTTATGAAAATTTGCGCAATACATCCGCAGCACCTGAATAAAGACACAATAATTAAGTCGTTTTCTTCCGTGATCGCGCGCGGCACTATCGTTTTGCAAGCGATGCTGATTATGGTATCAGATGGCATATGTAAAGAAGCTTCTTTCTTGAATCTATACCCCAGCTGTCATCTCCCATTCATGTGTCCCCTTTCCCTACTTGTACCCATAATTAATCGGTCAGTATGGTAATTGACCTCAAGATCGTTGAAAGACTTTCATTTTCTTTTGGACGCTTACCACAATGGACGGCAGGTGCAGTTTTCACAGTTTGGAGTTGGATTCAGTACAACGTCATGGAACAGAAGTCGTTGTTCTTCGCCTGTACAAGACTTGCTAATTTTGATGATGTTCTCTTCGCTACCACATGCAAAGCACGGATCTTGCTCGCTACGTTTCACACGATGAGTGTGTCGACTGTTATTACGAATCCGATGGACGAAATCCTGAAAATTGTTAGGTCGGAATTATAGGGGAACGTTTGGGATACCTCTTTCAGTTCCTCCATAATCGTCATCGGGACCGTGATATGAGGTGGTACAAAAATCGGAATTTCCAGAATCTCGTTCAGTTGATGATAGTAGTCTTGGCGTAGTCTGAAATAGGCAATTTGTGGTTGGAAATGAAAAGTTTTGAATCTCAAAGGTTAGATACTGGTAAATGAGAAATATTTCGCTTTCCGAGAATTGAAAAACTATAATTAGATATATTGTTGTTATTGGCACCTGCATGTTTTTGGTTGCCAAGTTGAGCCAAGCATAGAATTTGGATTTAGCTAGACCGACAACATATTTTAAATAGTTTTTGAATAGAGGAACTGCTCAAAACTCGGACCCAGCTCTTCGGTTATTTCCTTGGGACTAATAATTTCATACTGAGCCCGAGGGTCCCAACATAAGATTTCTCTTCTGGTATAGACCCGAAGTTAATCGGTTGTGGGCTTGTAAAAAGTCAGAAATGATAGGAATTTGAATTATAGACAAATCTTTGCCAGTTTTTCAACATTATTTGCCCAAGGCGGGTCTCGCTCAGAGGTTGATGGTGTTCAGTTGTGGTTTAATTCAGGATCTGATCAACCCACGCCCGAGTAGCTCTGACAGTTAAATTTTTTTTGCTCTTATGTTCTATGAAGTAAATGAGCTATTTTCTCACTTAAGACTTACGTCATAGTGAATGGTGCCAAGTACGGAACATTAAAGTTGACTTTGATGAACATTGCCCGCAACCGTTCCTCCTCGTCGTGAATATTCATAATCTAAATTTTTTTCTTTTTTTTCGTGAACAAATATGATAACTTTTTACCATAGGCATTCTTGTATTATCCACCTGAAGCCTGACATCAATAATCCTGACTGCTACAAACCTCCAATTCGATGAGTAGATGAAAAAATTCCGGGTCACGTAGACGTGCGTGCGTTCTGAAAAATGAATATTTCAAAACAATCCGATTGGAAAACACACACGTGACAGTCTGATTCGAAAGGTTTCAGGATCATTGATCACTGTCTCCACGCCGTCCAACGTTTCCGGATGATCCATGAAGTATTGGAACGCTGACCATTGAGTGTATTCCCTGATTTTGTAGTAGTAAGTCACCAATCCTAAAAATGAGTGATGTTTTGATATCAGAAGAAAAATAAGAGGATTCTTACCTATCACAGAGGTGACAAACACTAGAAGCCAAAGCCATGGGTGGTCGAAGAGTTCTGGAAAGCGACGTGTGTTGATTGCGGTAGTAAAGAGTTGTCCATGAACGAAGTAACCGGAGATTACTGAAAAAATTAAAATAGTATGTTTCACAGGTTCATAGGCAGTATTTGTCCTTACTAGTTTTTGCCTCAGATGCCGACTAAAATATTAAGTATCGGTATTTTGCAAATTCACGAAGCAGCTTACCCTACACGTTCACTTTGAGCCCGATTACCTTGCTATCTATGTAAAACCATACTTGCAAAATCAGGGCCCAGCCGAAAATTTTTCCAGGGTTCGGCCCGGCCCGGCCCGTGACTCCTCGGCCCGGCGGGCTCGGGTTTTCCAAATGTGAAAAATTTTTTGAAATTTCAGAAATTTTTTCAAATTTCTTTGTAAAAGAACTATTTTTTATGCACACTCTTATCTTGAAAAATTTTTTTCTTGTTAGAAAAATCGTCCATTTTTTCTGTTGACCCCAAAAAATTTTTTGAAATACAGAAAAAAATTTTCCAAAAATCCGGGCCCAGACGGGCCGGGCCTAGCCGGGCTGGGCCCGGGCCCTGGCCGGGCCGGGCCCTGGCCGGGCCGGGCCCTGGCCGGGCCGGGCCCTGAAAACTCTGAAAAAAGCCCGGCCCGCCCCGGCCCGTCCCGTTGCAAGTATGGTTAAAACTGTTTCAATATATTTAAAAGGAACCGAGGTAATTGAGTTCAAAGGTCACATATTGGGTGGGCTTCTGTTAGAGCACGTACGGTATGTCTTTGAAATTGAATTTTCTGTCTTGAAGCCGACTAAACTCCGGAGAACTTATGACAAGAGCCTCGCTCGCTATACGTTTTTGGGTAAGTTCCGGCAAGAACCCGGCTCAAATCCGTCCGAAAGCAGAACCGCCTCAATTTCTGACGAGAAGTTACAAGCCGACAGCCCAGTAGCTAATTTCTTTCGTTTGTATAATGTTTATGTTATTTTTATTTCACGAACAAATAGTCTCGTGAAGCAAAATACTATCAAAGTTTGCGAACAAATCAATAGACGTGAACGCGCTTTTGATTTATTCACTAATTTTTGTTTTTTTGCTAGATTTTTTGAATTCTCAACTTGCCATAATAATCAACTCACATGCTGGATACGATGCCACGAACACATGGAAAAACAGCACCCGTTTTGCAGCATAATCGATGTACGAATAGTTTCTCTGATCATAAATAATCGAAAACAAATCATACAAAGTGAGACCCAATCCGTCGAGCAGCTCCTCCGGTGGAAATGCCAATGCAAAGTGCGCTGCGGTGAGAATGGCCACGTGGCTGATAACATGAAGATAGGTGAGGGTATCTGAAAAATTGACCGGTTTTTAAATAAAAGATACAGTAAAAACTCACTTGTAAATTGACACGTGATGGCTGTAAGTACTCCAAGTACGAAGAGGAAAATCCAGGTGCCCCGTTTGACGGAGATCATCCTGGAAAAATCAATATACGTGGAAAAAAGGGAGAAGGGCAAAAAAAATGCAAAATGAACAATTTTTCAAGGGAAACCACCGAAAATTTATTCAACGCAACGTTGCATTTTAATCGGGTTCTCCCAGAGCAACGGTCCGCAATGTGGCGTCATATAGCGTGCAATTCAGAACTTTCTTCTCTTCTTCTTCTTGTGTGTTATATGTGTGCGCGCGCACACAGTGGTCCATTTGACCCCAAGGTCCGTCTACGTATTCTTCTCTTTTTGTTGTATCCTCGTATCCTCCCTAGCAATAAACAAAACAATATCTGACCTCTGTTTCCTTTCTTTTCGTTGTTCTCCTACCCTCCTAATCGTGCAATATTGGATAGTTTGTCAAGATAAGAATGTCATGTCCTTCTTATCAAACTGACCGGCCTGCGCGTACGTCCACTCTCGTTTTCTTCATTCATTCACCTATCGTTCTACCTTCCACGTCAACACACACACGTTGTTTACAACTACATTTAACTCATTTATTCGTTTTTTCAGGAGATGTTGAGCAGACTCAGTTCACGGAACGTCTTGTTGGCTCGCAATGTTGCCACCGCTGCCACCCAAGAACGACAGAAAATCAAGGTCAAGAATCCAGTGGTGGATTTGGATGGAGATGAGATGACAAGAATTATCTGGAAGGAAATTAAGGACAAGGTAAGCACAATGATTTTTTGAAATTTGAAAAAATATATTTTGTAGCTCATTTTCCCATATTTGGATCTCGATATCAAGTATTACGACCTTGGACTCGAATACAGAGATGATACTAATGATCAGGTAAGAAGAGAAAAATTAGGATTGGTTTGATTGATGGGTTGGTTTTGAACACAAAAATCAAACTCGTCATGAAAACCAGTTTTTTGAACTCAATTTACTTGTGACCTATACTCGGGCGCGCCGACCATTTTTTTGAAAGAAAATTGTTTATGTTCCGGATCAGGCCGCTTATAAGATCAGAAAAAGTCTTATCAAAACCTGATCATGGTCCGCTACACATCCGTTTTTCAACATTTCCTGTCCAAAATTGGGCTAGGCTTTTTCAAAAACCGAAGGTTTCGTCAGATTACCACTTTTGATTCAAAAATATGCTCAAATCTGTCGGGAAGGACACTTTTATCAAAGGATTCACGATGACTGAACGAGAAAAGTGAATGTCGTGCTTTAAGAAAACCTGAATTAGAAATTCAAAAAAATGGAATAAAGATATTGTAATTGCACTACTAGCAGCTCACTCTATACAATTTGTTAACCGATGAATTATTGGTGATTATACGACTAATATTTTGTCAGTACACAAATTTTTGGTATCTTTTGAAAAAACCAAGATAATTAAGCTGATACTGCACAAATGGAACATGCTCTTCTTCAAGAAATACAGTATTTTTACCGAAATCTCTAGCTAAAATTGGATAGAACATTGATTGCCGGCTAGAGCCACACTTTTGAAATGTTACAGGTCATCCAAATTAAAAATTGAGCCGATTTCTTCAATTTTAGTATCCATTAGCCCAACAAATTCATTAAAAACAATTCGAATCTTTCAGGTCACTGTAGACGCCGCCCATGCGATCCTCGAGTACAGCGTCGGTATCAAATGCGCCACCATCACACCAGACGAGGCTCGAGTCAAAGAATTCAAACTCAAAAAGATGTGGCTCTCACCAAACGGAACCATCAGAAACATTCTCGGTGGAACTGTGTTCCGTGAGCCGATTCTCTGCAAAAACATTCCACGGTTGGTGCCAGGATGGACTGAGCCCATCACAATTGGTCGTCATGCGTTTGGTGACCAGTACAAATGCACGGATCTGGTGATTCCAGAGGGATCGACGTTGGAATTGGTTGTGAATAATGCTGATGGGTCGAAGGATATTCACAAGGTGTTTGACTTTAAGAACTCAGGAGGAGTTGGATTGGCTATGTATAATACTGATGAGGTATGCGAAGAAGAAGATGTATGAGATGATATATCGTATTTTTCAGAGCATCAAAGGATTTGCTCACTCATGCTTCCAATACTCACTTATGAAGAAATGGCCACTGTATCTCTCCACAAAGAACACAATTCTGAAAAAGTATGATGGTCGATTCAAGGATATTTTCCAAGATATCTATGAAAGGTGAGCATTCAAGTTAGCAATCATGGAAAACAAGGTTTTCAGAAAATATGAGGCCGAGTTCAAGAACAACAAGATCTGGTATGAGCATCGTTTGATTGATGACCAAGTTGCGCAGGCTCTCAAGAGTTCCGGAGGATTTGTATGGGCATGCAAGAACTACGACGGAGATGTGCAAAGTGATATTGTTGCCCAAGGTTACGGATCCCTTGGACTCATGTCTTCGGTGCTTATGTGTCCAGATGGAAAGACAATGGAAGCAGAAGCAGCGCATGGAACAGTTACTCGTCATTATCGTGAGCATCAGAAGGTGGGTAATTGAGTGAGACAAGACGAGAAAAATCTGCTCTCTCTGGCCCAGTATCCAAGGGTACATCGAGTTATTAGGGTACATTGGTTCCAAGGGTACATTGGATTGTTCGGTACATGTAGGTGGGCAAAAAAAGTAAATCAATATTTTTATACATACTATTTTGATTTCTGCTCAAAATTATAGGCTTAGGCTAAAACGCCTTACAGTCTAAGATCCAATGTACCCTCAGAACCAATGTACCCTAAGAACTCGATGTACCCTCGATGTACCCTTTTTTGATGTACCCTTGGATCGTGGGCCGCTCTCTCTGAGAAAACGGTTCAACATCGGAGCGCCGGTCTCAACCTTGCACCCATCACAATCCCAAAGTTCCGATCACGGCTGCACATGTGATCGGAACATTGCCATCGTGATCGAGTTTGTTGGAACCGTTTTTCACGGATACAGCTACGCATATATTGCGATGAAACACATTTTTATCTCGTAATAGCCACGATATCCAGGGAAACTCCACATCGACCAACCCAATTGCTTCAATCTTTGCCTGGACCAGAGGACTTCATCACAGAGGTGTTTTGGATGAGAATGAAGCTTTGAAGACGTAAGTTTTTCTTCAAAAATCAGATTTGCAATGAAGTAGACGGCGTCAACATGTCAGACTACGGCTATCGTCTTTTAGCCGAAGGTTGGTAAAGCTTTCTGAAAACTGCCCCAAGTGTGCTCAAAGGGTGTTAAACTTCAGCCTTACTTTAAAAGAAACCAGCCGCAACCGAAATCCCCATTCAAAACCAAAGTTTGCTCAAAAGACGGCGAAGCCATAACTTAAGCTCAAAAGACTATAGCAGCAACCAAGCAGGCCACTCAAGCAGCTTTCGTACGGATAATGGCTAGGTTTTGGCTGGATTTTACCCAAAAAGGGATGTATATGTAAGAGACCATAGTCAGATTGTTGTTGAAAGTTGAATACTATGAGCTTACAACCTTGTCATAAGTTTGTCGGAGTTTGGTCCGCTTTAGTAGCGGTCTCATCCGGAATCTGACCATCCTCCGACCAGAAAATGCCGGCGACGCTCAAGGATAAAACGATGTTTCTCACAAATCAGATCTAAAATCTTCTTATAGATCTCAAATCTCAATATCCTTGATTTCAGGTTCTCGCTGACATTGGAAAAGGCATGCATTGACACCGTCGAGGAGGGAAAAATGACCAAAGACCTGTCAATCTGCATCCACGGAACCAAGAAGGGAACCGAAAAGGGCGCCTATCTCATCACCGAAGACTTTCTAGCCGCCATCGACACCAAAATGGCCGAGCTGATGAAGAAGAAATAAGACTTTGATGTTGGACCTAGTTGTAAATTATTTTGTGTATCTAGCGCGTGCTGATGATATGTTATGTGTAGTGAATTCCAGTTGCCATTTTCATATTGAGCGAGTTTATTTATTATTGTATTTTCACTTTTTTTTAACCATGAGAAGGATATGAATCTTTTTTAGTTCATTTCCTGTTCACATAAGCCATACTTAATCATGGCCCGGCTCGATGAGCCCAGGTTATTTTCGCGTAAAAGGTTTCTGAAATTTCAGCAAATTTTGGTAAAATTCACTGGAAACTCAGACTGAGACAAGCCGAGACTCAAAAATTCTGAAAAAATAAATAATATTTCACACGGATTTATTAGAATAGTTTACAGGACAGCCCCTGTTTATGGGATAAATGAGAAAATACATTTAGACCGAAAAAAACGTATAATGCAGTGTAGACGATAAAATGAATGACAAGCAAGCAATGATTACCAGGGATAGAAGGAAACAACTGGATCGGGAATTATGTTTCATATAATACCGCCGTGAAGAAAAAACAGAGACAGAGAGATCTGATACAAAAAAAACGGTACAATAGAACAAGATAGTATTTTTTAAGAAAGAAGAAAAAGGATAGGAAAGTCTGTGAATTTGCTAAAAGAAAGTGTGGTGCATAGAAGACTGATAGATACCATTAAACTAGTTCTAGAACCTCAAAAACGCGGCTAGATTACAAAGATGTGCAATGCTTCTCATCGCAATACACTATATTTCCACGACCATCAAAAATGATATCAGTTGGGGCGTCCTTTGCGACAGCATCCGGTTTTCTGAACATCGCAAGCACAAGATGGAAGTCATGGGTTGGATTTTGGTCAATGAAAACCTGAAAATAGATTTCAACAATAGAAAAACACGTCACCGCTCAATAAGATACACAAACGTATACCGTAAACGCTCTAATAGAAGGTCACCCAACCCTCCAACTTAGAGCCCATATATCTCAATTCCTGTGAAAGATATCAGAAAGTGGTTAATCAAAAAATGTTGCTGAAATTATGAAAAACATTTTCTCAGTTGATCACTTTTTCATCTCTTTCATAGAAACCCAGATATAAGGGCACAAACTTGGCGACTTGGGTGGCTTTCTATTAGAGTGTTTACGGTATTTCAGTGGATTTCTGTCCATTTTCACCAATTTCAAAAGTCTGTAGCTCGGCTGTCAAGTTTCCGGTCACTTTGAAAATTTTCTAGGGTGTAAAACGGACCTAGATTGAAGACTTTCTATTTGCAGAATTTTACAAAAATACTAGTTTGTCAACCATTTCCTGATTTCTGGAAGACACCTTTTTTACGTTTTCAGTGCAAAAACGGTATCAAAATGGTTGCCATTCAAAAATCCGCTAATAGCTGAAAAACTACAAATTTTCAAAAAGTTCTGTGAATGCAAAGTTTTCAGTCTAGGTCTGTTTTACACTCTCCGAACTTTTCAAAGTTATCAGAAACTTGATAACCGTGCTCCAGACTATGGAAAATGGTCGAAATAGCCAGAAAATTCTGAAAATTATATCTCTTAATTTCTTATTGACCTGTACTGTGTTAGAACTCCGCCCACCATATCCCCCAAAACCTCACCTGCGAATCATTGAACTCATTGTTAACATTATAAGATGAATGGTCGATTTCAAAGATTTTGTAGTGACCACCATCCCCAAATCCGCATCCACCGTGCATAATATAAGAGCACAGAACATATTTGTGCATTTGGTTAGCATCTCTCATGTATAACTCGTTGTTCAGAATCACTGCAGTCGTATCCTTGACACCACCGTACTCCTTGATGCGTGGAACAAAGTACAGTAGTACATCCGGCAACGATTTGAAGCTGTAGTAGACGGTGAGCAGGGTGCTTTCACAACTAATTTTTTTTTTAAAATTTAATTCGAACTATTATTAGTATGTCTTACTTGTCACATTTCAATCCAGTGACTTTTGATGGTTTGTACAAACTATCTGCGAGATTCTGCATTGATAGTTTTGTACGTTTTGTCAGATTGACCGAGACGTATACCGACTTGTCATCGTTAGCTTTCTTGTAGCCACACATTGTGCATTCATCTGAAAGAAAATAATTGGATTGCATTTCAATATGATACTCTCGAAGCTCACAATTCAAAACGTAGTCAATCTCGAAGAATTTTCTGACTGGAGAACTACGGAAGTATTCGTGACACTGGAAATCCGGGTGGTCCATCATGTACTCAATGTCGAGGGTCTTGAAGAACACTTGCATGGTTTCCATGACACATTGCTGTTGTTTAGCGTCGAGTCCTGGAAATGAGGGAATTTTATTTCGCAAATTGTATTTTATTTCCTTTCTAAATTTCAATTGAAACGTTATCTTCTGCTCGGAAAATTTTTTTTTGGATAGTCTAAACCGTGAGCAAAATGTTTGGCGATTTTCTGAAAAAAAAAACACAAACCAAAGACACTCGGAACCAGAGCTGCGGCCGGGCTGTGAATAGGTTGACGTGGACCAAACCGCTAGGCCGACGAACCCTACCTATCCCAAAAGTGCCCTAACAAAAATGTCCACAGCAACCTGCCCACGACCTGATTCACGTCCGGCCGCGGCATCGATTTGCACAGTCTTACCACAGACCTAACAATCTCTAAACTTCTGTGACTCACCAGGAACAATAGTATCGAATGGACGATCCCGAGCGTTTGGTCTCCCCGAGATGGCAACAGCCAACTGACAAGTGAAGCATTCTTTGGCATTGGCAATTGACTTGATAAGCTTCTCGCCCTCATTTCCCTCAACTATCAACACATCATACAATCTTCGGTGCTGTTTCAAATGACTTCGAACGATGGAGTAGAGTTGTGGAACTCGCATGAGCAGCTGATAGGTCGAGATAGCGTAGCACAGTGTTCCACGATTGTATATACCACGGCGAACGACTGGCGACGGGAAGTGATCCATGATCTCAACGTTTTTGGCCTCAGCGGGTGTCAAGATTTGCTCGAAGAGCGACTTCACAACGTTCTGAAAATTAAGGTGATTAGTGAACTAGAAAGATAAAAGAAAAAGTCAAAACTCACGTCAGGAACTCTTTTAGAATACTCCATTCTTGCAACATTTTGTCTTACTCTTGGTGCTGGACCTGGATTTATGAAATCAGGAGATTGAATTGCGACAGGTAGAGCTTTGGTGCGAGAAGCTATCTGACGTGCAGTTGGAGGGCCTGGAGGAGCTGTAGGCTCCGCTGGTGGAACATATTGAGTTGGTTTTTCTGTCACCACTTTCCTTGGACGGCCTCGGTTATCTTTTCGTGGCTTTGCAACGGCTTTCTTTTTCGATCGCCGAGCAACAGTTTTTGGAACTGGCTTAGCTGCCTGCTCGGTGGAGACTATATCTTCTTCGTTGACCAAGATGTCGTTGAAATTCAAGAATGGATCGGTAGCCTTTTTAGTTTCCTTTCGATCTTCAAGCATCACATCTTCATAGTCGGGCAGGGACTGCTCCTCGACTGTCTCAATTTTTTGTTCTTCTTTCGGGGTCGCTGTTGGTTCTACCGCTGCTGCTGCTGGAGCCACTACATCAGCTGGAGCCACTGCTCGCACCTCCTCAGCTTCTTCATCCTCCACAAACTCTCCCTCGTCGTCTTCCTCCTCCATCTCATCCTCTTCATCTTCACAGTCATCATCGCCCATTATGAAATCCTGATTGTCCAGAATGATGTCCAACATTTCTTCGTCTTGCGCTGCTTGAAGAGTCAACCGGGAGAAGAGGCTCGATGTAGTCTGAAAGAATAGATTTTATTAGAATGCATAGAGTGCATTCACTCACATTTTTGAGACGCTCGGATCTGCGTTGTTTTGGTTCTCTAGCTTCTCCTGCGTGGCCAGCGGATATTCTCTTTGAACGTTGAGTTCGAGCTAACGATGGAGCAGGCGTGGGTCCTAGAATAATAAAATGTTCCCTACTATCTCATTTGACTTCAAATTACCCTGCTCTGCTACTTCCTCTAGAGCCGCAGGCTGTTCTGGAGCCACAGCTACCTGCTCTGGAGCCCCAACCTGCTCTGGAGCCACAACCTGCTCTGGAACTTCAACCAGCTCTGGGGCATCTTCATGAACCTCCACATCAGCCAAAATCTGAGCCACCGCTGTGTTTGTACTTTTTGTTCTTCTCTCAGATCGCTTCTTGGAACTGGAACTAGTCGATGGCTTGGCTTTGATGTCACGCTCGTAGTTGTAGTCTTCGTCGTTGTCATCCTCGTCATCGACCTCTTCTTCAGAATCACTCTCAGAAGCGCTGATAGATTTTTTATCAACTCGAACTTCCTTTGCTGGTGGGGCAGCTGGCGTACGAAATACAGAAGCAGCGTCTGAAAACACAGTACTGGTCAATAAAATATACAAAAACCCATTTTTCAGTAGATTATCGGTCATTTTGACCTTTTTCAGGAGTCTGGGGATTGTCAGTCAAGTTTTCGATCACTCTGAAACTTTTGGAGGGTGTAAAACAGATCTAGATTAAATACTTCGAGTTCACAAAATCTTAGGAACATTTTTAGTTTTTCAGGTAGTTGCTAATTTTTGGAATACATCCTTCTTTTGCCTGGTTTTTTCGTGAATACTGTGCCTCTAAAAAACAGCTAATAACTGAAAAACTAGGAATTTTCGAAAAATAGTGATGCAAAAATTTCAATCAAGGCCTGTTCTGCACCCTGCAAAAATTTTCAAGCTGATCAGAAACTTGACAGCCGAGCTTCAGTCTCCTGGAAATGAATGCAAATTCTGAAAAAAAACATTACCTTTCTTTTTATTGTCTCTCGACTTGCTACGAGCTGCTTTCGTTTCCAATTTCTTCGGTTGTGACTTTCTCGGTTGACTCGAAGAGCATTGAGCTTCCGTACTCGCCTCAACCGGCGCGACGACATCATCATCATCTTCCTCATCCATTTTCCTGCGAATCGCTCTTGAAAGTGAGTATGCCGGTGGCCAAGAGATCCTTATTCTTGGACGTTTGAACACTTTAGGATCTTTCTGATAGACTCTACAGAGCTCAGTAGTCTGCTGCTCCCATCGATCGTCAATTACTTTATCAATCTCTTTCAAAGACATGTAATCTTTGAGGATGAGATATATAATCCGGAATTTAGTGAATAGGTAGAGAGGAAGCTTTGGAATAGGCCCGTCCAGGAATTTCTTCTTGTGATGAGGTCTTATTGCCAGCAAGCGTTCATGTTCCCGTTCTCGCCGCTCCAGAACTTTCAAAAGTTGCTTTTCTTCCTCACTGGATAAGGATTTGACTTCCATCGCTGCAAACAACCGGTATGATGCTTCTTCGTTTTCTCTATCACAAATTGGCCGCTTGAATTTGTGATCATCCTTCCCAGGAATCTTCACCTTCTTGATTTTTGACGATTTCTCCTTGTGACTTCGTTTGTCTACATGAAACTCTTCTGGGACTGATAGTGGACTCCCCGGTGGCGATTTCGGGATCCCATCTTCCGCTGGTGGGTTTTGAGAAACAGGTTGAACTGGAGAAATCGGCTTATTGGGTCGACGATTTGTTCGCGACGAACTCTCAGCTGGTGGAATTGGCGACACTGGATGTATCACAACTTGCTGTGTATGAATCACTGTTTGAATTGGAGACGATTGTTGGTATTGGACAGTTTGTCTTTGGATGCTTCCTGAAGTCGTTGGAAGCGTTGATTGAACTGGGATGACGGCTTGCACCGGTATAGCTTGTTGTACGATTTGCATTTCATGGATAATAGGTTGGCCTGGGGCAGGTGGAGTACGCCGTTGCACAGGTGAAGCTTGTTGAATTGTTTCGGGCGCGTGAAGATTCTCCTGGAGATTTGGATGCACTGTGGGGATCACAGAATTGATAATTTGGACCGGGGAGTGCTGAACATTTTGCTGCACTGGGGAAGAAGCTTGTTGATTGAATGCTTGCACCGAGATTTCCGGATTCTGTTGCACCGGAAGAGAACTAAGAGTGACTGGTGAAACTGGCACTGTTGGTTGAGTAGCTGCTTGCTCTCGTGGTCCTTGATACTGGTTGAATGGTTGAATCGGAATAGCTTGTTGGACAATTTGCTGCTCCAGGGCATTTTGTGGAATAGGTGAAACTTGCGGAACTGGAGAGGCTTGATGAGGAGCGAATTTCACCACTGGTTGACCAACTACCTCTTCTGGTTGCTGCTGATGTTGCTGCAAAGGAACTGGTCCAACCAAGTCGATTTGTTGAACACCTTGCTGATCCTGTTGCACTTCATTGGCAATTTCAAATGGACGCGTTCCCCATGATGGATGAATGTTGCTCGTTGATTCAGGACGATAAGCTAGGAATTGTGGAGGTGGTGGTGGTTGATGGAAGAATGGTGGTGTAGCACCAACTTGTGGTGTGACTTGTTGAACCGGAGAGGAGCTGGATTGCACTGGGAAAATAGATTGAACCGGAGAGGATTGCATTGGGCTGACTTGTTGAGTTGGTGATTGCTTTTGAATAACTGGTTGCATTGGAAGATCTCTCTGGAATTGGATAGGAGGCTGCTTGTGAACATAGGGCTGTGGCATGAAACGTTGTGCCGGGTTGAATGGTCGAATTGGTGGATTATGGGATCCAGATGGAATCGTCGGTAGAGCACGTGGAACTTGGGCGATGGATGGTTCTGACGTTGTAGGAGCCACTGGTTGGGTCGGCAGACTTTGCTGCATCGGAGGGATGTGCTGTGGTGGACTTGGAACATTCACTCGAAGTGGGACATTCGGCTGCAATGAAACCACTTGTGGATTTTGAACAGTTGGTGGCTGTGAAGTATTGTGTTGCATTGGGCTGACATGTTGAACCGGGCTCACTTGCTGGGTGCTCGTTGGCTTATTCATGACCGGTTGAACTGTGATAGGCTGAACTGTGACAGGCGAGATAGCCACTGGTGAATTCTGATGAGACACCGGGCTGACAGCTTGATTTTGGCTCGTCGATGGAGTATTGTTGTTTGGCGGTAAGTTAGCTCTTTCGAATTGAAATAGTGGAGGCCGGGTGGCTGGTTTCGGTGGCGGTAGTTGAGGTTGAAGCTGTTTTTGGTTGGGTGTCTTCTGAACGAGATACTGAATTGGGTAGACCGGTCGAACTTGAACATTTGGCAGTTTCGGAGCAACTGCCGGCTTCTGACGATGCTCCTTTTTTATAGGAGTTGGTTTTGGTGAAGTCGTCGGTTTTTGTGCGGCTTTCTGGATGTCACGAATATGGATTATTGTCTTTCCAGCTTCAATAACGCTTGAAATTGAGTCCAGAATCGAGTCATTATCTCCGTCTTCTGCCATATCCGACACAACACCCGGAGCTAAAAGCGGTGGGGGGTCTGTGTATTCTCTTCGGTTATCAAAATGATGGTGAGTGTTGGGAACGTAAACCAATGCTCCGTTGGGTCCTGGTTGCATTGTGCCTGTTTGATAATGACCATTGAATCCGTTCATCCGCATTTGTTGGAACTCTGAAAAACGTCGCATTTATAGTTTCTAGGAAAATCGAAAGTTTTCAAATGGTCAAGAATCGAGACTGTACTTCCTTAAGAGCTCTGGTTTAATAGCATTCGATTACACGTTTTGTAGAACACGCGTGGCATCAAAAACAACCAAAATTTCTGGCAATTTGCAAATTTGGGCTAGTAACACCCCTCGTGACATTCACGGCACTATTTTCTAGGGAGTCTTGTGCTGAAATTGGGAAAACTACTTTATCAGCGGGGTCATTCCTGCCTGATCTCCATCAAAACTAGAAAATTCGGTTAAATAGAAATCTAAGAGGTTGACAAACTCAATAGAATTGTTGCAAACCTGATTCCTGGATTTTTTTCAATGCTAAATTTCTGAAAACCCGGTCTCCAGGCCTTGGTGTCAACTGGACACATTAAAAAACTCAATTTGGAAAAAAAAATATGAAAACATTCGGCGGTTAACTGAGTAAGCCTATCGCAGAAGACAAGTTCCAACATAGGACCGCTAGTTCCATGATAGTACCATATGTCCCAAAAGTTTTAATTCACTGTCTCATTCCCTTAGAAGCCGCTCTAGGATGGATGGGACAGGGAGTACCGTTTTGGGACAAACGGTATCATAGGACCGCCGGATATAGTCTCTTCTGAGATAGACTTTATCCGATTCATCCCCACGCAACATGCTTGTCAATGGGCCGATTCCAGGCCGGCCCGAGATCGCTGATAATTTGCTTCTAAATTGGAATCATGGAGAAAGCAACATAACAGATGATAGAGCTCGGCGAGCTCTACAACCTCCGAAAAGATTCGACTGGCATTCGAATCAGTAACCGGGTGCGGGCAGACATTCAATATACGGGCCCGCCTAAAATATGCCGAACCGGACCACAATACCGCTCCCGGAGCCTGTCGATTCTCACTGAGGTTGTATAGCTCTCCGAGCTCTATCATCTTGTATGCTGGTTTGCTCAAGGTTTCAATTTTTGAGCAAGTCATCAGCCGGCCCTAGGTTCCGGCTAGGAATCGGCCCATCGACAAGTATACTACGTAGTTAAGCATGTTTCGACTCTTATAAAACTTATCATCGCACAAGACCGTTGACTCTATGGGCGCCAAATCGTGCAGCTGGTCTTGTTTAAAACTATAAAACATCTTACCTGTCCCATTGCGGCGACTTTCAGCTCCCATCGACAGTGACCTCGCATGAGAGTCGGCTGCTTCACGAGCTCTATGTTGTTGCTCGAGAAGTATACGATTTCTGTCCTGTATCGGCACATTTCCCATCAAAACGTCTCTCACCGACAGCTCTTGCCCATTGAACCTACTCGACGACGACGCACCGCCCGACGGCTCGCCTGGAAACAAAAATTCATGAAAATTGAAAACTCATTTGATTCCGAACCGTTTGCTTGTTCCCACTCCACTTTGCTTGCTTTGAAAACTTGAATTTGATGAAGTGACGATGCTGAGAAACTGGCGGTTTCTGAAAGGACAATTTTTTTACTTCAAAGTGTTGAAAACAGGATAAAAGTCAATCAAAACGTAGCGCGTTTGATTTTCTTTAAATTTTGAATAAAATCGATATCACAAAAACGATGAAGAAGCTTGTTTAAGCCATGAAAAGAACAAGTGTTCGCCAACAATAATCGTTCGGCCTATGCGTCGATGAAGGCGTACGCAAACACCGCGCGTGTGTGTATTGCGCCCAATGTGCAAGATTCGACGCGAAACCAGACAGTGGACGGGGGAGACGTGGCTTCCAATTTGCTAAGTGAGCGCGGAATAACTCGGTTATTTTTCAAATTATAATAAGAACGAATGAAAGAATAAGTAATACGTAAATGTGATACATAGGGAAGAAATTTTTTTTTTCAGAAATGTTATCTGATAGAGGGATAAGAAAAACTTAAGGGTCGTAATGAGACTGGGCAGCCGAATAGGAAAAATAACGTTTGATATGTTGCAGCGAAATGAAATGATGAGTTCAGAAAAAAAAACCTAACGGCAAAGAAGAGGGAGAAGGGAATGAATGGATGATGTGACTCAGAATAGGACAAAAAAGAATAATAATGAAAAAACATTGATTCTTAATCAAAAGGTTGAAAAAAAGAGAAGTGATGAATAGGAAAAATCAAACCAAAATGTTATCCAACTACAGAACAACGGTCAAAAAGATATACAAATTCTTTTTTTTAAAGTTTTTTAGTCGTTTTGATCGTTTTCAGGAGTCTAGAGCTCGGCTGTCTAGTTTCCGATCACTTTGAAAATTTTGGAAGATGTAAAACAGACCTCGATGTGCATTCACGCAACTTTTTTTGAAAAATTCTAGTTTTTCAGCTATTTTCTGATTTCCAAAACACCCGTTTGTGTACTGAAATGTGAAAAATGCGTTTTTCAAAAATCGGTAAATAACAGAAAATCGAAATTTCCAAAAATTCTATGAATTCAAAATTTTCAATCCAGATCAGTTTTACACCCTCCCAAGTTCTCAAAGTGATCGGAAACTCGACAACCAAGCCCCAGACTTCTGAAGACGGTCAAATAGTCAAACATCGAATGAAAATGCTTTTTAATATCTAATTGACTGTTACTGTGGATTAAAAAAATAAGAATGGAAAAAAATATGTGATTTTTGGGAAAAATGAAACCAAAACTTTAATAAACTTTATTCAGAATTAATCCAGAAACAAAATCCAACTAAAACCCTCAAGATAGACTTCCGGTTGAAAATGAAGAAACCAAGAGAAATTAGACGCTCGCATCCGCAAGATATTCCAGGAAAAGAAAAAAAAGAAGTGAACCAGCATTATCATCAAGACGTGATTCAAGAAATGCTCTCGACTTTGCAAGCTTTATGTGCACAGCACATCTTCGTCTCGCACACACGTAAACACACTTGTGACCGCTCTCACGCCCTTTTTCAGCCTAACGTCGTCACACCAAACCTTGAAAACGACGGCTCCCGGCGCCCCGTGCCGTCAGATTATGCGAATCGATACTCCTCAGAGAACCTTGAAGCAGGAGAAAAAACACAAGAGGCAAAAGATGAAATGAGAAGAGAACGAAGAGGAGGAGAAGCCGTCCAGGATCGATCCGCAAAGGAAAATGACGAGGAGTATGGAAAAAGGGGAAAAGCACCTGCTTAATAAGGCTCGGCTCTCTCTGGAGCCCATTATTTTTTATCGGAGGGAGCGGGATGTGCGGCAAGCCAATTATGCATATTGAGAAGAGAGCACTCGTTGTTGAATGCGCATCATGTGCCGGGGAACTATTAAGTTGGAAAAAAAAGAGAAAAAATAAATAAGTGAAAAGGGAAAGATGATGAAAAAAGAAGATGGATATTTTCATTTCGAGTATTATACTGGGGATTGGCTGGATTAGTTTCAGTTTTTGTGATGAAAAGGATTAGCTGTGATATCACGGCTGATCCGGTCCAGATCACTTTTTCAAGGAGACGGGAGAATAGAAATACACGAAAGAGAAGAAATGGGGACTTTACTTGTGGGATTTCTTCTCAAGTTTTCGTGGGATTCCGGGCCAGTTGAAAACAAAATATTGTTCATTTCTAGAAATAGCAGTTCACCTTCCGGAGTTACCAAGACGGAAAAATCCATATATATATATTTTTCTTTTTTTCTAGAATCACTGTATGTTCTGATCAGTTGTTCTTAACAACCGTATCTGCTTTAGTAGAATCCCACATTTGAGCACAGTTATCTCACTCAGTATGTCAGATATCAAACATCAGTCAACCAAAAAACATTTCCGACAACATCATTTCTGACAATTTTTTTATATCTTCGACAGGAACCGAGATATAATGGCTCAAGGTTGAAAGCTAGGAAACCTCTTTGTTACAAGTTTTGTGGACCTCGAGAATCTTCGCACTGTTCATCGAAATGTACCAAATTCAGAATCGAGCCTACAGTAATCAGATAGCGCTTTCTCTTAAAATAAATTTAAAACTTTATGCGTCTATAGTGATCCCGAAAATTTTACATTTCCCCAGTTAGACGACTTTTTGCAGTCTGAGCCATTTCTTCCCACGTTTGCAATAATTTGTCAATTAGCTTTTTTGAAGGTTTTACAAATTTTTAGAATTTTTAGAGAAAGCTAAAAAATTCCAAAAGTACGTTATGTCTTGATATGACTTAACTCAGCCGTTACAAGAAAACTAGGTCAAACCAAATTGACTCAATCTGCACGCCAATTCAATACGTGCCTTTGGAGCTCGATTTTCTCGTTTCCTTCAAAAGATAACAAAAGATCTGCAACTGGTAAATTGTGTGAACGGAAGGTTTCGAGTAGAGCAATTACGTTGTTGAAATTTCAAGATTTTGACGATACTCAACTTTCTGAAACCAACGTTTTATTCACAGAGTGTTGAACCAATTCATACGTAAGTCTTTCGGAACTGTAGATAACATCCACAAAGATAGCTTATTTAACTTCACAACCTAGTTATCTTCACCCAACGGACAGGTTACGGTAGCTACACACTCTCTCCCTGAGGGCAGTACTTCTGTCGTATGATCAGATTGTTCAAACAAGCATTTTCATGTCGTCGTTCGTTGTTTTTCTTCTCCTCATTTTCTTTTCACCATAGAAACCGTCTGAGAAACCGAACGACCAAAAACCGTGTCGTGTGTTTTTCGAGAACGGTTCTCTTCTATGATATTAAAATGAAAACGGAATGATCTTGTGACACAAACACAACACGAAACCGTCGGTAAAAGAGATGGCGGGTAGAGATGATATGAAAAAGCAAAACGAGGAAATTGAACAGCCGAACTGCATGCGATGGCAATGGAAAAGAAAAAAAACAAATTTCTATGACATGTGAGAGGAAGAAGAATCGACCGCGAAGAGATGGAGGGATGCCTGATTTGAACGGTTGCTCTAGCAACCAGCCATCTGGGAGTTCAAAGGAGTGTAAAGGATTATGGGAAACCCTAAAATTCTGGGAGCCGCATTTCCTCAGTTTCTCTCTAATTCTCTTCAATAGTACAAAAAGGTGATGGAAGCCAAATGAAAGCTATTCCATGGGGGCAAACGCGAATGCAGAGAAGATGAGATTGATGCCTCATCTTCTTGGTTTTTTCATCATCTTCTCCTCTCTCACAGACATTCTTCAAATGAAAAAGAATAAATCAATTGGCAAGCTCGCTTTTTTTTTTCATCTCACAGAGCCTCGGGGAGGCACGGACGGGACGCAGAAAAGAAGAAGAAGAAGAACACGCGATCGACGAAGCGAAAAGGACGGCGCACTAGTGTAATCGGGGCTTTTTTTATGGAGTGGGATGGAAGGAGAAGAAGAAGATGAAGATGGAGAAAGAAAAAGGCAAAGGAGAAGAAGATATGCCAACAGAGGAGAAGAGAACGAAAGCAGCTGTTGGTTCGTGGGGAGCAACACGGCTGGGGCGATGACGAGGTCGCGGACAAACGAATGGGGTCATGATAATGAAGGTAGAATTGTTTTAAAAATCATTTATTTTACAATTTTCAGATGTACAACATTTCATTGGCATGAGAGGGGTTTTAAAAAATATGAAACTAGCGGCAACGGCCTCTAGATAGTTTCTAAGATTTTATATTTCGGTCGGTAGCATATGATTGAGAGGAGAAGGTGAGATTGGAAGCTGTTCCTCTGGCGGCTGCAAGAAATTAGTTTTAGGGAATGTCGAATGTTTTTCGTTAAATTTTTGAAGTGGTAGAAAACCGAATTAGTTAGTGACCACAAGTAAAAAATATATCTTGACTACAAAAATTTGATTTTTTTTCCATTTGCGGGATTCAGAAAGATACAAACTGTGATGATTTTTTTATTGCTTATCAGTGGACAAAATGTTGATATCTTTTACAGGAATTGAGATAATTGAGCTCGAAGGTTGAGATGGGCTACTGTCAGATACAACATAGCAAAAGAACATTTGAAATTACTAAACCTTTTGGGCTGTTCTTGAAATACTTGATACAAAAAGGGTGTAGGAATTTCTAATTTTGAAAAAAAGGAAGAATTTAGAAATCGGCAAGTTATTTAGCACCATGGCATCAAAAATGAAGTTTCTGAGTTTTTCATGAAAGTCTTTCAGAGCGGAATCGGACCGGAAAATCTCTCATGTCTCAAAACTTGCTAAATATTTTAGCTACAAGTTGTTCTGACCCAAGATATTTCACAAAAACGGAAAATACCGTATTACCTCTAATAGAACACCACCCAAATCATTAACTTTGAACTCAATTATCTTGAATCCTCTGAAAGACGTTGAAAAATTGTCTTTTATAAACCTCACCAACATTTCAACAGTTGAAAAACTTTTGATATCTCTCACAGAAATTAAGATAATTGAGCTTAAAATTGGAAAAAAAATATGAAAACTTGCCAAGAACTGTTCTAAAAACACGAAAAATGTTCGAAATTAAGAAAACCTCATTTAGCTGGACTCCCTGGCTCCGACTGATCATCGGACTTTCCCTTGATCCCATACAAGTTCAGAATCCGGTCTTCATATGGCAATATTGGAATTGCAACCAACGCGTAGGCAAATCCCAACGTTCCAAGACCAATGACAGCTCCATTGGTGTGTTTCTCATTCGAGTTCATCATCATCTCTAGTTCTCGATATGGAGATGGTTTTGGAATTTTTGATTGCTCATTTTCCGGCATGCGTTGATAAACAGTCTTTTTTTCCTTAGCGTGTTCCATAATTTCCTCATTTGCAACAAGTGGAACTTTCTCAATGTCAGTGTTGGCGCTGGAAAAATAGTTGAATTTAACCTTTCCATAAAATATTAAGTTACCGGAAAATGTTGGTAAAACTGCAAAAAATCATTCTCTTATCTTGAAATTGGGGTTGAAGTCCAAAATTCAGCTTCTGAAAAAAATGAATTTAGACTCCGGCTAGCTCTCAAAAAATGAGGTCATCAGGCAAATGGATTGCCCATCCGACCCATTCAAAGTGGATTGCGGAAGTTTTTGTTTCCCTGAGAATTGGGAATATTTTGAGGAAGGGATACTGTAAAAACAAGCGGCAAAATATTTTTTTCGAAATTCTCTAGAGGAATATTTTTATGCGAAAAACAAGTTGAGGTAATATACTCATAAAATCTAAGATGAGACACCAAAATTTCTGAAAATTGAAAGCGGAAAGAAATATGAAGTACTCTTTGTTTCAGTCCGCTTGTTTCACACCAGATTTTGAGATTTTTTGGAGGGTATGCATTAATTTTGGCTCACCGAATTTCGGCTGACTGATTGTGAGCACCTGACTATTAGTGGGAATTCTGTCTGGAGATAAGTAGTGGCTTCTGAAAGATGAGAAAAACAATAACAAAAAGTAGAAAAAAAACGCTTTTCGTGATTTAACGGAAATTTCGAGGAGATTTTGATTGGGGTCGACTTGACTTTCTGCAAAGTGGAGCCGAATCTGACTAAAAATTGTATTTCAATATGAGTCAGAAGCTCAATTTTTGAAATTCAATCAGAAACAGAACGAATTTGGAATTTGGAAGGTTATAAGGATTTGAAAAGACTTAACAAATAATTGAATTTGAAAACACAATAAATGCCAAAAAATTGATGAGTTTCGCTCGGATGGATCCCCAAATGACGTCCAACAGGAAATTGAAAAAAAAATTCGATAGTTCTGAAAATGAATCATGTAACGCTCAAATTCTGTTTACTTGGCAGCATTTTTCTGTGGTTTGATGTACATAAAAGTGATCCCTAAATTTTGTGTATGATGTTTGCAGATAGGTATGAATTGTGTTTTGTACAATCTGTAGAGAAGTTGAAAAAAAAAGAAAAAGTTTAAAATTCGGAATTATGTATAAGGGACTATACCCTCAAACACAAGGTTGCACAAACCGACAACGTTGAGCTCAATTATCTTAAATCTTGTGTGAAATATAAAAATTTAGACATCTGATCAAACATTGGTGATATTGTGATGAACAATTTATCAGTTGACGAATTTCCGATATCTTTCACAGGAATCGAGATAATCGAGCTCAAAATTGATGGTTCTCGTGAGCTCCCATTTGACAAAATACGGTAGTCCCTTATAAATTCCGATTCTGGAAGAATTTCGACCCGACCAATTTTTGACGTAGGAATGAAGGTGATGTTGACTCGCCGTCACAGATTTATCTTTCGAGGTTAAAAGACACCCGTTCTCATATTTTTCGGTTTTTCCTTTAAGATTAAAATCCTATACCACATTCATCAATTGAATTTCTTGTTGGACGCTGTAAGGAGTTTCAAATGTCAGCTGAAATCTAAAGTGACGTAGAAGAAGGGCATGTTGTGACTGAAAAATATTATCAACTACCGTACTACGCTCACACACCCGCCTCAAGCTCCATATAATTTTGACAATGTACAGTAATTTTAGCCTTTAAATCTTCCGAAGGAACTTAGCATTTTTAGGTCTGATTGGTAATATGAAACTTTTAAAAAGTCAAATTTCGGCACTTTTTTTGTGATTTGATGTACGAGTGATTATCAGGTTTTTGTAGGTGCAAGATGCAACAATTCCCAAAGTTAAAATTTTTGAAATCAAAAAAAAACACCTGAATTTTAAAAATACATTTTTAAGATCAGTAGTTTGAACGATTTTTCAATTTTATTCCAATTTTCCCAATTCATTTTTTCACAGTTCGGATGAATTTCGGAATAGCTTACAAATAATTCCATCGCTGAAAAATCTGAAAGGTTGATGGTCTTTTTCAGTTTAAGACTTCTATCCGACAACACCAAAAAATAAAAAAGGATACCAAATAAAATGCGTTCATCAAAGTAGCGGGGGAAAAATAACATTAGGAACTTGTAAGCAATTTCAGGGGACGGTTTCACAAATTAAATTACAAAAAAATGTTCGAGTCGGCAACGATCTGGCAGGCTTTGAATGCCTTGGAAATGGGGATTTTAATCAACGAGTTGTCCGATCAACGGAGGGAGAAATGGGATGTGGGGAGGGATGGGAAGAGACTGATCGCCTAGCGATTCGAAATATTTTTAAAAGTGAAACACACAAAAATATTTTAAATTATGACCAACCGGGGTGAGACAGAAAAAGGAAAAAAATGTTTGTAAAAGTTTGGGACACATATTTTCAGAAACTACACATATTTCAACGTTACTGTTAGAGAGGACAAAGAATTGGAATCTATCTACCGGGGGACGAAGAGGCATTTGATACGGGACAAGGAGAGCGTGGGGGGTTTGACATGCGATAGAGAAGATAATGAAGAAGCTTAGCTTCAGAATGAGAATTTGGAATAGAAAATTGGGAATCGATGGCCGTTCAAAACAGCAGAAACCATGTATGCGCCGGTGTACTTGTAGGGATAGTCTAACTTAAAGCTATCAAAGGGGGTCTGGAAAAAAGAATCGGGATGGGGAGTGGAGAAATGTTGAAGATGAAACCAATGGGGTGAGAAAACGAAAGCAAGAAAAAAGCAAGATATCCAATAAATATAATTAATATTTCCAAAATTTATAAATTTTTCAATGTGGAGGCATCGCTGATGGTGATGCGGATCCGTAGTTATGACTTGACGGATTCATCTTGTCGGCCAGCCAAACCATGGGACTCTCCGTGAATGAGACGGAGAAGATCACAAAAATGCACATGATGATAACCTGAAAATTTTATTTTGAATATTATATCGATTTATTTGTCAGCAACTCACTGTAACAACGGAAGCAGGCAAGTCTCTGAACCACTGCGCTAAAGCTTGTTGCCACAATGGTGTTCCAGCTTCGTTGGGCTCCTGAAAATACTTGTTTACTTTCATAAAATGAACATTTTTTGTTACCTCCTCTCTTGGTACCTCTGGTGGGATATTGGAAATGTATCCAACTGGGGATGGGCTTCCCTTCATGGTCTCCGATCGATAACACAACACTCTTACATGGAGAGCTCCGCTGAAATCCTTGGTGTCCACTTCATATGAGGGTCTCTTTCCAGAATAGACCTGAAAATTGGAGTTTGATTCGAGGAAAACATCAAAAATCAGCTTACAGTAACCCATGGAGCCCTGTCAATCGTGGCGTCTGAAACTTGAAGCCAATACACTTGGTCGTATTGTGGCTGCTCCGGAAGATGGTCTTCCCACTCCACCAAATAAGTGTGGGTCTCTCCTGCCTTCAGAACAATTATCGGGGTCCTCTTGATGGTCGGCGGTGGAGCGATTTTGGTTCGGAACTCGGTTTGTCTAGAAGTTGCAAAAGCTCCCGATATCTTATTTGTGACAACCAATGTGAAGAAGTACTTGGTATCCTCTTTAAGATTTTTCACAATCTTCACTCGATCATCGCCTTGGTACACGGTGCTAGATTGCTGGTTCTCAGGATTGAAGCGAGACAATCTGTAAAATTTAGGTTTTTGAAAGAAGAGCACAGCAAAGGCTTACTTGTAGGTTAAATCCTCATTCGCCGGAGTGTCATCCCAGCTCAATCTCAATTGGTATGCATCTGGACGACATTGAATTCTAAAAAACGTCACACGGTTTAATCTATACTAACATTGATTCATCAACTCACGTTGGTGCTACAGGTGGCTCGGATCTTGTCTGAACGGGGACTTCTACTTTACAGCTAATACCAGCCGCATTCTTGGCGGCAATGGACACAGTGTAGTTGGTGTTGGCCTTGAGCTCTTGGAATTTGTGTTTGAATGTTCCATTGATTTCCACCTCTTCCGGCCTCACGAAATCCTCCTGGAAGAATTCTCCGTTTAACATCAATCGAATGATATATCCAGTCACTGGTGATCCGTTTGGTTCCGACGCTTTGAATGCAACTGTGACCTCATTGGTCTTGACCTTCTGGACAATTGGGTTGACTGGGGTGCTTGGTCTTAGAGCTGGGATACTGAAATCTTTGGCAACGACTGGCGACTTTCCAACATTGGTTGTAGCGTTGATGATTGCTGAGAACTCGTCTCCTGGTTGGAGTCCCTCAACAATCACATTTCTGGATGTAGTAACAAGTTTCATGATGCTGCGTTTCGATTCAGTATGGATGATGTTCACAGAAAATTGAAGATCTGCACATTGATCAAAACTCTCCCAAGACAGAAGGCGTGAGTTGGAATCAAATTTGACATTATGAACTGCAACTGGAGGACTTCGTGGAGTGATAATTCTGGCTGGCAGGGACCAATCTCCATTGACAGAACTGTCATCGACGTGGATAGCAGCGCGAATGTATACGGTGACTTCAGTTTCTCCGGGGATGTTTTCCAATTCGCATTGATCCGATTCGTCGAAAAACGCGATGTAGTGGCTGTTAGTGTTGGCAAAGCGACGTTGAACGTAATAGACAATTTTGCCTCCATTCGGAATGAACATTTTCTGAAATCAAATCATGCAAGACGGAAAAGACTCTCTGAATGCATACCTCCGTGTCGAATGGAGTCCATTGAACCAACAAAACACCTTGGCGAACGAAGAACAACTTGACATCTTGAACTCGATCAGGACGAAGAGAAATGGAATCCCTTGTGACGTCACCACGAACCGATTTATCGCATCTGATCTGTAACAAAAATGTATCATTTTCTCTGAATGAAAATAATCTCCCTTACCCCATCATGTGTTGTACGAAGCACTTGCATGTAGCGGATGGCTGTGTCCAGAACTACAATGCTGGTCTCCGGTCCTTGATACATATTGATATACTTATTCGGGTCTTCCTTGGTGGCTCCTTGTACTGTATAAATTGATCCATCTGAATTCTGGTTGCCCCATGACATTTTTGGACATCCATCTACAAATCCAACGAATTCCGGCTTCGACGCGGGGTGTGGAATTGGGACAGTTCTTCCATTATGAACCATGGTACCATTGAAATCTCTCTGGGTGGTCGCTTCACGAACCTCAGACCAACATTCTCCATCGTTGTTCACTGATTTGACGCGGAAGTGGAATAACGTGCTGGGTGGGAGTTCTCCAACAGTGGTACGGTAGCTGCCAAGATCTTTTCTCACAACCTTACTAACGTTGGTGGAGCAATTGTACATCTCGAGATCATAGTAATTGGTTGGATCCTCATCCCAGGTGATAGCAAAAGAGCGATGGGAGACAGGGAAGACACAAAGGTTGCGTGCCTTTTTTGGCTGACCCACACCTTTGGTGAACAATCTTCGATTGAGCCCAACCAACGACTCTCCCAGGGCAGTGAATGCAGTGATGCGAGCTTCATAAGCTGTGTGCTCCTTCAAGTTGAGAATCTCGACAGTATCTTCTTTGCTCTCAATAAGTTGCCCTTCGCTGCATCCATCCGCAAAGAGCTCCAAATGGTAGTACAAGATCAGGGATCCGTTGTTATTTCCAGCCTTCCACGCAACTTTGATGTAGTGTAAACCACGGTGGATATTCCGTAGATCTTTCGGTGGATCTGGACGTCCTGGTGCAGTACGAAACTCAAATGGCTTTGTTGGAGGTCCACGAAGCTTTCTGGCATCCATTCTGGCACACATTGTGATTGTGTAGCGAGTGTTTGGCTGGAGCGAGAAGACTTCGAAGAGAAGTTGTCCAGTTTGCGAGCGTTCCCGCATGATTTCCACGAGGAACGATTTGGAAGGAAGCTCCTCCTGGTTTTTGACCGTGGCATGATACTGGATCTCGCTGTCGTCGATTTGGATGAAATTGGTGAGTCCTATGCTGCGCAAGAACTGAAATGAGGATTTTTATGAGAGAAATATGTTCGAAAAATTAATTTATGAGATTTTATCAAAGTTTTTATTCAGTTCTCAGACAAAAAGCGAAAAAAAGCTAAGTGTTTTACTAAAATCCTCACAAAACGTAAAATCGATAGCTAGGTGTGCAAGTGCGCCCTGCCGAACACTAGCGGGGGAACGATTTACGGGGCTTTTTACTCACTTATAATGCTGTTTATCAGCCTAAGTAGGTAATTGTATATTTGCAAAACTTAATATTTGACTAGAAAAAATGGTTTTCGCTATTTTATCAAGCTTTTTCTTTTAAAAAACTGCAAAATTTTAGAAAAATGTTGTATTTCCAGATTCAACTAACCCCATTTACATCCACCGGATCAAAACCAAACATCATGTACGCCGGATGAGTATCCTGTTGGGTTGGCTGTTTCATGACCAATGCTTCTTCTGGGACATCGACATGTATCAGCTGTAAGAATTTTATAACGATTCATTTCAAAACATTCTTACACTTACATGTGGATAATGGACATTCCAATTGTTGTGATACTGGTTTCCGTCTATTATCATTCCCGGCTGTGGAGGTGGCACCGAGTAGATTGGATTGCCGTGAACATCAACTGGTGGCATCATAGGCTGCATTTGCATATGACCGTGCGTCACTGGGACCATTGCACCATTTGGCACCATCCCTTGCATTGGCATCCCTCCGTTCATCATGGGTTGAGCCACCATCATTTCATTGGGTATTTGAACCATTTGGTCATCCATTTGCATCTCGTGGACAAATCCTTGTGGATGGAATTCCGGAGCATCTGGTGACGGGAACTGAGCTCTTTGCAGCGTCATTGGAGCTTCATCAACAACCGGTCCCTGGTGTCCTGATTCCCATTGATTTATTTCTTGAGGAGCCACCATCATCACCTGCCCTTGATCCTGAGATGGAAGGGGTGGGAATTGTTGTATGTTCTCGAAATAGCCATTGTTGCTGCTAGATTCCCCTTGGTGTCCTTGCCATCCTCTTTGGTGGTTACGGTGGTGCTCCCCACGTCGGCTCCCATTTCTTCCTTGATTATAACCATTGTGATTTCCATTTTGCACATGATGTCCACGATGTCCATTGTGATGTCCATTCCCATTCTGAACTTCACGATGACAATTGTAACCATTTTGTCCACCGTTTCTTTGTTGTCCATGGTTATCACGAGGAGCAAGGAAATCATGCTGACGATGCCCGTTTCCTCTTGGCTTTCTGCCACCGCGATTGTTCTGATTCCCATTTCCATGTTGCTGACGGTTCCCTTGTCCGTTATGGAAGTGTCCGTTACCATGGCGACGATAATCCTGGCCATTGTGCTGGTGTCCATGATTACGGTAGTCTTGAGATGGTCCGCTAGCTGCTTGCTCAACTGGTTCATTGGATTGCCCTTCGGATTGACCGCCAGTTTGACCATTTTCTTGTTCCTCTACTTGCCCATTCGATCTCTCGCGTCCCGAATTGCGATTCCCATAGTCAGATCGTCCTTGAGCGTTTCCATGATTTTCATTTTTCTCAAAATTTTGTTCATCGCTGCCACTCCCATTGTTATTCCTGTCACCGTTTCTGCGACTCTCTTCATCCGATCCTGATGGTGCATCCTGATCATGATTAGTTGGTGCTGGTAAGCAGCGAAGTGTAGGGACCTGAATTGTTTTGTTAATTTTCCAAATTTTGCATATATTTAAATTGTTCTACTTACGTTCATTGGGTTGAATACACGGTTTAAGTGAGCGCTAGCAAAGACAATGTGAGTAAGACGCTGAAATATGCTATTTTTTATCGGTAAAAGATATCAAAAGAGCTACTTTATACAGTCTGAACTACACCATTGAGTATGGAACTACAGTATGACAAGGTACTTACCTCATTTCCATCAGCAAATTGATAACAACCAATTCCATGCGGTACGTGGAATGGGAATGGTCGAATATATTGACCAGGTTTGCCCATCATCAGGATGGATCCATAACCGTCGAGAACAACTGAAAATTTGTGAAATCGTAGAAAATCTACAGTTACGATCAATGAGAAATACAAAAACTGATTTTTCAGTTGATTTTCAACTATTCTGATCGTTTTCAAAATTCTTTAGGTTAGCTATCAAGTTTTCTATCACTTTGAAAATTTTGGAGAGTGTAAAACATCTAGATCAAAAATTTTGCATAGATTGAGAATTCTGCATATACAGCATTTTTTTTGAATTTCTAGTTTTTCAGCTATATGTCGATTTTTGAATTACACCCATTTTCCGGTACAAAAACGGAGTTTTTTCAGAAACCGGAAGATAGCTGAAAAACTGGAAATTTTAAAGAAAATCTGAGAATGCAAAGCTTTTATTCGAGGTTTTTATACCCTCTAAACTTGTCAAAGCGATCTGAATCTTGGTAGGCAAGCTCTAGACTCTTGAAATTAGTCAAAACGACAAAATTCAAGTGCAAAATACGTTTTTCTATCTTATTGAGAATTAATTTTCCGTCTCTCAAAACCCATTCAACCAACATATATTGTCTTGCTCGACTTGATAAATAAGCTTTGCACATGGACCCAACCCACGAAATGTGAGCTTCGGAGCGATAAACATTCCAAAGTATAAGGAAAAATGTCGATAGTATCTTGGAGGTATGACCCAAGTAATTGGCCCGTATTCTTGAAGAATATTGTTGAAGTATGTTCGATTATCTCGCCTCTGGCCTGGCGGGACCATGGCGCCAAACTTTTCTTCTTTTTCGAGCTGAATATGGGAACTACAGTAAGACATCAAGAAGGATGTGACGGATGAAAAAAGAGAAACCATTAAAAGCCGGAACACGACAATTTTTCCTCAATCTCATTCTCCGTATGACGTGGCACTAGTTCAAAGAAATGAGAAAGAGCAGATGAGATGTCTCTAAATTGTCTTTTTGAGAAGGGAGAAAAACAAATTGCGCTTTGAAATTGATTGGTGGTTTACGCAAAAACAAAGCAAAATGTTAATGTGAAGCAGAGAGCAGTGTGGGGGCCCTATGAGCTCCGAAAAAAAAAAGAATAATGTTCTTTGGATGACGTAGGAGGCATTTCCTTAAAAAAGAAAGCGGAGATTCTGACGGCGGGACCCACGTGAGATTGATGCATAGGTGGATTTGAGTAGATATGACATTTGGGATGTGGGACCTACATGTAGGGATCTTTCCCGGCAAAACTGAAATATGTCAACATGCTAGAATCCAATTTCTTAAACAAAGCTACAGTAAACTATGGTAAGAAACTAATTGAAAATTTCATTAACCTAATTACTTGTAGTAAAAATGATATGAAAAGTTTCAATAGGCTCCCGCACGATATTCAGAAACAGTAGAGAAGAAGAAGAGCAACTACTCCAGAACACGAATCGACTTTTTCGTTTATGACATGAAAAAAAGAATAAGCCGGCGGTGGTAGCGGCACAAAAAAGTGCTCATTTCCTCGTCGAGCCATGAGCCCCGTACTGACTGAAAAAAACGGAGAAATGGAGCTCTCGGTCTGAAGAAAATGAAAATGGGCGGAGTCGGAACCACGGTTCTTTTTTATGCCAATATAGACACATGTACGAGACGCACGACATTGGTACGATAGGAAGAAGGGCTCAATTAGAATTGTTTCGTGTGAGAGGGAAATAATGTGATTGAACCAGAAGAAGGATATAAGAACAATTTTTTGGGAGGAGAAAGAAATGAGAAATGAAACGGGATAGTGACGTGATACCACGCAAGATGTCTACATCTATTTTAGGAATGCCTAGGGTTACTGTGGTCTGGAATCATAACAATTTCATAAAACTTAATTTGAGCTGTAAATGCTCAAAACAAAAGCTCACCCTGTACGTGTACTTTGAGCTCAATCATCTTGGTTCCTTCAAAATATATCAAAAATCTGTCAACGAATAAAATGTTGGTGATTTTACGAAAAACACTTCATTAGGGGATAACGTTCAGACCTCTCTCTCATAGAATTTTTTTCATGGTCTCAAACTACAGTACTACTACGCGGTTTCAAGATAATTGTAAGCGTTTTGGGTGGTACCAAGTCCCTACAAACGTGTAACCACCTTTCTTGTTGGTTCAGTGACTGTCTGAAGATTCTCTATTCAGATCCCCTCAAGTCTCTTTTATTAAGTCTGATCTCTTTCAAAATTTACTGAATCATCAATTAGCTATTTTTTAGTAAAAATTCCATAAACCCACCTCTGAAAATCTAACCGATCGCCCCACGTCCCTTTAACTAAGAACTACCGTCTTCGCTCAAATAGAAGCTCACCCTATACGTGTATTTTGAGCCTATTTATCTCGGTAGATTCGAAAGATATCAAAAATCTGTGCACTGATAAAATATTGTTATCATTATGTTGAATAATTCATCAGTATACAACTATGTGATATCTCTTGAAGGAACTGAAATAATTGAGCCCGAAGTGCACTTATAGGGTGGGCTCCGAGACTACTGGATTTTTCATTAGGCCACAACAATTTAATTGAGATCTGAAATACACTTACTCTCATTATCGCCTAATTCCACGCGGAGAGTAGTATCGATGACGTGGACGAAGACCATTCCAGCACCAAGTTTGATTGATTTGTCGAAAGGAATCATATTGTATCCCTGCTGCACAATCCAATCTTTCATCTTATCCAATATCTCCGGATCACCATCTTCTTCATCCTCTGTGCAGAGACCGCTCATATTGACTTTCTCTTCGCCAGAGCTCGCACATCTATCGTCGACGTCATTCTCGTTGCTGTATTCATCTCCAATTGGAGATTCCGCCTCGAGGGATGCAGAGGTTATAGGAGGAGAGTTGCTCGGCGGTGTCGGGCTCGGATATTCTGGAGGCGTTTGTCGAGATGACGTTGAGCCACCGTCGTCCGATGTATCCATTGAGCCGATTCTACCACTGAGGCCAGAGCTGAAAGAATGGAAATAATGGTGGAAGAAGGAGGGAAGAATAGGGAGGGAATGGAATTTTATGATCATGAGAACCGTACGATTTTTTATTCTTTCCCATCCACATTTTTTCTATTTTTTCCTCGGTTTCCCATGAATTGGGAATGATTGGAATAAGGACACGTTGCATAAACTGCTTACCCTTTCAGAATGTTTCTGAAAAACTCTTGGCGTATTCTCTCCCGTTTGTCCGTCGTCGGATCGGATGATCCATTTTTAGACATGCTCACCGACGACTTCTTGAAAATATAGAGATAAAAAAATACGGTAGAATGTAATGAAAGAGAGAGAGAGAGAGAGAGAGAGAGAGAGAGAGAGAGAAAATGAAGTAAAAGTGAATGATTCTATAATATATGAGATGCATGGGGGACAAAAAAAAATGACATATTCCAATGAAACCTCTTCTACCTCGAGTATAGGGGTGGAGCCCAATAAATTGGAAACACCCCCGTGACCAGATAATTGAAAAAAAAACGTCTAGAAAATCCGAGAAACTAGGAAAAGATAATTGAAATTTCAGAATTTTTTTTTGGAGATAGATCTCTTCAGATCCCTGAATAATGACTCAAAAAAGTTTTAAAGACCCTGAATCAGAAAAATTCTTAACGAAACATAGTGATGTGTATCTCTTCTCTCTATTTTAGCAGCAAAAAAGTTTTCGAGCCCACAGGCACTGAGAAATGATGCTCGCGCGGGGGAGAATAGAATGATTGAGCCAACTAGCTTCTGGGGACGTGCGTGCTGCATATCCATTTGCAGAGTACACGTCACATATTGTGTTATCCCTGGAACATCATTCCTCTCATTGAATGTATCAAAGTTCCAAAGTGAAGCAGAACGAGAAGAATGAAAAATGAACTGAACTTTGTTCTTTTTTCTGACAGGCAAAAGCTGTGAAAAGAGAGCGAGGAGGGAGTCCCAAAAATATGTAAACAGAGAGAAAAAAAGGGGAAACGTGTGGAAATTGATGAGTGCAAATGATGGTGGCAGAAAAATCTAACTTGCAAATGTGTTTCTAAAAAATGCCACACAGTCCGTCCACATTGCTTATTCGTTTTTTTTGTAACACGGTTCATATCTATCAGTATGATTGATTTAAAGGGGCAAGTCGAGCCGACAAATTGTTATGCATCGTCTCATCTTACAATTTCTGAGAAGATGCACTTTATTTTTTGCTTTCTTTTTTTTGCAACGGAGGGAAGATGAGAACCAGCCAAATGGAACGGAGATGGTGGATAAAAGGCGTTAGAAGAGTGTAATTTAAAATATATAAAGATAAATTTTTAGGGGGAGATGGGTTATATTTTGAAACGGAAGGGCTAAACTATGAAAAACTGGATATTGAGAGGGGCAAAAATCGTGACAGGAGTCACATATTGCGTGAAGCACATCTCACAAACCTATAATTGGAATATAACTGAACACTTTTCCCTTAGACTTAATCTAAGTTTCTCAATTCAAATACCGTAAATAATTTAATAGAAGCTCACTCTACCCGTGCAATGTGTGCTCAATTATCTTGTTTTGTAGTCGAGATACCAAAAATCTGGCAATTGCAAAAATGTTGGTGATAGTATTAATGACATTTTGTCAGTTGATCACTTTCTGATATCTTCTACAGGAATTGAGATATGTGGGCTCAAAGTTGCCGGGATCCTATTAGAATGTTCACTGTCCACAAAGTTCCAAATTGGATTACTGTAACTTCAAAAGTTCCGTTAAATCTTTTAGTATAAATTCTATGAGCTCATTCAGTACACCTCATAAAAATTATTTCTAAAAAGTTCTTGATTTTCAGGGACACTGTATTTTTTAATTTCTAATTTCAAAACAAAATTGGTTTTTTGATGACTATTACGGTCCCAATTCGAGGGACCCATGAAAAATTTACTTTGTAAACTTCATGGCACTCAATTTTTCTTGTTCTCATCGGACTGCTATTTATTCATGGGTCCGTTATATCTTAGTGAAGCCGTAAAAGTCATTAAGAACCGAAAATTGTGATTTGGAAGTGAATTTCATAGATATAGATATGAAACTATCGTGACGATAGACTTATTAAAACTCCATACTAGAAAAAAAAATACAAAATTGTTTGAACTATAAGCTGAAACATGTTTCAAAACCGCTATCATCATCAGAGAACCGCCACGTTTGCATCTAAAACATCTGTCAATTTGTTCCGGTAAGCACCTTTTAAAAGAAAGAAAACGATAAGAATTCGAGGAGGTTAAGCTATCAGGAATAAGGAAGATTGGTTTCTAGGGAAATGTACAATATATCAAAATCGTTTTAATGAGCAGAACACGAACCCATTGACCATAAGTGCAAAATGATTGACCCTATTCGTTTGAACTGACCCAGCTGGGACATTATGACGTAAAAAAGTGGAAATTGTGTCTCTTTTGGCGCGAGCGAATGAATGAAGAGGATCGAAACAGCTCTTCTCTACCAACATATCGTTTTCTCAATACAAAACGATATATCAAAAAGATGGAGATGAAGAAAAAGGGAAGATCGCTGGAGGAAGAACAAGGGAAAAGGACAAAGGTGTTTCTTTTTTCTCCTTGTTCGCGCCCTCTGTGTCGTGGAGTCTTGTGATGATAAGAAAGAGAAAAATCAGAGGCGGGAACAATTTTCCGAGAGAGTCAAATAATCTTTTTATCAGGACGAGAGAAGACAATCCAGGTAGTTTTTAGCCTCTTGGTCAATTGGAATTTTCCGGGGCGTCAAGGTGGGGCGGGAATGAAGAATCGAAAGTGATGAAAAGGAAGGAATATGAAACTGTCCGTGTGTGTGTGTGCTATGAATCTTTTGTTTCTTTTATCGTTTTATGTTGCCTTCTCAACTCTCGATTCTTGTATATTTCAGTGAATATTTTTCTCAAATTTTATCACTACAGTACTCCCTCGATATTATATTGTTTTGAGTCGTAAAAAACAATAGAAGGCAATAATAAAAGATGTCCCGCCCACTACAAGGTCCTAGATAGTACTAGATTCAACCAAAGAAGAAATTAAGAGCAGCTAATTTGCTTGGAAAGTGGATCCTATTTGTATCCTTCTTGAAGAAATCAGAAAGAAGCGAAAAAATGAGAAACATCTAATTTTTCTTTCTGCACGTCTTCTAGGGGGGTCGCCAAAAACGCAGAATTATTTTTTGAAAATGAAAATTAGGAGAAAAAGTACTTTTGAAGGTAGATCTTGCAAGAATTTTCTAGTTTTGGAAACTTGAAAAAATAAAGTAAGGCATTACTGAAGAATTATGAAAATGAGTGCAAATTCTACATTAATCCCTAGATAACGACAATGGATGAAAAATTTTCCTGCCTTTGAATATTTTGAACTCCTAACAACAAAATTAGAGTTTTCTAATTTCTTCAAATTCTAAAAAATCTGGGTTTTTAGCGTTTTTAGGAGATCGAAGAAATATGAATTTTTTGAAACATGAAACTTTTTGAATTCTAGCAGATTTTGGTTTTTTTCAGAGAGTTAGATTTTTCAAAAAATCTAAAACTGTAGACTTTCTGAAAACGTAGGATAAATTAAATTTTTAAAGTTTTCAATTTCGATGAAATTTCTAATTTTTAAGAAATTTTAAGAAATTTGAAATTTGAATTTTGAGAATTTTGAGAATTTTAAGAATTTTGAGAATTTTTAGAATTTTAATTTGAGAAATTTTAATCTTCAGAATTTCAAGAATTTGAAATTATAAGAAAATTCAACATTTTGAAAATTTGAAAAATTGTATTTTTCGAGAATTTTCCAACTTTTATAGTTTTTAGGACATCTCAATTTAAAGAAGATTCTAATTTTCAAGAATTTCAAGGGATCATATTTTTAGAACTCGGAATGTGAAATTTCTTAAAATTATGAAAACACTTGATTTGTTGCCGTTATTCACGGGTTCCTGTAAATGGAAATTCATTTTCGAAATTCTACAGTAACCACTATTTTCTATTCCCCTTCTTTTTTCAAAATGTGTTGAGCTAATGCACTATTTTTTGTTAAAAATGAAAACGATTTTCTGGTCTACAGTGACCGCAAATTTATTATCGTTTTCTCAACTAGCTCATTTTGTAGGTTATGGTAAGAAATCATAAGGTTCTCATAATTTTCTCCCGTTATCCCTACGATTTCAATTTTTGATCCTTACCTGCTGGTACTGCTGTCACTGTCGTTAGATGCCAAATGTATGTCGTTCAATGTGGAAGGTGAAGGTGTCATGAACTGCGCGGGCATGTTAACACGCTGGAACGTAGCCATCGGAGGCGGCGTAGGTTCTGCAATAATACTTCTAGGTTCATATGGAATTTGACGACAAGTTGAAAAAGATTAGTGTGAGTAAAAAAAGTTCAAAACGAGAAATGAAAAGAAAGTAAAATGTTTTTGTAATTGAGAGCAATTGATTCCAACTCCAGAAACAGCACCGAAAAAAAGAGAAGTGGTCCTTCCGCCTACTCACATGATGTATGATGTCATTTTTAGGAAGATCTAATGCAGAGGCTGTCATCTGAGTGCCATTTAAGAAAAGAGAGAAAAAAGGAGAAGAAAGAGAACATCTAGTAAGGAATGGAACGTCACAAAATTCCAAGAAACTGCATAGGAATGAGAAGCAGCACTTACGTTCATGAATTGTAATGAAGGCGTTGGAGAATAAAAGAAAAAGTGTGTGGGGGAGACAAATATAGAAATTGAAGATTTCTAGAAATTCCTACAGTACTGATACTGATGTATCCGGGACTGAAGAACATTTTCCAAGCGTGTGAAGTATCAACAAAAGGAGACATTTGAAATTATTGGCATTATAATAGGATGTACAGACTGAATGGGTAAAAAAAGAAAAAATGGAAATGTGGGAATTTTTTTTCAATCATCGTGAAGTTTCGATTTTTGGTTTGACTAAAGCCAGAGATTTAGAATGAAGAATTCTCTAGAAATTTTAGAGAGCCTCAAATATTTTTTCTAAAATTTTCACTGGAAAAAAGGTTGGGAGATGTCTACAGTAATCCTAAACTATTCAGAAAATGTGGAAAGTTTTAAAAAATTCCGAACATTCTGAAAATTTTGGAAAAACCCTCTTTCTTGGTAGTCGGAAAAATATTTAATGACATCAAGAACAAATAAGTGAAAATGCGCCCTATAAAAGTTGAAATTTCTCGAAACACGTCAAGTTTTGATTTTTTGACTCACCGAATTATCGAAATTATTGAAGTATCGAGATATCGGAAAATTTTCAAAAAGTCCGAAAATTAAAAATTCCGAAAAATATTTTCACCGTATTTCCTCTAACAGAAGCCCAACCTACAGTCAACGTTGAGCTGAATTCTCCCGATTTCTGTGAAATATGTCGAAAAGTTGTCAACTGATACGATTTTATAGATAGTTGATAAATAACTTATCAGTTGATAAAATTATTATATCTTTGCCATAAAGCGAGATACTTGAGGTCATCGTTGACGTTTTGGGTGGGCTTTTATTAGAAAAAAACGGGGCATACTTGTAAAATTCCGGGCCGGGCCGGGCCTGGGGAAATTTTCAAGGCCCGGGCCCGGCCCGGAAGGCCCGGTATAAAAAATTCTGTATTTTGAGCCAAATTTTGAGCTCTCAATATAATTTTTTTCATTTCTCTTCCGTATTTCGGATTGTTTTCTGTCTGATCAAAAAAGATCGAAAATGATTCGGGATCTTTGAAGCTTCTGTATTAGGGGAGTTTGCCGAGAGACGATGACCACCAGATGAGGGTTCCAGATTGGAGAGGAAGAAGATAAATTAATACTAAAAATCTAAGAAAAAGTGAAAATTTGCCCTTTGAAAGTTGAAATTTCAAACCAAAAAAAAAAGACGACGACAAAACTGACAGACAATTCAATAAACTTTGTCTCCTTCTCCAGACTCTTTAAAGACTTCTGTTGCAAAAAATAGAACAACTGGTTGCGGGGGCCCCTCTCTCTCTCTTCTTTCCTTTCAACCAATTATTCTGAAGCGTTGTGGACGTCAAAATTTGTTTGGAGCGTTTTGTTTCAAATGGCTACATGGCATGCTATAGGAATCTCTGAACAACAAGGAAAAAGAAAAAAACACTGAATTGCAACCCAAAGAAGAAAAATGCCAGTGGTCCTCTCTCATTCTTTCTGACTGAGCGCATCACATCACGTCATATAAACCACACTGAAAACAGAAGGAGATGGTGGAGTAGAAGAAGAAGCAAAAAAGGAAGAAACAAGGGGTCCTTCTGCTTCTTCTCGTTTTCTTCTTCTTCTTCTCCTTCTTCCCCCTCTGTTGTGTGTGTTTTCTCGTCATCTTATGATTCAAACAACTTGTTGGAGATAGGACGATGCACCATCTGAGATCTGTTAGTGGGTAACTTCATTAGTGGATTCCGAGAAGTTTTGGGGACCGGAGGGACTTGGAAATAGGGAATACGTGGAAGGATGGATTATCAGAAGAAGGAAAAGGTGTGGATATTAGAAGCTAATAAATTATAACAATTGCTTATCTCTCACGATTCATCTCGACCATATATAGATATCGAGTACACTTTTTTTTTGGTTCTCCTTGCATTTCTCGACGAAACAGGTTATCTTATCTTTTGTCAGAATGTCCTGGAAAGGAAAACCAAAAAAAGAGAACTGAGTTTTTGGATTCTCAGAACCAGAAACCACAAGAAGATCCTGTATCAAGGAAGACAATAAGGAATGGAGACTAAGATACTCAAGTATCTACGATCAGAAGACCAAATTGAAAATAGTGAAAATAGAAAAATCTAAAAAAAACTTCTTGTCTCATCAATTTCCAACTTTTTTTCAAGACAAACTCATCAATCTAAATCGGACATTGGGTAGATTGATTCGTATGAAATTGGAATTCGCAACAGAATTGGAATACCGGTCGCGGCTTGAACTATATAATTGTTTCGGAATGAATGGACGGTTCTTTTTTCAATAAAAGTGAAGATGAGTAATCCAAATAAACATTAAGAATAAAAAAAACTGGTAAAGACCGTGACTCAGGAATATTTTTTTATGTTGTTGGTGATGTTATGTATAAGCACAATAAGAATGAAAGGTAAACAATAAAATAAGGAACTGGCTCGTTTTCACGAGAGAACGTCAAGACCTAAATTTTGAGAAAAAAAAATTCAGGATAGGTTAAGAATAGCCTATTTAGACAGTTTCAGCCGAGCTGTATCAGTTTCAGTGCCAAAAATCGCGTTTTCAGTATAAGATTAGCAAATCTGAAAGACTGTCTTTCCAACAAAAAACAATTGGAAACTAAAAAAAAGTTTTTCAAGAAATTTCTTCAAATATGAAGTTTCATTAGAACCTAAAACTTCCCGATGTACAGTAGTTTTCAAACATTCGTGATAGGACCCGAAAATTTTCAAAATTTATATTTTTACACTTATATTCATTTTGCAAAATTTGATAAGACAATTTGAACCGTCTAATTTTCATAGAATTTGGATCGACATTAGTCGAGATCTAGTACTTTTAAAATTTTCGTGGTGAGACCCAAAATTTCAAAAACTTCAAATAGCCTTGTTTATACTCATTTTTAAGCTCATTACAAGACAATTTTAACTGTATATGTTTAATAAAAATTCGACCAAAATTAGGCGAGATACCGTAGTTTTGAAATTTTCGTGGCGCAACCCGAAATTTCAAAAAATTCAAATATAGCCTTGCTTATACTCATTTTGAAGTTCTAAATAAGACAATTTGAACTGTGTAACTTTCATAAAATTTAGAGCTAAATTAGCTAAAATAAGTACTTTTAACACTCTCGCGATGGGTACCGATATTTCATAAATTTTCAAATCTATCCTTATTTATATCCAATTCAGAGAATTTTAACAGTACAATTTTCATAAAATTTGTATGAAATTTTGCGAAGATACGATACTTTTCACACTTCACAAAACTCTGTCTAGCCGATTCTAAAGCTTTTAGACGTGTCCAGATAGTCTTTCTATTAACCTATTCTAACAATTTCATCAAAATCTGGGTTTACAATGTAAGAGGTAATCCTAGTAGTCGTTGGACTAGGAATGGTTTACAAATTAAAACAGAAACATTTCCTGGTTTGGTTCCGGGTATCAAAACGAATTGCAAATTATTTGGGGATCAATTTGGGTGACAATGAGAGAATAGAAGAGCGGGTAGCCCCTAAAGATTTTGCTCGATGAGTTGTTCTTGACTAGAAACACATGAATGAAAAACGAAAATAGCGTGAAAAAGCCCTCTCTTTCTTTTTTTTCTTTAAAGAAAAAAAACCGAACAAAATACGACGTCTTTTTCTCTCTCTCTCTCTCTTTGTGACGACACAACAAGTTCAGCTGCATGGAGCACGTCATTCATACCAAATTAGGTCGGGAGCACTTCTCTATCTCTACTGTAAGACTCGCATTTTTAGGCGCAGTTTCATCATTAGAATGCGCGAGATGGGACCGTCTGACAAGTTTTTGCCTATTTTTGAGAATAAAATATTTTGTCTTTCAGGCTATGTGGCATCAAAACCATCGCAAATTGCCAATTAATGGGTCATTTCGAATAGAAAACGGGAAAGGTCGGGTTTCAGAGAATGCTTCTCTTGAACATACAAAATGGAATGGCGCAGGAGAAGGATGGGGAAACATGATCCCATTTTTTCCATTTGTGATGGGAATGTATAGGACGCAACAGAAGCGAACTTTCTTTTTTTTTCTGGACAATGCACTTTGGATTAGGACACAATGAAAAATTTGGGAACTTTTTCGAATCGATGGGAAAAAAATATTCAGTGTTTTTTTTTGAAAAGTAAACATATCTTGGTTTCTTGTAAGGAAAAATTCTCAAGATCTTATTGAAATTCGAGGCTGAGGGAGAATCGAATTCCTTTTTCTCGATTTTTCTCTTTTTTTTGAAATTCATTCAAAATTATAGGTTCCAGAAAATTGTAGTAAACAAAATTATCTTTTTTTTGAAAACATAATTATAGTGTTCCAAAATTTTTTCAGAGTTCTAAGAAATTTTTTTCTTGAAGAGAAAGGTTAGCGTAAAAGGTAATTGAGCTTCGAAATGGAAAAGTGACTTGAACTATACTGTTGGGCCACAGAAAAATATCAAAAATGACTCCGACCAGTCTAAAAAAACGCCAAAAACATTCTTGTAGTTTCTAAAGAATTTTAAAAAAATTGAGAATGAAAAGGGTAACACATACTCACTACAGTAATCATATATGATTCACCCCCCCCCCCACCCTCCTCACACTGGTTGAATAGCCTG